ATGATTTAAATCAAAAATATTAGCATTACATGGAAAAGCATTTGCATTTGATGGCTAAGAGTTTATAGCTACAATTGTAAAGGTTTCAAATCAGTAGCAATCCAAAAAAAACATTCAAATAGCAAAACGAATATGATAAGAGTACTTGCTTAGATTAGCCTCAGGATAAGTAAAATCTCAATGATTTCCCCCTTGTGCTATAGTAATTCTTTGAAAGTTAAAATACTTGATTCATCGGCCTTATTGGTGGACGAGTGGACAACCTCCACCCATCAAGATGGGTGGAGGTTCGATTCTATCTACCCACTAATTTTGGGGGCAATCAGCGTCCGTAAGTATCTGTGGTTCCCTTGTTAGCAATGTACTCACCACGTCAAATTCAGCCACCATTTGAGTTTGTTCAAGTGTAAATGTCAATGATGAAGCCATTGCCGATGAGCTGGCCGTCTCCCCTCCTGCCGCTTGTTTTGCCATCCGATTCGCTGTCGCCAACACTGCACCCACCGAATTCGCCGATTGTGAAGCTAAAAGAGGTTTCGATTTTAGCCAACTTTTGTATGCATTGTTCATAGAATTTTCTTTTAAAGCTTACAACAAGTTTACTTGTTATCTGCATGAATATCTAAATGTTATCTGAATGAATATCTGAATGTTATCTAAATGTTATCTAAATGTTATCTAAATGTTGAGCTATCTGAATGGCATTAATCTTAGTACAGTAGTGGCAGTTTTTTATGCAATAGTCTAGACATTTTCGCTTACGCGGTTTTTTACTCCGTGAACCATTTGGGCGGTTGTTTGAGCGAGCTTTTCCTTTGGACAATGGTGGGGGTTGAACGGGTTGCAGGGTGGAGGATTGTTGAATGATTTGTTGGGGCTAAATTTTAGACTCAATATTGTTGATGCTTTGATGAATACCTGTTGCATGGGCACTTGTGAAGTGGAGGGTTCTATGAGGATCTGCGAGGAATCATTCATTTGCACCTAAATGGTACAATAAAGAGAGTAAGATTGAGTATGCGAGAAGATGCGCGTTTTCAAGAGCACAAAGTACAGACCAGCTTTTAATCTGTAGCGTATAAAAATGTGATGAATATTGCTCGATTTTCCATAAAAACAAACGATTTGCTCCTCAGGCAACATTTGGATTTGAGTGTTTTGCATGTGTTGTGGTTGTAGTTGATGGATTTGTGGCTGTTGTTGCCCCGTTGAATCGTACTAAAGTTTTTTTGCTAGCAAAATATTCTATTCTTCTCTAAAGTCGGATCTAATCTAAACCTGATAGTATGTGGTTTGTTGTAGTTGACCCTGCGCATCCACATAGCTCATTTGTTCCCGTTGATGATAGACACCCGTCTGAAATTTATCCAATAAATTTGTAAAGCTATGAACTTAAATACTGATTAATCTTTTCAGATTAATCTCTCAGAAATATTTCTGTACTTCTTGTTGCTGTGATGGTTGTTGCATTGGTCTCATTTCAGCATATTGCGTCGAGGAGCTCTGCTGGATGTGCGACGTCTCCATGTGATACGACGGAATCGCTCGATTCTCCATTTCATCGAAAACTAAATAGTCTTGTCTTGGTCATTGTTGTGAAGATAGCGTTTTATATCCGCAAAATTGTCGTTTTCTAAAGTGCACAGACTACGGAACGTTCTTAGTGACAACGATTTTTATTCCTCTCAAAGATCGATGATCTTTGAGAGGAATAAAAATCCAAAAATTAGCTTGAATCTTGTACTGACACTGTTAAATTTTATAAAGAATATTAAAATGCCTTGAATTTTACAATGTGCATTTAAAGATACAACTTGAAAGCTAACTAACCTTGTGAGAATTCATCGAATGGTAAATCGAGCGCGGCGGCGCTTGGCGAATGGTGTTGTTGCTGAAATGGTTAAAGTTTTCTTACAGAATACAATTTTCACCTTTCATCTCTACAATTTTCTCATTTTACAACTAAATTTTAAACTGGATCGTCTGGATTTAAACTGGCCTTTCTTCATTGCCTTTTATTTGATGATTTTCTTGTCCTTGCACTGGCATCATATTTCCTTGATCAAGGTAAATGAGTGTGCCGTCGGGTTGTTGCAATACTTGCATTAATTGAACGGGCATGTTCGAGTTGTTGCTATTCGGAGCAAGATTGTGATTGATTTGTGATTGATTTGGTTGATTTGGGAACACATTCTGCACAGCCACATATCCCTGGGCAACACTTTGTAGATAGATTGGTGCATTCGGCTCTTGTTTCTTATTCTTTTTCTTCTTCGATTTTGATGGTTCTGCTTTTATTGATGACTCTTGTGAGTGATTTGACGGCGGTTGAATAAGCAATTCAGTCTAAAAACTCATGCATAAAGCAAGGAAAGAGTTTATTCTTTGAATCTAAGTACAGGTAACTTTTTTTGTGAATAAACTCTCCCAAGCGTTTTCTTAAGAATCCTACATGCACACTGCAGAATCAAGCAATAAGCTAATCAAAAAAATAGGTCTGAAAAGCTACAGTAATTCTTTGAAAGTACTTGATTCATCGGCCTTATTGGTGGACGAGTCTTGGGTGGAGGTGGAGGTTGGGGAGTGGGTTCGGGTTGAGCCACTAATTGAGCCAATCTAAAGATATACAATTGAAGAATCGCTTTCTCCAACTCACTCAGCATGTTGTTGTTTGAGAACCTCAAAGAAAATATTCGTCCTCTTGGTCGTCATCTCGTTGATTCGGGCCTGAATTTTCTGCTTCTCCAACTCAAACGCCTTTTTGAGCATTTCTTCCAAGCGAGTGATTTCTGGAAATTGTATGAGTCAAATTTTTGCATTCTAAACCTCATTATCTTTCGATAAAGTGAATTAAGAACCAAAAAAATAAAGAAAACCAGTCAAATAATCTTTACTTACAATAAACTTACGAACGCTGATTGCCGAACAACATTTTAAAGAGAGGCGACTCAGCCGAACAACATTTAAAAATTCAGCTGTAAAGCTCTAAGATTACGGTAGTTATAACGATGCTAAACATTTCGCTTTCTGTTGTTGTTGTTTCTCAGAGTCAATTCTATCTACCCACTAATTTTGGGGGCAATCAGCGTCCGTAAGTATCTGTGGTTCCCTTGTTAGCAATGTACTCACCACTTCGATATTCAGCCACCATTTTTGTATGTTCAAGTGTAAGTTCAAGTGATGAGCTGACCGTCTCCCCTCCTGCCGCTTGTTTTGCCATCCGATTCGCTTTTTTTTTCATCGGTTTTTTACTCCGTGAACCATTTGGTCGATTGTTTGAGCGAGCTTTTCCTTTGGACAATGGTGGGGGTTGAACGGGTTGCAGGGTGGAGGATTGTTGAATGATTTGTTGGAGCTAAATTTTAGCCTCAATATTGTTGCTGCTTTGATGAATACCTGTTGCATGGGCCCTTGTTTTTTACACCTTGAACCATTTGGTCGATTGTTTGAGCGAGCTTTTCCTGTGGACAATGCTTTGGACAAAGCTCTTCTCGCTTTTCTCGTTATCCGATTCACTGTCGCCAACACTGCACCCATCGAATTCGCCGATTGTGAAGCTAAAAGAGGTTTCAATTTTTCAAAGAAGCAAAAAAAAATGAAGACAGCAAAGGTAATTGTCGTGTTATTTTGGACATTTATTATCTAAGATTTTACATTTTGTGATTCTAGGGCGTCATGTAAAAAAGCGGGTAAACGCAAAAAAGAGAAAGGGGGGAAAGGAGGCTTGATGTGGGCCGAGATCGGGGGAGAGTTAGTTGCATGTGTTGTGTGTGCCAACGGCCGTCTCGCATCCACTCACGCGTCACGGTTATTTGGAGAAGAGCCAACTGGGGGAGAACAACAACAACAACAACAACAACAACAACAACAACAACAACAACAACAACAACAACAACAACAACATACACTATGTCCGATTTTCCATGTTTGAACTGAAATTCAAAGATTTCTTGCTTGATAATCTATAGAGAAGTAAACGTATTAATAAATAACTTTTGAGATATTTTAGAGAGTTTATTGGGCATTAGTTCATTTGTTATTTATATTTCTATTAGAAATCTTTAGAAAGAATGAAATCGCTCATCATCATTCTCATCATCATTCTTGTGCCAGATTGTTTGCGTTTTCGGTGGCTATATCTCAACATGTGCCCGAATGGAACAAGGCTGGGAGACAATAGCTGAAGCGGGAGTTGAAGGGGCATGTAGTGAAGCATGTTGGGTGAAGAATTGTGGGAATGGACATTGTGAGAATCGAGAAAGATGGGTGTGTGTCTGTTCGAGATGTGATGATGGTAGTGTGTTTACAATTGGTGGCTAATAAAGAACTTTGAGAAGTTTGAGATCTAAAGCGCACAAGATTACCAAGACAAACAACTCAACAAATCAACAAATCAATCAAAAAGAGTTCTGAGAAACAAATACCAGATTTGAGTCAACATTTTGTTTCTCTAGAAAGACAACAGCTAAAACATCTCATTTTCTGTTTAAAACTGAAGTTGTTATTGAAAAAAGCTCTTCTAATCTAAATTTTACTAAAATTTTGAATGAAAATAGTAAGTAACTTTTAACCCATAAGAAATAGAAAGTTTTGATGTATACTTTTAACATTTAAGGAGTAAGGAAGACAGTAAAGTAAGGAAGACAAAGTGCGTTGTGGTGTAAAGGCTAGCACAGTAGCCCGGTAAGCGAATGGCCTCGGGTTCGAGTCCCAGCGGTGCTCGAGTTTTTGATCTGCCCTAGTCCAACTGCCGACCACGGAAGGATAGGCTTGGCAATGCTGGCTAAGGTCTTCATACCTAGTTTCGAGCGTACCCCAGGCCTATCAAACGTGTGGAACCGTCTCGTCCAGAAAGGAGGGAACTTAACTCCCTCTGGAGTAAGGAGATCAAATGCCTTTTGGTGTAATGGTTAGCACAGTCGCCCGGTAAGCGAATGGTCTCGGGTTCGAGTCCGGCAGCGCGCCGGATTCAGATTTTGATGTTTCAACTTAACCAATAAGTACCAAAATTGCTTGTAAAAAGGAATTTGGATGGAAATTCCTAGAACCCTAAGTTGGTCGTGCTCATTGTAGTCACCAATATTCAAACGCCAAAGTGCCTCCAGACAAATCAAATCCCTTTCTCACTTGGGTGTTCTTATCTTTTTTTGCACTGTTGTGCGATCTACTCTTCTTTTACCCAAAAAAAGAGCCGATGATTGAGATCAATGACTGGAGAGTTGAAGGGAAGAGATTTTGTTGAGGTCGAGGGTCGGATTTCATCGTTTTCTCCCTCCGAGAGTGGATCGATTGCGCCATCGATGAGAAAAGGGTAAATAGAATCATCCACATATGGATTGATCGAGGGGAAATAAAGGGAACAGGCGCTGCTTAGACTATTTGTTCTTAGAGAGTTCCTTGAGTAAAGTTTTTAAAATATGGCAGTTTTTTAAGAGTACCATAATCTTGGCACTAGTTTGCACTAGAGTACCATAATCTTGGCACTAGTTTTATCCAATCTATATGTGCTTGATCTGCGAGGATTTACGAAGGTAACCGAAAGATAGCTTGGATAAAAGAGATACGATTGTAAACTTCTGAGAGTTGACATGTTTTAGAAAAGGTGAAAGAAAAAGGAACAGATGGAAGCACGGATTGGCATTCTTGTCTTTTAGACATATGATGCGGAGTTGAATAGACTGAACGAAGTTGACACCCACTCCATTGAATGGATGGAGATCTGTAGATCCATTTGAGTACCTCCAATCCCTCTTTCAAGTACCATCTTCTTCATCTTAGTTTCTTTAGTTTTCTTTCCCAAGCCTTTCCCCCCTTGTAGCCTAGATTAGCGATCGAGTGTTGCTGACCTGAAAGAGGTCTAACTTTTTACCAATTTTCTTCAATTCTGTAACTTTGTAATATATTAGGTTGATGCAAAAGTCTTTTTTCATTTTTTTCGTACTTCTTTTGAAAAATAACAAAGTCATCAATTAACCTATGGTTTGCTCTAAATGAAAAGTGTTTATTGTTCAATTTCCCATCTTTTTAAGTCAATTTGGGTTCACTTTCAAGCAAATTCGAGAGTGAAAACGGGTTTTTCATAAAAATCTATAAAAACCTCTATAAAGAAATTGGCTGAATCAATTTCTCTGAAAATCTGAAAAAAATATCTAACTTTTTGTGCTCTATCTTTTATTTATTAACATCAAGATTGGTTTCCTTAGCTAAAGCGTCTAAAATGCATCATCGAGTCGTCGCCTTTTTTGACTACCCGACTTCAGGCTCTCAAAAAAATCTAGACATAAGACATTTTAAACTCGTTTTAATGTCATTTTGCAGAAAAATAATTGGCCTTTCGAATGCAATAAACCGTTGTTCAATTCGTGCATTTGTTACTTTTTAACGGGAGTACGAAAAAAATGAAAAAGACTTTTGCATCAACCTAATAGATTTGAGTTGTTTTAATAGATTTCTTTTACCGAAAAGAAGGGCCGGATTGGGAAAGGTCTGGGTGGGGGAGGATTGGATGGGGAAGAATTGGGTGGGTAAGGTTGGTTTGTTGGTTTTTTTTTAAAGAAAGATCTGATTGAGCAAGATCTGATTGAGCAAGATCTGATTGAGCAAGATCTAATTGAGGAAGATCTTTTTTAAGTTCTCATAAACAATGTGAGCTATTGTATGTGTCAGCTATTGTCAGCTATTGTCAGCACTTGATCTTATCAATCAATCTTATCCTTGTTATCAGCTTTAATATCAGATATTCAAGCTTGGATTTGAACTTTAGAGAACTCAAACGTTTCTCTGTATTTCTTTCTTTACTAGAATGTTTTCCTATTGTTTCTTAAAAATTGAGAACTTTTGAAAACCATCTCTCTTAATGCATCCTAATGCAGTCTCGCCAAGTTGAGAGTTCAAGTTTGCACACCTGTGAACTCTTGGTTGGTTTGGGAATGGTTTTGGGACTGTCAATGAGTGACAAATGAGGTCGGCTCATCAAAGGGACACCAATTTGTGGAGGCGATCTTTCTCTTTCCTTCTAATCCTTTCTCTCATTCAACTCACTCATCGCACACACGTGTCTAGTCACGAATACAAAACTTTTTTTGATAATTGAGCCACCCCATCCTAATTACAGACCAATTTGCTAGCAACATTGAGGTTTTCGAATTTGAATTCAAATCCATTTCCATTCAATTTCCTTTTTTGACGTTAATACACTAGTTAGGTTGACAACGTTAATACACTAGTTTCCCATACTTCTATCAAGGATTACATTAGAATTACGGTAAGTTATTCAATCAAAACTTTTACCCATACAGGTAACAATAGAATAATCGAGTTGAAAATTATATTAAGAAAATTCTATCAATACAAAATCTCAAAACATTCCACTCTCCATAAGTCGGAGAATTTCTTCAAAAATTTTCCCGTTTCTTTCAAAATTCTTGTTTTCAAATGATTGACATTTGGGAAAATCTCAATTCACAAAATCATTGAATTGATCTTTTTTGAGAATCAAGTGCGTTTTGGTGTAATGGTTAGCACAGCGAATGGTCTCGGTTTCGAGTCCGGCAGTGCGCGAGTTTTTGATCTGACCTAGTTCCAACTTAACTAATAAGTACCAAAATTGCTTGTAAAAAGGAATGGAAATTTCTAGAACCCTAAGTTGTTGAAATCGAGTTGAAAATTCTATCTAGAAAATTCTATCAATACAAAATCTCAAAACGTTCCACTTCCCATAAGCTGGAGAATTTCTTCAAAAATTTTCCCTTTTCTTTCAAAATTCTTGTTTTCAAATGATTGACATTTGGAGAAATCTCAATTCACAAAATCATTGAATTGATCATTTTTGAGAAAGAGAGAAAGAGAGAAAGAGAGAAAGAAAGAAAGAGAGAAAGAGAGAAAGATAAAGATCTTCAATCTTCAATCTTCAAATATCCTGTGTGTGAATGAGAGTGAACATTGGAATATGCAAATTTGAGACAAAGAGAAACAAGACGGATCACCGTTTTGACATAAAGAAGTCTTTGAATGGGATTGCATGAAATCCTGACATCTTTTCTCTTTCAAATGGATAAAAGCAATGAATCTTTCCCCTTGATACCAATTAGTTGGATGGGGAAAGATCCTCCATCTCCGCCCACTCTCACACTCTTCAAATCGATTCCATCCAAGATCTAGCAACTATTATTGGGTTGGTGAATTGATATTTCTTGAAAACCAGTTTTTGAATCGTTCTGAAAATTTGGATATAAGCTTGATTTTTGATTCTCTACAACTTTCCCATTGACACCAAAATGGGTTTCTTTTGAAGAAAGTCCTCAAACTGTCACATATGACAATAGCCGGCAGTTTTCAATTCACCAACCCAATAGTTGGATGGATGGGGAAAGATCCTCCATCTCCGCCCACTCTCACACTCTTCAAATCGATTCCATCCAAGATCTAGCAACTATTACGTTTAATGTATGCAATATATCATATTAGCATATTAGTTTTCCTTTTCTTTATCTTTATCTTTATTTGCATACTTACTATAGTCATAAATCTAGTTTAACTTCATTTTCATTAAGATTTTTGTTTGAAAGTTGTTTCGTTTACTAGCCAAACACAATTTTAACAATAAGAAAAGTTTCTATCAGAGTAATACGATAGAAAAGTTTAAATTCAATCGATCCATTGCTTCAATCAATCCATTGCTTCAATTCAATCCATGATTCAATCGATCCAACTCATTGCTTTATCTCTCATGATCAAAATCCATGTCACGATTGACAAAAAAAGCCAAACCCAATGACTCTCAATTAGCTTTAAACTAGAATTTCAGCCTTAATGACTAAAATCTTGGCTTTCGCTTTAATCTGGCTTGGCTTGGCGTAGAGATTTGCTTTTTATCTGGACTCTGGAGCAAACTCTGGAGGTCATATTGTCTTCAATTTGCATTTAAAGCTTGCATTCTTATTATTCTCTAACTATTTGACAATCTCTAGCTATCTCTTTGAATAAATCTCAGCCTTACTGACTAAAACCTTGGCTTTCGCTTTAATCTGTCTTGGCTTGGTGTAGAAATTTGGTTAACTATGAACTCTGGAGCAAACTCTGGAGGTTATATTGTCTTCAATTTGCATTTAAAGCTTGCATTCTTATTATTCTTATTATTCTCTAACTATCTCTTTGAATGAAAACCCTAGCTTTTCTCCTTTCTTCATCGGTTTCCCTTTGTTCATTCGACCACCCTTTGTGATGATTTACGATCTATCAAACACCACATCTGGTTTCTCAGATTTTATAAAGAAAAATAGCAAAGATTATTGAAAACAGTTGTCTTTCTTTATTTGAATTATATGCTCACGTACTATGTAAAACGCTAAGATTTAGGAATTAGAAGAACTTCCTTTGAACCAAGCAAAAAACCAAGCAAAAAGAACTTCCTAGCAACCATTTCCTGTATCTTTGATCTTTCGCTAAAGTTCCCCCAATTCAAGTGGATCTAACCTTTTTTACAAGCTTCCTCTAAATAAGCAGCTTCTCCAAAAGTTTTCAAGATTGAGCTATGGCTTGAACGAACAAGAGCTCCACCCTTCAATCCAATCGGGAACTATTCGAAATTGGTCTTCCTGGCTTCAACCAGATCAGAAATTGTTTTGGACGAACTTCCTTTGAACCAAGCAAAAAACCAAGCAAAAAGAACTTCCTAGCAACCATTTCCTGTATCTTTGATCTTCTTTTTGAGCTAAAGTTCCCCCAATTCAAGTGGGTGCAAATCCCTTTTGCATAAAAGCTCTTCTTTGATTCTACCAAAAAAAGGCCGATCATCGTCTCTTTCCCTTTCTTTTCTCCATAGTCCATTTGGTTATTTGTCTATCGGATTCTTCTCTTCATTCTTTCCTTTTCTCTTTCTCTTATTCGTTGAACGAACAAGAGCTCCACCCTTCAATCCAATCGGGAACTATTCGAAAATGGTCTTCCTGGCTTCAAGCAGATCAGAAATTGTTTTGGTTCTAGATCTTTCTTATAGATCTTTCTTATAGATCTTTCTTATAGGTCTTTCTTTTAATTTCCAATCTTGAATCCAATCTTCAATTAAACTTCTCCATTTCCTCGGTTCAATCATTCGACAAAATCTAGTTGATAAGGGAAGTTTAGCTTTCAGAAACTTCTCTTTGAAACAAATTCAATTCTTCACCTTGAACAAGAACTGATCTCTTTTCTCTAAAATCTTTTCGATTCTTTTCCATCAATAGGTGTTAATCACATTCAATTTGAATGGTTATCCCTTTCCTTCTCTTTGACCGATTATTGCCATGAACTCTCCTCATCACACCCATTGAAAACTCTCAAAAAATGCCGGAGGCCATCGAATTCTCAGGGTTTACGATTTGAGAATCATCACCTTAAAACGTTGCATTTAAATCGTAAAATCCCGAACGACCGATGCTTTTGAGGACAAAATTAGTATCAATATCTAAACGATAAAATTTAGTGCTAACTTTTTGAGTTTACTGTAAACCCTTTCAGCTAATGACAGCTAAACAAAAATTAATAGCCTAGTAAACTAGTTTAAACTAAAATTGCAGAGTTTTCAGTTTGCAAAGTTTTCAACTCAGAGTCAGTTATTCTTTCAACTCAGAGTCAGTTATTATCATTGAGATTTTACCTATCCTGAGGCTAATCGAAGCATGTACTCTTATCATATTCGTTTTGCTATTTGAATGTTTTTGAACGTTTGAATGTTTTCAACGATTTGAAACCTTTACAATTGTAGCTATAAACTCTTAGCCATCAAATGCAAATGCTTTTCCATGTAATGCTAATATTTTTGATTTAACTCATTGCCTTATTGCTGTTTTTTCATTCGACTTCCTTTCTAATGGCATCGTTGAATCGTGGATATGAAATATTGTCTATAAAATATGGTAAACTTGTATGTTTACCAGATTTCTTTCATTTTATTGATCAACATTTGATTGCTTAACGAATCCATTGATTCATTGATCCATTGATCCATTGATCCATTGATCCATTGATTCATTGCTTCATCGATTCATTGCTTCATCGATCCATTGATCCATTGATCCATTTATCCATTGATCCATTGATTCATTGATCCATTGGTTCATTCTTCCATTGATCCATTGATCCATTGATCCATTAATCCATTGATCCATTGATTCATTGATTCATTGAACCATTGGTCCATCGATTCATTGGTTTATTGATTCATTGATTCATTGATCCATTGGTTCATTCTTCCATTGATCCATTGATCCATTGATCCATTGATCCATTGATTCATTGCTTCATCGATCCATTTATCCATCGATCCATTTATCCATTGATCCTTTGATCAACCACTCCCCCAATAATTCCCCTTCCCAAAACCCTTTCATTTCAAATAATCGCCTAAAATCTCTTTGATGAGTGGCCGTTTTTTTCAAATCCGAAACCAATTACTCAGATTTCTCATGTACTATTTTGAGTAGTGGTTGAAAAGAAATTAGTGTTAAATGGCCATAAGCAAGGGCGTGGAAAAACGGCCACCTGTGATATGAATGACACCTTGAAAAGGGCTATAAAAAGAAACACTTGAACATTTTGAAAAGTCTCAACGATTATTTAGCTTTAAAAGAACTCATTTTACAATCCAAAACAATGACCTATCAATTCAAGTTCGATTCCCGAACCCGGAAACTTCGCAGGTTTAGCTTTTTTCTGGAAATCTCTTCTTTAACTTAACTTTAACTTTAACTTCTTCACTTCTGCACATTCGTGTTCTTTGTTTTGAAAGTCTTGAAAGTCTTGAAAGTTAAAGTATTATATATTTAAAAAATTCTTATCTTATTAGATCAATTTCAGAATGAGTGAGTCAACAAAGGAGAGAATAACCGATTCAGACTACGGGACATCTATCTGTACAACATCTTCTGGTAAGAATCTTCTGTTTATCAAATCTAAGCCTTTAAATTCTTATTCTTACCATAGCCTTATCAGAAATCTAAAAGTAAAGTAAGACAATATTGCTATATTCTTCATTATTTAACTCAGCAGTATGGCCGACCAGTTTACTGTACTTTTAGACTTCTGTACCGGTCAAGTACAAGTACTGGTCTAACTATCTGTTACTTATATTGTTAGTTATAGTACAGTAGTATTAGTACAGTGTTACTGTATTGTAAACAGTACAATACTGTCCAACTTGTCTCACTGTACTGTATGAGACTGTTTTTTTTTTTGTATAAGAACAAGCCAACCAATTTCAGCAATGGTAGCAATAGTAGTGCCTTAATTTTCGATGACATATGGACAAAATCAATAATCTATCCGATGGGAATGAACCCTTGATCTCTCGACTAAAAGAAATGGCTCTTAGCCAGTCAGCCAGTCAGCCAGTCAGCCAGTCAGCCAGTCAGTCAGTCAGTCAGTCAGCTAGTCAGCCAGTCAGCCAGTCAGCCAGTCAGCCAGTCAGCCATTGTGCCTTATTGTTTACTAGAAACTTGTATCCCAAATTCCAGATGACGAATCACTGAGATCGGAAAGCGATCGATCGATCACTTATCTGCCAGTCAATGGTGGAGACTATTTTATGAGGGATTTGGACGCATCGCGAACAACTCTTTCACCCGGACATTGCCCACACTGTCAAATGCTTTTCAGAAAGGTTTCATTTATCCCATCTACAGTAGTTGCTATGGTTTTCGATTTTATTATTTGAGCAAATAGATTGGGTAATTTCTCTTGAGCAGGGGCTAAAATCGGAGTAACCGAATCCTTTCTGGTGGAAAAGGGGCTGTGTTATGTAACGAATATTGGCATTCCAATGGAAAGATCTAATCGAATTTGAGAGGCTAATTAGAGAGTAAGGATGGATCTAATGTAGTGTAATACTTTGGTTATAGATATAGTCTCTTGAGCTTAGGCTTTAAGATATCGAGTCTAGTAAAGGCGACTAGACTGAATCTTCAATTATCTTCTTCTCATCATCTTCTTCTTATCAATTATCAAAAAATATCTTCAATTCTACAAATTCTATTCATACATTCTACAAAGTCAGTGATCTCTTTTGTTTCTGATTAGTATTACTACGATAGAGTACAGTGTACTGTGTCTCTTTTAAGACTGAACATCGGGGGTGGGACAAATGCGACCTTTTTTTGCGCACCTGGACATTTGCGCACCTTTTTTTTTTGCGTAACGATACTCAGTCGATACTCAGTCGATATTCAGTCGATATTCAGACAGAATACTGTAATTTAAAAGCTGCGAACATTACAGTGATCTGTAAGGAGATTTGTTAAAGAAAAAAAAACCTTTTTAAACACTATACTGTAGATGATAAGGTTCAAAGTTTTGTAGCTGATGTAGTAAGCTGCTAGCTGCTAGCTGCTAGCTGCTAGCTGCTAGTTGATGGTTCAGAACAATTTGATATACTTTTTTTTGTTTACAATCTTTCATTGTTCTTTTCCATCTCATCATTTGGCTTCAATGGCTTCTAAAGTTGGCTTCAAAGATTAACCCCTAAGAGAGGGTCATTTCCCGTAATCCAATCCCCCCTTTCCCGACTATATGTTTTCCCTACAAATAATCCATTCGAATGCAAATTTTGTGAGTAAACAGAGAGAGAGAAAAGAGATGGCCTTAGGTCCCTAGATAATTCTTTCATATTTGTGGTGTTGCGCGATCTCTTTCCCTTCACTGAATATTTAATTGCAATGACATAAGAATTGGACATGTTAAGAAGGAGGAAAACAATAGACGACGTTTTTTTCTCTCTTCTTTTGATGGTGAATGATTTGCTCTCTTTCATGCCAAATTGTCCCTGATGACGGACACAAAAAAAAAAAATTGTTTGGCCTCACATGATGCTTTAATATGATGCTAAGAATAGATCTTATAAATGAATGAAAAGAATTTTAAGAAAATATCTAACTGAATTACTGTATCGATTCGCTAATATTTTCCAAAATTTACATTTGAATCGATCGTTTGATGGGGCTAAAGGATTACGGTAGACATACGGTAGGATTACGATAGATTAATCTAGATTACTCTAGGTTACGGTAGGATTACTCTAGACTACTCTAGACTACTCTAGATTGCTCTAGATTACTCTACATTACTCTAGATCACTTTAGATTATTCTAGACTACTCTAGATTACTGTAGACTACTCTAGATTACTTTAGACTACTCTAGATTACTCTAGACTACTCTAGATTACTCTAGACTACTCTAGACTACTCTAGACTACTCTAGACTACTCTATATTACTGTAGACTACTCTAGATTACTCTAGACTACTCTAGACTACTCTAGATTACTGTAGACTACTCTAGATTACTCTAGACTACTCTAGATTACTCTAGACTACTCTAGACTACTCTAGATTACGGTAGGATTACGGTAGACAAAGACAAAGTAAAATCAAGTGATTACTTCAATCACTTGCAACTTTTTTTTTCAACTTTAACGGGTTACAGTAATTCTAAGTCGAATCGTACAACGAGTAACTTGGACACTCTTCATACTTTTGCACTATCCAGATTACCGTTGATATTTTGAGGAACTGGGTGAGTGCTAGAGAGAGTTGCGTAACCCATCTCTTTCCTCTTTCCTTTCCAAAATTCCCCCACACTAAGGCTACCTAAGATAAACGATAATTGCCACGTGTTTGTTCATTCGACCAAACAAAGCAATATTCGTATTTTTTTGCGGAGATTTAAGAGTGTTCTTCCTTTAAAATAGGATGTAATTGAAAAGAAAAAAAGAGTTTTTTTTGCAAAGGAGCACTCTCTGCATAAAAAAATGGGGGAATTCAATGGAGAATAGAGCAGAAAAGAACAGAAAAGAATCTAATATTTTAGTGTTAAATGCTTTTAACACTAAAATATCGTGTTAATGTTTTCACAGAGGAAAGAAAAGTAGTCTTTGAGCTCGCTTTACTCTTCAAGATCTCAGTCTTTGATAGTCTTTGAGCTGACTTTAACTCTAGAAATTGTAGCCCTGCCAAAAAGGATCGTAGCTTTAAAAGTTGCTGTAGTTACCGTAGCAGCTCTGCCAATCAACAGATCATTTTTGTTGATCGCTGATTGATTTGAAGAAAATCATACACCACTCAAGGCACTGAAAGCTCAGCTTAAGCTTTTTCAAGCTCAGCTCAGCTCAAGCTTTTTCAAGCTCAGCTCAGCTCAAGCTTTTTCAAGCTCAGCTCAGCTCAAGCTTTTTCAAGCTCAGATACGGTAGCTTTTTAAGGTGATTACTAAGGAGGATAAAGATAAAGATAAAGAATAAAGAAGTGATAAAGATAAAGATCATTCTAGATAAAGAAGTGAAGGAATTGGCAAGAAAAAGTAGATTTCCGGAAAGAGGATTTTGAACCCTCAACCTTTTCCTTTTTGCTGGTCGCTAATTACTCTAACAACTGAGCTAAACCTTAACTCGCCGTACCTTAACTTGCCAAGAGAAAGAGGGAAAGGTAAGGGGGAAAGAAGAAAGAAAGAAAGAAAGAAAGGCTTATCATAGACAATTTACTAGATAAGTTTTCTTTTTTCGTAACTCTTTGTTCAAATTTCAAATCACTTCATCGATGACTTGCATTCGATTCTCAATTGCATTCGATTCTCACTTCCATTCTTCATTCCATCCCATTTGTATTCCCAATCTCTATCCACTTTCTCTTTATCAAAAAGAGACACATTTGAGTTGTTCTTTTCTAAAGCATGTACTTGATTGAATGCAAATGAGGGTCATCTGGTGGTTGAGAGAAAGTGAATGAATGAAGAGACAAGGTGATCCATTTGGGGGGCTTTACAATGAAGTGAAAAGACAACCAGGTGGATCCACTCGAAATTTACATATTCGACATTTGAAATAAAGTACTCGAAAATGAGAAAACCCCCAAATCAGTTCATATTTTTTTAGTTTTATTTCATTTGAGGGGTTTCATTAAGAGATAATCTCCCGGATCACAATTTCACCAATAAAAATGTCAGTTTTTCCGTCAACCAAAAGAAAAAGCGTCAATGACACTACAATTTATTTACGGAATTTGTATCTTCTCTTGCATTCGTGATCTTGGATACAATTTTGAGAAAGATTGAAAAAAATGAAATTTTTAGTATGTTAAGAAAGATAGACAATAATGAAAAAACGAAAAGCGAATAAGTACAATAGAATGTGGTTTGCGGGAAAGGGTTTGCGAAGTTTAAATCGGTGGAAAAACCGATGGAACTTAGGGCTTAAGATTTAGAGCTATTCAAAGTCTACGAGTTGAGAAATTAAGTTTTTGATCTACCGTATTTCTTCGAATAGAAGACCGGGCAAAGAGTATCATAGCGTACTCCTGCGTAGCAGCCCTTTTAAAAATTTCTTTTCTGCATAAAAGCTTTCAATCAAGTTGAGAAATTAAGATTTTGATCTATTCAAAGTATCCAGCTCAACTCCAGCAATCCAGCTTTAAAATTTTCAGTTTCATTTTCATTTTTCAGCCACTTGTCCTTTCGTGCGGTCATTCGTTGTGCTCTTCTTGCTGTTCTCGTTTACTCAATGTGCTCAATGGAAATGGTGGAAAAGTGTCGAAAAAAACGAGAATTCGAATGGGGTTTGTTTAGTTTTTATCTTGATAAAATCTTAGATGAAACCTTTTTCTTATTGTTGTTTTTCTTTTAACCTTTGATTACTGTGAAATCAAAATGCTTTATTGATATCAATTGAGACTGTATCCTTATGCAGTACACCTTGTGCAGTACACCTTGTGCAGTACACCTTGCGCAGTACACAGGCTAACTTATCAAAAGTAACTTATTAAAAGTTCCGAAATGTTAAAATTACTGTAAACAGATCTAATAAAGTATTCAGTAAACCTATAGCTAAAAGCTAAACTCTTAAGCTAAAAGAATCAAAAGTAACTTATTAAAAGTTCCGAAATGTTAAAATTACTGTAAACAGATCTAATAAAGTATTCAGTAAACCTATAGCTAAAAGCTAAACTCTTAAGCTAAAAGAATCAAAGATCTTTCTGTTTCTGGAGTTGAAACGAAATTCTTACTCATGAAAGCTTTTCAGTGTGACAAGTCTGTACACGAAATACCATCGAATTGGTTTCTCATCATCCCTTGCATCAACCTCATCCAGTTCTCTTTCTTCAATCGCTTCTTCATCGATCATTCCCATCTACAAAACCCCAGAATGTCCACAGTGTGGAGAAACACCAAAAATGGTTTGTTTTTAGTGAAAGATTTAAGAGATTCAATGAAATTTTGAAAATTCCCCTAAATCCAGAATGACGAGCGTACAGTCTTACTTTGAACATTCCATTCTCCGCGTTGCTTTAAGATACAGTGTGCGTTTAGCTGTCAAATGATAGCCCTTGAAATCTAGTATTTTTTGGTATCAAACGTGTAGTTAGGAAAAATCTAGAAACGGAGGAAAAAAACTGATTTTCCAAAAAGAAGTTAAACTTACGCGTTTGTATGAGTAGCGTTTTATTAAAGTATTTCTAGTATTTTTCAGACTGCACCAATTCCAAATCTTGAACTATCAGCTTACCCTATCAGCTGCAAGCTTGCAGCTAAATAAACAAATTTTACTACAAGAATTTTTACGAAGCTCAAGCTCATCTTTTAAAGCTGATGCTTTAGTATCTCCTATCTATATTTTCCAGACTGCACCAATTCCAAATCTTGAACTCGAGCGTCTCCTTTCGAAAGGTCTTCCGAATCGGATCTCCGAATACGATAATCCCATCTATCGGGAAAGTGATCAAGAAAATTTTGTGGAAACGATTTTTGAGTAAGTTTATGAGGAATTGAATTTCTATTTATTTTTCTATTTAGTGATTTTGATATAGAATGCTTCAATTCTGTACTAATTCTAATACTAAAATAATCTTTTTTTTTCAAATTTCAGCTCAGCCCCAATCCAAGAATGTTCCCTAGCTGTGCTTGGAGCGCCTGGAGTCGGCAAAACGAGCATTGTGAGTTATAATTGATACACTTGCTTGTAATAGTAATAGTTATTTGATATTTATATAATAATATAATAATATCCAATCTTTAGACCCGAGTTCAATACGGTAACGAGATGATGATTTGTGGGGAGAACGCGGAAAGTTCGGGGATTTTTATCGACATTCTTGATGATCATGTAAACATTTTTAAAAGTTTTCCTATATTCTAAACTATCGTATAAGGTTTAAAGATGTTTTATATAGAATTTGAGTGATCAGATCAAGAGTTAAGCTCACTACTAGAATCTAGATCTGATACTAACAGGCTTACTGTTTGTTAGTACTAACAGTAAGCCTGTTAGTTAGAGTGTGTTCCTCGCGCGTAATGCGTTTTTTAACACACAATAAAATATCGTGCTTTTAAAAAGTTATTGCAAAAAAATGACGAAAAGTAGTCTTTGAGCTCCCGCTTTACTCTTCAAGATCTCAGTCTTTTAAAGTCTTTGAGCCGACTTTAACTCAGAAATTGTAGCCCTGCCAAAAGGACGTAGCTTAAAAGTTGCTGTAGTTACCGTAGAGCTCTGCCAATCAACAGATCATTTTTGTTGATTGCCGATTGATTTGAAGAAAATCATACACCACTCAAGGCACTGAAAGCCCAGCTCAAGCTGATTTTTTTTGGAAAACCTGCGCAAAAAATTGCTTTTATATTTTTTTCGCGCAGGCGCACTTTTTAGAAAACGCATTACTCGACAATTACTCGAGCTATTACTCGAGTAATTACTTACTCGCAAGGAACACACTCTACTGTTGGTACTAATATATTAGTACTAACAGGTACTAATATATTAGTACTAACAGGTACTAATATATTAGTACTAACAGGTACTAATAGACTAGTACTAACAGGTACTAATAGACTAGTACTAACAGGCTTACTGTTAGTACTAATCTATTGGCCTAGTATTCGTTAAAGAAGAAATTTGATTAGAATAATTGTATCTTGTAATTTGAATTAAACTTTCAGAGACTCGAGGAGAATCTTTCGAAAGCACATGGCTTCGTTTTGGTCTACGCAATCACTGATCGAGACTCGTTGACAACAGCGGAAATGCTTTCAGGAATGATTCGAGAACATCGTGGTGATCAGGTAAATAAGAAATTTTGAGAAAACAGAACTCAAGGTGAGCTTTTGTCTGGACATCTAGTGCACTTTATAGAATCGGGTATCAGAAATCCGATGAAATCAATCTTCAAAAGAAAAACAAAAACAAAAATGGAGATCAGGGACTGAACAGTGATCCTGTGGATGGAAGCCTAATGCGGACATAGGGCTTTGGTGGCCTAATGGATAACCCATTGGGCCACCAAAGCCCTATGTCCCTGCTAGGAAGGATCCTTCTAAAGCATCCCTCAAATTTTCGATTAAAGTTTTACACGCCTGAAAAGTCATTTGGGAGACTTGATTTCAGATTCGGATTCCTCATAGCCGATTTTATAAAGTGCAAAAGGTGTAGGCTGTAAAGCTTGAGAGATGTAAAGCACACAAAAGACAAGCTTTTGCTTTTCCATAGCTAGCTTTGCTAGCTTGTCTTGACCAATCAATTTTTCAATAGAAATATTCAATATTCAATCTTCAATATAAAACTTCACCCCTTTAGGTTCCAATCGTGCTAGTCGGCTCGAAAAGTGACGCGGATCGGCGACGAGTTGTCACCGCCTATGAAGGTACAAATAAACTTTAAAATATATAGATAAATATTTAATTGAAGCTTTCAAGCTAACAAGTTTTAGATAAATAACTTATTTTAGATATATTTTAGATATATTTTTTTTTATTCAACTTTTCTAGGTCAGCGTTTGGCTCGTCAAATTGGTGCCCCGTTTCGCGAGGTGTCGGCAAGGAAAAATGATGGGATAAATGAGGTAAGAAATCTGCAAAATTAGCTAAAATAGCTAGAAAACCCTATTTCTAAACCAAAAATACAAATTTCATTGCAAAATGCAAAATTTAGTGCACTAGATGACTAATGTTTACACGTTCACAAACAAACCCCCTTTTCCCAAACGTTTCCCCAATCATTGTTCATTGGGTTCATTTTTTGTTGACATCTCAAAACCAAAACAAGTTTTATGATATTTTCGGAGATGGATTTAAATTAAAGGTTGATGACGTGAATGGCTGGAAAAAAGCAATTCCCCTTCCCAACTTTTATGAGTTCCAAGTGTTTGGCCCGGCAAGAAAGGAACCAAAAATTTTGTGTCTAATCTAAGAAGTCTCAATTCTCAAGTCACAAGCAAAATTCTGAAGCTTTAAAAAAAAATTCCGCATTCCAGATGTTGAAGTTGGAAATAAAATCGTAATAGATTAGGGTAGCTTATTCCCCTTCTTTCTTCTTCTTTCTTCTTTCTTTCTTCTTCTTTCTTTCTTTCTTTCTTTCTTTCTTTCTTTCTTTCTTTCTTTCTTTCTTTCCACCTCATCTCCTCGCCTCCTCACCTCCTTCTTTCTTTCTTTCTTTCTTCTTTCTTTCCACCTCACCTCCTCATGTGTTCTGTTCCACCGGAAACTCGATAAAAGCTTTTTCAAAAAGTATTTTGGACATGTTCTGATAGTTTTTATGAGTAAAGCTTTATAGTTAACGATTTTGATTCTACGAAGATTGAGATGATAGATTGAGATGATAGCTTGAGATGATAGATTGAGGTGATAAGTACTCTATCTTGATCGCTAAGCCTTTACCCTATTAGCTACAAGCTTGCAGCTAAATAAACAAGTTTTACTACAAGAATTTTTACGAAGCTCAAGCTCATCTTTTAAAGCTGGTGCTTTAGTACCTCAAAGTTCAAGCACAGTAAGGAATTTGGTCTTAGGCTGCCATTGTCTACCATTGTCATAAGGACCATGACCTAAATTTCTAAGTTAAGCCAAGCCAAAGCCAATCCAACCTCTTGCCTTTAACTTGACTAGCCTTGGCTTTTGGATTTTCTATTGTTCGGCCTTGATTAGGATGTGTTGGTGTAGTTCATTGGTAGGTATATGGGAGAATTCTAAGCCGAGCCTAATTCTACCTTCGTTTTCTCGGCCGTTTCTTGGCCGATCGCTCTGAAATTGTGTCTACAAGCTGAGGACATCGATTTCTATCTGTAGACAGAATTTCAGAGCAATCGGCCAAGAAAATGAAGGCGGAATTAGGGTCGGCTTGGAATTTTCCCATGGCTAATAGGTGGCGGCTCGAATCCCAGCACTGCATTTGTGATCCCCCAGCCTGTAAAAGCCTTGACGCGCCCAACTTTACATTATCAACCTTATTTTAGTATCTCAAAGTACTACTATTGTACTAATATCACTCAAAGTACTAATACCTAGTACTACTATTGTTGAACCAAAAGAAATTACGCTCTACATTTTGTTGAGCTTTGCTGAATCCGAACGAAAATTTGTCTCTTTTTTCCCGATTCCTGTAGTTATTAGCTATGAGAAATGCTCACAGGCTAATTACCACCAAAACGCAAACTGTTTTTTTTTAAAGAATATCATACTTTACATAGTTCACAAGTAAAGTCGATAACTTGAAGCACCTTGATGTTTCCAGACTCGAAACTCCAACTCCGAGAAAATCTAATTCCTTTAATTAACTTTAATTCAACTCTGACAAATCATGAGATCAAATATCTAAGTTCAAATGATTTCAATTCAATTGAAATTTGAATTCCAATTCTAATTTGTATCTTCAGGCATTCGACGAGCTTCTCTCCCTCATCGCTGTCGGCTTTCGTTTCCGAGAAAACAGGGAATACCGTCGAATTTCTCCTACAAATCTCGAAAAGTCGTCTCGTTTTTTAATCCAATAGAAGCCCTAGATTATTTTCTTTACATTATTTTGCTGAACTTTGAATAAAGATTTTTGGAGAAAGATATTTTCGCACTCACCCACATAAAAGCTTGTTTCCACCTGGGAATCGTGAAAAAAATCGTGATGTCAAAAAGGATTTTCTTTAAAAATAAAAGGATTAACGTTTAGAAAAGGAAAAAAAACAAATAAGGATTAGAAATTTTTGCAAAAGAAGGATTCGATTTCTTGAAAAGTTGATTAAAGAGAATTTGAAGTGAATGAGATTTTAGGTGTTTGTTGTTTGTTTTGTTTCCTTTTTTGTGTAATTCTTGAGATAACAACGGCACTATTTATTGGAAAACTGAAAAGAAATAAGAAAATTCAAATAAACACAAAAGTAATTTAAAGAAAAAAGGAATTTTGAGAGATTTTGAGAATTGATCAATTTAGAGAGGAAGTCGGGAACGATCGCTGGCTGAAACAAATTGAAATTATTGATGAAGTGATTGAAATTATTGAAATTATTGAAATGATTGAAATTATTGAAATTATTGAAATGATTGATGAAATTGCGAGTACAGCTGAAGTACAGCTGTACTTATAAAGTCAAAAGTGTTTAGCATTCATGAATCTATGAACTCCAAAACTGATTGGCAAATGATTACATTCAAATACCCAAGTAGTAGTTTCCTTAAAGATTTTTAGTCTTAACAGTTGAATACTTTATTCAAATATAGTGATTTTGAACTTATTAGATTGAGGGAAAAAAGTTCTGACTCAGCTGTGAAAAATTCAATTTTTTTTGCTGATTTTTTGTGCTTATAGTCTTGTACGGTGTTTCATCTTTGTATTCCAGATGAGTTTTCAAGAGAAAAGAGCTTCGAGTTTTCATCAGCTATTGCTGGAAACGGAAACATTTGAAGAAAGTTGAAGCTTCGAAGTTCTTTGTTCTTTGAGAGTTCGCTTGGAGATCGAAAGCTTGAAGATCGAAAGCTTGAAGATCGAAAGCTTGAAGATCGAAAGCTTGGTGAACAAAAGCTTGGTGATCAAAAGCTTGGTGATCGAAAGCTTGAAGATCGAAAGCTTGAAGATCGAAAGCTTTGAGGATCGAAAGCTTGGAGATCGAAAGCTTGGAGATCGATGTCAGAAAGTCGTAGATAATAATGCGTTATACTTTGAGGAATAATTGTTGTTATTTTTGTTAAAGTGCGCATAAAAATTGAATTTTTTCCAGCTGAATCAGGATTTTTTTTCTCCTCAACCTAGTATTTGTGTTTTTTATGTGTTCGACTGTAGTTAGAGAGATATAAAAGTATAGTTTTGAGTATAGAAAGTATAGAAAGTTAGAAGAAAATTTTGTTCAGTGATCTTTTCGAGATCGTTTTTTTTTCTCTCCCACCTACCGAGTTGCCTCAACGCCGTCAGTCCAACGTGATGTGTGCGGCCCGTGCCTCGATAACTCCCTTGAACAAAACAATTAAATTTACACATTTCTATTCTCATTTATTTCTATTTTAATTGCTTTATATTTTTTGAAAATTACAGACAAACTTTGTATTTTCAGCTGAAATTTTTTTCCTTGTACAACACCTGCCTTTCATGACGCTTTCACCAAAAAAAGGCATGTGAAAAGTTGAAAAAAGGGTTTAAATTGGTTCTTTAATGCATTTTTAATGCATTCTTAATATTTCTGAGTTCAACTTTTGATGAAAGATTCATTTTTGAATGGAAAATGGTGACTAAGACTCAATTCTTTTTTCTCTTTTGTTACTCCAACAAAAAAACGAACAAAATCAAGAGATAATATCATATTTCTAGGAAAATAAGAAAACAATGAAAAAGAGATGAAAAAGAGACTCGAAAGAGATTTTATTGTATTTCTTTTTACGTCTTTGATTTTTGAAAAGAAAAGAATTGTCTAGATTGGAGGAATGAAAGGGAATGGAGGGAATGGAAAAGAAAGTCTAGTGGATGACGAGGTGATTTGGATAAAGAAACAAGAACGAATGAAAGGAACACAAAAAGAAAGTCTAGTAAATCACCTCGTGATCTTTATCTAAATCACGAGGTGATTTGGATAAAGAAACACGTCTAATCTTAAATGTAATCCTAATCTTATTCATCAAAATATGAATGGCAAGAAGTTTGAGTTTAAATATTAACAATAACTGATAACTAGAATAGAACTAGAATCATTTATGGGTTAGAGTTAAGCCAAAACGAGCTCAAGACTTGTAAACCAAGTCCGGCCAGGCCTAGTTCTAAAGTTAAGTTCTAAAGTTTTTGCTTAGATTTATAGATTAGATTTATTTAAATCTCTTTAAACTATGCAATGACCGATAAGCTACTAAAATCACTACTCGTGCTTTGACAGAAAGTTTAGAAAAAATGGCAGCATTGGTCTGTTTGAAACATCTCATCTCATCTCAGTAGAAGCTTACATTAGTCAGCAATTGTCAGCAATTGTATTTGAAAAGTTTTGCTAGCTTTTACAACTACAAAATCTTCATGATCTGCCAAATTTACCGATTTCATTTCGGCTTTAGAAAACTTGAGATTTCAAATTTTCGAAGAGCTGCTAAAATTCAGCGTTTCTTGCAGTTTCCTCTACCGCATAAACAGCTTCACATTTTGTTTTTCCCCTCTAAATGCATGAAATTTTTGCTATTCCCTCATCACTTTTTCTGATTTGACACACTAAATCACGCTTTTCCTATAAAATATTCATCTCAGATCATCTTGAGGCTCATGTTCTCCGTTGACTCTTTTTTTTGAGGTGATAGTCGAGGAAATTTATCGCCGCGAAAGGGAGATTTGTGAATTGCTTGAAAATTGCTTGAAATTTTAACTTTTTAAGAAATTAATTAATTCTAGGCGACAAAATTTATCTTCACGCGACTGATTTGTTGGGAGAGATTCGTGAGGGGGAAAGAGGGGAAGAGGGGAAGAGGGGAAGAGGGGAATGAGGGGAATGAGAGGAGAACACCCCGGAAGTTTGATGTAAAAATGGGGAGATCAAGATTGAAATTGGGAAAGGGATATTATTGGAAACATTTGGTAAAATTATTGGATTATTGGATTGGATTAAGAGCTGAAAGACTCGAAAATCAGATTCGAAAAGTTCGCTATAAACATCTCTTCAGATATCAGCTTCATAATCAGTGTGGCATGCGTTTATGTGCAAAAGGATTACAGTAAACTTAGAGATTTAAAGATATAGATTCAGTGTGTCAGATGGTTTGCATTTTTGCGTTGAAAATTAAACATATTAACTTTCTCTAGGTTTTTTTTACATCTACACTACTGGACAATGAAATATCATATTTGAAAAAAAGATCGTCACTTTCGCGCGTCTGTAACTCCCTTGTCTTTGAGTTTAAACTATTAGTGTTATACATTTTCTGAAAGCTCTTTTCAAGAGCTACACAATGGTAATATTAATATTTAGAAATACGGCAAAGACAAAGGAGTTACAGACGCGCGAAAGTGACGATCGTTTTTCAAATATGATATTTCATTGTCCAGTAGTGTACATATATCTCTAAATTGGACAGTTTGTTCAGAAATTTTATTTATTTATTTATAAATTTACTCAACTTCAAATTTATAAATTTATTCAACAAATTCATTTATTCAACTTGATCTGGAAACTTACTAGATCCGTGTGCCAAATGGCTTTCATTTGAGGGTAAAGAGTTAAAAGATAGAAACTTTTAAAGACTTTTAAACTCCTTTTTAATTTTTGTTAAGTTCAAGATCAGTTTAACATTTCCCTAAAGGCAAACTCACTTCCGAATCGGAAAAAGTTCGGGTTCAGTCCTTCCTCGTTCTCGAATTGATACTGAAAATCTTTCTTTCAGAGTTTTTTTGGTTATTATTTTCGATTTGTTAGTTAGAAATCGCAAGCTTTTAGAGAAATCTCGAACTTTTCCTCTAATCACCAATTAAAAAACGTGAACTCAAAAATAAAGCATGGTAACTAGGGAGTCTTTTTTTCCAAAATAAATGTGGGAAAATGGGAAAATGGTGAAAATAGAATTCGAAATGAATGCAGTTGTCTTATGGGGAGGAAATTACCCGTTAGCGATCGTTCTATCGTTCTATTTCTCATCCCTATTTGCATATTTCATCTTTCGATACGAAATTGCTTTTTTTTGCTTTTTTTGCGATTTTTTGCTATTTTTGCCATTTTTGCCATTCAATTTCTATTCGTTTACCTATTTTAGGTTTTATGAGTAAGAAATTCCTCCTGAAAATCGATTCACGACTAATCAAATCTTGAAATTGAAAACAAAAATTTGTTATCTTGTTATATTTGTTTCCAAGAAACGTTTGATTTGTTTTACGTGTGATCATTGTCAAACAAAATGCTCAATGAGATGCTTTTCCCAAGGGAAACAAATTTCGATTCACATGAGAGAAAAAAAGTGTGAAAATAACAAGAATTTCTACAAAAACAATCCTACAAACATAACATTTCGACTTTACTAATTGAATTCATTGATCTATCGACTTGTTTGTGAATGTTTTCACAAAAATACCCCCTGAACACTCCAGTATAGTTGCAGCCGACTCACTGAGTACTGACTTAAAGCTTAATTCCCTCCAATAACATCACCTAAGCTTAATTTCAAAAAATTTGGAAGCTATTCAGTCTTTTTGGATAAACAACTAGAATAGAGATAGATTTTTCTATAAAAAATAAACTTGAATAGCTTAAGTAAGCTTGATTGTGAGTACATTTTTGCCTCTACACTTTGCCAGCTTGCCAGTTTGCCAGTTTGCCAGTTTGCTCCGAGAACGTAACTTGTACCCATCTCTTACGCTCAACTTATCCTATTTACTGTAAAAGAGAACTGGGTTTACGGTAAGTTATTCAAAAACTTCTTCAATACAAAACAAACCTCAGCTATGACGACAGCGGCAAGCAAGAGCCCCAATAAGAAGAATTTCATCATGATTTGAACAAACGGGGAAAGTCTTCGGAGTGAGACTGGGATTCAGAAGGATTTTCGGGGGCTGAGGGTTTCCTTTTATATGGGACGGGATTGGGTGATGGCAATTGGGAAGAAAAGAGGGGGTGAGAGGGAAAAAAGAAGACGTGCCCCCAGGAAAAGAAATTCTGGGCGGGGCTATCCGCCTACAATTTATCCCCATCTCCAAATGAATATTTTCGTTTGTGTTCGTCCAGGAGGAAAAAAAAATAGAAGACATGTGGGCAAAAGTTAACCGTTTTTAAGCGATACTTTGTCATGCGGAAGTACGAGTTTGAGCAACGAAATTTGCATCGTTTTTCACACTACGAAGAATAGCACAAATTACGTGAAAAAGAGTACATCCCAAGTCAAACAAAGATTACATTTTAATACTGGAACTTCTTGCTCTTGATGAGATAAACAAAGTGAAGAGAATCTTGCTGTGAAGGTGGCTTCGGGGATAGGCTAATTTTCGCCATTTTATTTGCGCAACAGGGTCACGCAGATCACCATAACTTTCTTCTAAGTGGACCAATCTTTATGATTTTGGTGTCATTTTGTTGCACTTATTGAGATCTACAAAATGACACCAAAATAATAAAGATTGACCCACTTAGAAGAAAGTTATGGCGAGTTGCGGAAAAGACCTAGTGGCGCAAATAAAATGGCGAAAATTAACTTACCCCGGACTTCGCTGTTTTCCTCTTGAGCAAACCTTTCTAAAAAGTGCGTTCGACCACCGTAACCTTGCTGTTTTTGTGGTAAAAATCGACTATTTCACTATCGACTCTCGACGAAGCCTCGTTTATTTGAAAACCTTTTATAAGGTCTCTATTTAGAACAAGCGAAAGCACTCACAAGCTCACTTGCTGCCTAAATTTAAGCAGCTGGAGTACGGTAGCATCACCTGGCAAGATATTTTATTGCATTTTAAGCTCCAATTTATCTTTTGCTTGTCGTGACCCAACCAAGCACTCCCCGAAAAGAAATCTTTTCCCTTTCCCAGGCCACACTCCATGCCGCAACCTTTACACGCAAATTGGCTAGAAAGATTTCAGGGTGTCATACATTGACACTTTATTACGTCAATAATGATTTCTTCAGTTGGTCTTTTTTTAAAGTTTTTTGTAAATTTAGAACTTTTTTTTCCTTTTCAGGTAATGAAATCGAGGTGTTTATGGGCGCTGGCACGCAGAGCTTCATCAAATGTAAGCATTTTGTTGTACTTTGTAAAAGTAAAGTGTTTTAAAAAGCTAGAAATATCTTATTATTGCATATTTTCAAAAGCTAACTAATGCTTCTATATTTAGACAACGACGGCACCGATTTTGACACACAAAGAGACGGTCGAGCTACTCTACAAACAAGTCAAGTATGTTTTATTTTGTAAGAACTTTACCCAAAGCTTGTATCATTGAGCAAGTTTTATTTTTGGTCAATAGACAATAGATTTTCCAACTTTAGCGACGCTTTACAAATACCGGCTCCAAAGAATATACATGAGATTCAACTTGAACCTCGAAAAATGGTCGACTCTTATGCTCGGGTAACTTTTGTTTCCAAATATAGAGTTGTTACTAGTTTTGTTTTAACATAAAATTGCTAATTTTTGCCCGGTTTTTATCGTAAATTTCTTTAGGTTGCGGTACGATTGTCCGGAAGCGGAGAAGAGCGAAGACGTTACCTGACAGGCAAAGGAACCGTAAGAATGGGACGACTTTTGGAGGTACACATGTGATTCTTGTATATTCGCAATTTGTATTTAGGATCTCGATCATTACGCGGTGTGGCTATGCTATTTGCACAATCGGGCCGATATAAATCAAGTTGATTCACCGCCATCTTTGCCTCGATCCATCGTAACCGGATGTGTCGACCGAATTGGATATCATGGGTTAGTTTGTAAGTAGACTGTGACTTTATCTCTTTTTGCTTTTAGAGTCCTCGGTGATCGAGACCTCATTTTGGACGGAAATGTATCGTGGGTTGGTCGATCATCGATGGAAACAACAATGCGCGTTTTTCAGGTGCACATTGTTTGCGTTTCAACTAAAATCTAATTTAGGCCGATGAGGACAATCACTTGAAACAAATCCTGAAAGCTAACTTTGTTTTGGTAAGTGTTTTTAAAATAGAAAATATTTTGATCTTTGACTTTTTAGGTGTCGAGAGATGCAACAGATCTGAGTCGAGCGATGCCTGTTCATCCTTTAATGGCTTGTACTCCAGGTACGGGATTTCTAAATGTGTTTTAGAAAACGTAGTAATTATTTAACTAAAAATGAGTGGTTCAGATGAAGCAGCCATTCTCCATCAAGGTGCTGAAGCAAATAATGAACGAAAATATAAGGTATCTTTGTAAATAAGTTATCCTTTATGTTTAGTACCAAAGTACAGGTTTTAAAATAAAATCTTCAGGAAAAAAAATCATTGTTGAAAGTGCCACCAAGGGCTGATGAATGGACTGCTCTTCATCAACTTTTTCTCAACAATCTCAACCAAACGAATAGCGGAAATTACACTGTTGCTCTGAAGGTAAACCTTGTGGGTTTTTTTAGAGTTTCTTTTTTCAGCCAGGACACTGTTGGATGAAAGATAGTGAGATGAGAAATACGGAGTTGTGCTTTCCCGAGTTTCAGGTTTGTTTTGTTTTTTAATTCATTTAAACTCCTATTTTTAGAACATTTACGGCAAAGTTTTTGGCGGATTTCTGATGAGAGAGGCTGTTGAACTAGCATTCATCTGTGCTAAATATTTTTCGAAGGTTTTTTTGGATTTTAACGTTTGTCGTTACCATTATAGGGTCCCGTATCACTTGTGTCAACCGATGATATTCTCTTCCGAGAAGCGGTGAACATTGGAGATCTGATTCAATTCACCGCAAGAGTCGTTTATACAGAGAAGCATTTTATGCAGGTTTGTTTTAAAAGGTTGCACATTCTTGCTCTTTCGATCTTTAGAATGCCTATTGTTTTATGTCTTCTTCGGCATTATAGAGCTTTATTTTCAGCTACGAATCTATGCAGAGACTTGTGATGAGGATTTCAACGAAACCAAGATGACTAACGAATTCTCGTTCACTTTCCGGGCTGACGATGCAAAAATTGTGAGTCTTCTTAGCCTTGTTACATTTATCTTTTTTCCAAGGTCCCAAAAGTTATCCCAGACGACTACGGAGCGGGAATGTTGTATCTGAATGGAAAACGAAATTTCGAGAAAGTGAAAAGGTTTTGTATTTAAGTTCATTAGCGTTTTTCTGTCTAGTATTTATATTTTGCCATCTGTGATCTCTAGGAGTATTATGTTTTTAATAAACTCTAGTATTTGACGGCCTAGACTCTTGAAACACCCATAAACACTTCTTCTGGTCAATCGTTAGAGAATCAACTTGTACGGTGGGCAGTGATTTCCGATTCATATCAATACGTCCATGAAAAAGACGCGAAATTCCCCGACATCTAAGCATTATTATTGAAACCTTATAAAATAAAAAAAGCGGTACTTTTCCAATATCGGGGGAGCGAAATGAAAATCAGGGGAGCAAATTTTGCCAGCGCTATGTCCTATATTATAAAAATTACCACCATAAAATCCGCGAATTACCCGTTATTCTCACAAACTTTATATTGGATCACAAAAGTGACTTAAAATACCCAGCGAAATAGATCTTTTCCCTTTGAGCGGACTTTCATCAATTCGCCACAGTTGCAAATCCACGACTGGATGACTCCTTTGGTGACGAAATAATCGATTGCCGTCGATTACTTAAACGCACAAATGTCGGAGAAGCGCATCGTCGTTAAAGTTAAAAAAAACGTTGCAGTTAAAATTCGCTCCTGGAAATGCATTTTTTGTGGGGGCAAAATTTGCTACCCTAATTCTCATTTCGCTCCCCCGATATTGGAAAAGTACCAAAAAAGCAACTTCTCAATTTGTAGCCCTGGCAAGTAATCTAGTACCCGAAGAAGGGGTAGATCCCGGAGAACAGCAAAATCGAGGTGAGTTTCCTAAGACATAAAAGTTGTGATAAAGAGCCAAAAAAAAATTGAGTTGACTATCTGAAAAAAGAAATAAAACGAGAAAAACCATAAGAAACACGAAACTCATGCTTTACAAAAGCGATTGCAAGGTTTTTCTAGGAAATTCTCATTTGGTTTGTAATTGGAACGCTAGCTTATAAAGTCAGAAAAAAAACATCCAAGTAATATAACAACTATAAATATTAAAGGGGGTATTCCGGCATTGAAAAATCACAGCATAATTTTGGAGCTATCTGCTTCGGTCATTCATTGGTTCAAATAATCTCTCCTCCTTGATTTTCATTCAATCTTCATATAGTCTATTCAAAAATACAAAAACACTGAGGCATAATGGCATATTTAGCCATGAAAAGGAAGCAAAACTAAAATCCGAGATCAATTATTTATGATGTATGTATTATACAAAATGAATACAAAATCAGAATACAAAATGTATTCTGATGGGGTCTTCTATACTTTTCCGTAAAATATCCGCATTATCGGCAGAGATTGACCAAGAGGGGCACTATGTATTAGGCCGTCCAGAAAATCTTTTCGTGTAGAGGAGATGAAGACGCATCTTTTATGCACGATAAAACCATGATTTCACCGGTGACTTCAAATTTTCCATATACTTTGATTCTTAAGTATCGAAATTCTGCGTCGAATCGGCTCACGTCATTTGGCCACCACATCCGGCTGACATTCCCTTGTTAGTTTCTTTTTGTACTATTGACCGAGAGAGGCACTATGTATTGGAAAATCGGGGGTAGGCTACTTTCCGCCATTTTATTTGCGCAACAGGGTCATTTGCGCAACTTTAACACTGTATTAAGCACTCGAATTTTTAATCATTATTTTAATTTTTGAGCTTTTTTTTTATTGTTTTTTTATTTTCTTCTATTTTTTATGAAATCTTCCAATTTTTTGCACAATCTTCCAATATTTATCTAAATTAGTCCTTTCTAAGAGCTAATAACCATTAGTAAAATATTTTATCGCTTTAACAAAAAAGTGCAACCGATAACAATGAAAGTTAGGACAACAATAGCAATGAAATTTAGGACAACAATAAAAATCAAATTTTTTAATATAAGTCAAAAGCTGAGAAAGATGTTGCACAAAATCGCAACCGGGCAAGCGACCATTAGAAATAGCAGTAAAACGTTGCTTTTGTCGAGCCAATACAGTTTTCTTCCGTGTGTAGCTTTGTCCAACAGTGAGATTGATAGCCGATGAAAGCTTGAAACGGTTGATTATTGGCGTCATTTCTTCGTAAAGTCTGACCGCATTATACGATGGATGCGGATTCTTGGGAAAATGCGGAAAATTAGTTAACAATGGTTTTTAAGAATAAACAAAACCGTACTAGAATTTTAAACAACAAAAAAAAACGTCAAAAACTCCCTTAAAAAAAACGTCCCTTAAAAACGTCAAAAAAGTTGCGCAAATGACCCTGTTGCGCAAATAAAAAGTTGCGCAAACGTACTTGCGCAAATGACCCTGTTGCGCAAATAAAATGGCGGAAAGTAGCCTACCCCGAAAATCGTCCAGAAAATCTTTGCATTCCTTTTACACATTTTCGTTGAAAAATAACAAATTCATCAATTAACCTATGGTTTTCTCTGAGAATTTGGCTATATACCAAACTTTTTGTCCTCTATCTTTTATCTATTGACACCAAGATATGTTTCCTTAGTTAAAGTGTCTAAACCACATTATGAAGCCATCGCCATTTTTGACTACCCGACTTCACGCTCCGAAAAAAATCCAGAAATAAGACATTTGAAACCAGTTTTAATCTTATTTTGCAGAAAAATAATTGACCTTTCTAATGAAACAAACCGTAGTTCTTATGGTTTTTATCGTTTTAATTCTTTTTTTCAGACAGTCAACTATCTACAGCGTTGCTGTTACTGGCGGATTGTTCGCATGGAAGGCCAAGAAACTAGTAGTTCGGTGAGATGTCAATTTTTTTCTTTTCTTAATCACGTTTAACCGTTTTGAAAAGGATTTAAGCTTCTCTAAATGATCTGTTTTTTATCACAACTTTTATATTTTAGGAAACTCACCTCGATTTTGCTGTTCTCCCGGATGTTCCCCTTCTTTGGGTACTAGATTACTTGCCAGGACTACAAATTGAGAAGTAGCTTTTTTTGTTTTATAAAGTTTCAATAATAATGCTTAGATGTCGGGGAATTTCGCGTCTTTTTCATGGACGTATTGATATGAATCGGAAATCGCTGCCCACCGTACAAGTTGATTCTCTGACGATTGACCAGAAGAAGGTCGACCATGAACTTCCTGCTAGTGATCATAACGAGGTAGTTTTCAGGAAGACCTTTAACTAGCGTTTTAGGTTGAACCAACTGTCTTCATCACGATTTTCTTCAAAGACCGCAAGCCATGCTGGCGAAAGTATGGAGCTGCTCCATTGAAGAAAGCCCTCAAGAGATTCGATCACATGTTTCCACGAATGTCGGTTGAAAGTCTCCATTTGGTACGGCTTTCAAAGTTTACGCACTGCGCCATCATTAAGCCATGCTCAACACAAAACATTAACGACAAAGTACAGACAAATGTAATGAGAACTTTTAGGAGCTTGAGTATTTCGACGACACCACGTTTCATCAATTGCTGAAGAGGTTTGAGGACTTCAACGTGAAATGCAAGAATCTTTTGGTGGTGACGGAGGGACAAAAGTTCCAGTGGAAGGATTTACGACCTATGCTACTTCAGCTTGAACCAGAGAACTTTTCTTTCACGGTTTATTATTTTTATTTCTCAACTAACCAATTTAGCTTCGTGGTGAAAATACCCCATTGACATCGTCATTCTGGCAAGATAAATGCATTCGAGATTGTCGGGAGCTGTGCATTGGGGCGAAGAATTTGTGCTTTGATGATCAGGTCAAAATAATTAAATGTGCCTACTAAACAAATGAAATTCATCTTTTATTAACACTGAAGATTGGCTAACAACATCAATGGTTATATCAAATTGTTGCTCTGCTTCTAGGTGCTCTTGAATTTTGCCTCTCTGAATTACATGCTTGGTCGCACTGCTTGTACATTTAACGGAATCGCCTCATTTCTCAACGAATGGAAAGCCGGAACCCGAGAAGTGACCAAGATACGACTATGGGTTCAATCTGATCTGAACATCAGAGCGGTGAGTGAAAGAATTAATTTTTGAGATGTTCGTGTTTAGTTCTTTGCGATGTTGTCTTGGAATGTCGAAATTGCAACGTCGGTCCGCCGCGATGATTTATTCGAGTATCGTACAGTTATTACGAATTCCCTGGGCAATAGCTCGAGCTATGGATCGAGGAAATCACGAACACGAAGAAATTTTGGTAATTTTTTTAGATTGAGTTAGAAAACATCATTCTTGTCGTTCAATGTAATACGACAACCTTCTCCAAAAAGCGATTAAATAATCTGCTTTCAGTTTTGAGATGATGGACGACGACTACTACGACGGCTTGTACCCCAGTTGGGAGCCGAGTTGGAATCCCGATAAGTACCAGGATGACGATCGATTACGGTTACGTGATGCGCCGGCTCGCGAGTTTCTTGATGTAGAAATTTTGAAAACTTGGCCCATTAAAGCTGAGAAATGACCATTTATTTAAACTCTAAGAGACTCGGATTTGAACTTATGACTTGAACTTCGTTTATTTCCTAAATCTAAAATCTTACGAATCTTTTTGAATCTGTGCCATTGTTGTGATTTTATTACTGAATTTGATAAAACTTCTAAACGACGCATTACAGAGTTTATTTCGCAAATTATTTCTGTGTCCAGTTCTGTGTCCTCGTTGCCAACCCGCGAGTTATGGAGATCTGAAAGAAATTAGGACATAAACAGTTTAACAATTAACTCACTTTTAGTTTTTTTTAGTCGCTGCTTTCCGGGCGTTTGGAGAGGAATACATAGCGTTTTACTCCTCTCTTTTTCTCCTCATCCAAGATGACTAACGAATTCTCGTTCACTTTCCGGGCTGACGATGCAAAAATTGTGAGTCTTCTTAGCCTTGTTACATTTATCTTTTTTCCAAGGTCCCAAAAGTTATCCCAGACGACTACGGAGCGGGAATGTATCTGAATGGAAAACGAAATTTCGAGAAAGTGAGAAGGTTTTGTATTTAAGTTCATTAGCGTTTTTCTGTCTAGTATTTATATTTCGCCATCTGTGATCTCTAGTATGTTTTTATCTCTAGTATTATGTTTTTAATAAACTCGAGTATTTTACAGCCAAACTCTTGAAACACTTACAAACATAAACAAAACGACTTGAAAATCGGTTTGGTTTTTTTGGTTTTTCTCCTGATCTTGCTTCATAAATTGCTTTTGAGAACTGAAATCACAATTCAAAACAACTACGGCCCAATATTTATTCTAAGAGAACGAACACAATGAGTGGCAATCAAAAAAAATTCCTGTAGGTTGTGCAGTGTTGTCCAAATTCAACCCTAAAAAACGAACACCTTAAAATGCAAGGAAAACCGGTAGTTCTTTATCGGATAAACAAAAACAACCTTTCGTCGTCCCTTTGGAAGTTTTCCATTGGTCTTGTAGAATTGATAACTCGAACTGTCCATGTAAGACAAGTCAAATTCCTTTCGGAAGGCTTTCTCTCCTGCAAAAAAGAATAGAGAACGTAACAAATTTCGTAAGGATCAAAACCATTATTCACTAACCGGTGTTGATCTCATCGCAGGGCAGCAAGACTTTAATCGAGCATTTCCCATTTTCATCCACAACCAACACGGCGGCCTTGTTGTTCTAAAAAATAATTTATCCAGACACTAAAACAATGTTTTTACCCTCTCCGGGAAATATCGAGGCGCAGTAAATATCGTCATTAATTTCCTTCCACAAAAGAACCCATAACCATTTTGCATCATCTAAATCAGAATTATTTAAAAAACGCAACAAATTTGTATGCCTGGTGTGCCCGAACGATAAGGTCGATGTTGAGAGATTTGCACAATTTCACCACTTCGCTTTCGCCAAAATACACGGACACTCCTCGCACCTGATTCGGCATGAATCTAAAGATACTCTGTGAAATATTCGATAAGAAGTAAGTAAACGGTTAATCTAACACCATGCTATGCAGTAAAAGTGGTTTACCCGATCAAATCAATCATTGGATCAGCCCACAAGAGATCCATTGCCAATGGAGAAGTGCTAATATCATCGAGTGGACGTTGAATTTGACGGATATCGTCGAAGGTGTGAATGTTAGGGCCTAAACAAAAAGGTATGTTTAACTCACAACCGATCACTGACCAATTCCCCGTGCATGCAGAAGATCTTCTTTCCAACTAGTCCCGCCAGTGGCAATAAAGCAAAGGTCTCGTTGAATGTTTGCCACAGCGCCTCAGCTTCTTCATTCTAAAAAATAATTTAACTGATTGTAAGGTATAAAGTTAACAAAGACTATAGGACCAACCCCAAACCTATCTTGGAGCTCATCGAAGAAACCGTAGACTCGATTGATTGGTCGACACTCGTGATTTCCTCGAACTAAGCCATACTAAAAAAAACAATTCTTCATTTTTCATAAAGTTCTTCATAAAAACACAAACCTTTTTCGGGAAAAGGATCTTCAATACAAAGACAAGCATGATACATTCAAGAGAACGCGAGCCACGGTCAACATAGTCGCCCAAGAAAAGATACCTGTAAGTATAAAATTATACAAAAACACAGGAAACGTTACTTCTGTGTGAGTGTTCCACTAACGGGTTCATTACGGTCTTTGTCGTTGAATAAGCTGAACATTCGCAGCAGGTCGTAGTACTACAATTTCAAAAAAACGATAAACGCAATAAAAAAAATGATAACCTGTCCATGAATGTCACCGACAATCACAATTGGCGGGTTCATTTCGATGAGTGAGTTGTCCTTTTTCAACGCCTCTTTCGCCGCTCCCAATACTTGTGCCACTTCAGACAGTGTGTAGCCAATCTGTAAAAAGAACAAGTAAATGCTAATTTTAGTGATCACATTAAAACTTTTTCTATTTCAAAAGAAGCAAATAACAAGCCCGTTTATCTCCGGTTGAATACTTTGGCGCGAGGTGTTTATGAAGGAACTTCCAGTAGAATTCCGACATCGATCTGTCTAAAACATGAAAGTTCGATTCAGCCAAAAATGGTTAAAACAAAAAGCTCGTTAAAGGATTAAAGGTCTTAAAAATGAATAAATAGCAAAGCAAACCTGTCCAGTGTTGAATTTATCCGTTCGAGATGAAATAACACGTCACGAGAAGGTAATTGAAGTGAAGAAATAGAAAATATGATTTCTATCGAGTGTGAGGCTTTGCTTTATTTGAGGGATAAGTGCAAATTTAAAAACCTCAGAAATGCAAAGCTAAATTTTGTCGAGAAATGGTTGAAGTTGCGTCTGGTTACCAGACTCTGGTAGGCGCATGGTTTTTCCGTTTCATTTTTCAGTCGAAGTGAAAGCAATTGTCTTGCGCCCAAATTTTAGTATCTCCTTTTTTTAACCGCCCCTTTGGCAGTATCTTGTTTATAGCTTAATTCAACCGTAAAACAAAAACAACTTTTGTGCTTGAACCATTTACACGACACATTCTTTTCTTTTGCTTCGTTTTACCGATATTTTGCCTGAGTATAATTTTTCTTTTAGAAAAATGGAGAAACTCAAGTTCGGACGGCGCCGACAAAACAACTGTGATGTGGAAGACGACGAGTTGATGGGAAAACAAGACGATAATGGGGTAAGGCATTTCTTAAGAAAAATTTATGGGTAACTTGACTAAATTGAGATAAGATGTATGGAATTTATAAGCACTATTTTAGTCTGACAGGTCAAAGGGTTCGAAATTTTCGAGGTTGATGCGCAGATCCGGTCTGAAGAAGAAAACGCAACGTGCTAAACGGAAAGAAGCTCAGAAGAAAGCAAAACGGTTAGCTTTTATTTTAGCATTTTAAAAGTTAGAAGTCTTCTTTGAATTGGTTTAAACACACATGTATGAATGCTGAAGCACTATTAGTTATGACATATTTATTAACAGCTAAGGAAAAAGTCCATTGAATATGTTTTTGCTTCAGGGAATCAAACGATGAGGATGTGGACTCCGAAAATGAGACGAGCGACTCCTCCAACGCCAGCAACACTACAAAAGAAGTAGATTTTCAAGACTATTCACGGTGCTCAGACAAATCGATTAAGATCTATCACTAATTTTGATACAAAACCCTTCACAGGCTATTTTCAAATCACTTTCAAATTAGGGTCAATCAACCGAGACTGAAGGGGAAACTAGTGGCAAAGAGTCTGAAGACACAGAAAATGACGACACAGAGCTTGAGGGGCGCCTGGTCGGCCGAAAGTTTGAACACACGGATGTGAAACAAAACGTTTTTGTAAGTTTATAAAGCAGTGTTCACAACATGTTTTTAGATGACCGTTAGAGTCATCGAATCACGAAATCTTCGGGACAGCGGCAATCTACGTGTTCGGGTGGGACTTGATGGGCGAACAAAGGTTATTTTTAATTGTTTAGTTAGTATATCACACCATGTTTAGCCTACACGTGTCACAACCGAACTTCACCCAAAATGGCAACAAAATCTCAACTTTGCCATTGAAGAGTCACTTGAAAAAGCCGCGAACAAAATGTTTTCTATTCAAGTAAACTTTGTGTTTCACCTCCGTGATCTAATGATTCTTAGGCTTACGCCGTTCGTCGAGTGCTCAACGACAAACTTCTTGGCCAATTTGAATGTCCACTCGCAATGGTGAAAATTTGTAGAAAACATTTGATGATTGATTCAGATAATGCATCAGCCGGGCGGTGTTGTACTCAACAAATGGATTTCACTTGCTCCACCGCCAAAAGATGGAAGGCGAGCAGAAAGAGATGAAGATATTGGATTCATAAAGGTAAGTAATAAATACAACATTCTCAAAGTTAACAATGAAGATGTCAATGTCGGAATATCGCTTTTAAACTTCCAATTAGGCCTCAATTGCCGTGTACGGAGCTCGAGATACGCCGCCAATCTTTGAAGATGATGACGAAAGTGAGGAAATTTTCAATGCTCGTCATTTCACTGGACATACTCTAAGAGTAGGAAGCATTTCCAACTTCATCACTTTACAGTTGGTGAGTTCAGATTCGACTTCATCGGCTGCTTCAATTGATTTCTGAAGTGCGTCATGAGATTATTTCAAAAGGCAAGAAACCGAAAACAGCTTCATTCTGCATCAAGGTTCTTTGAACGTTTAATTAAAAACTTTTTTCCTTTAAGGCGTTTTCTGGCGATTGCACTGAAGTGACATCGTTGAAGTTGTTGAAAGGGTCAGCAGTCAGTTTTGATCAAGAACTCTTGTTACCTTTTCTATGGCCAACTGTGATTAACAAGGTGCATCCAATGATCTATTACCCAATTCATTATGCTAGTTTAGTTCCACTTTCAACTCATTATGCATCGTGGTAAGAAAAATCGAATTATTGCACAGGTTAGCTGCTTTAACTAATTGATGTCATTATTGATACTTGAAGTAGGCTAGCATTCTGAAAATAAAAACGGAAAGAACCGAACTATCATATAATGGATCACAATACTTTCTGGTTTTGAGGTGAAACATTAAAGTTCGATTTGTAAAATGCATTTTTAGCGCCTTCATCACTATACCCTTTTTGCTTCAATGATTGCATGCAATAAAATAATAGGAATCTATATTTTTAACAGCAAAGAGAAATACATGACCTTTAAGACCTACTCAAAATTAGCATTTAGCCGGTAATTTACATGCAGAAGTGATGATGAGTCAGATGAATCAAAATCAATTCATTCAACTTCGAAATTCGATTCATGTTTGGCTGTTTGAGCGGGTTATATTCCCTATTTCGCTCGTTTTGCTGGGGCGACTCCGCGGCTGAAAGTTTGTTTTTTTTTGCCAAATTACCTTTTTTTTATTCCCAGGACTCGCGGCCGGAGCTGATGACAAGACGACAGGTGAAAATGTTTTCTCCTATGATGCTCAGCAATATGGTTGGTTTGATGCTTCTTCTTTCTTTTATAAGACAAACGCATCCGATCTAGCACATTCGCTTTTTCATGAATACTAGACATGGGCAAATTCCGTCCCGAACCTAATTCCACCTTCGTTTTCTTGGTTGCTCCTTGATCGATTGGTCTGAAATTTTGTCTACGAGCAGTTAATGCCGAGCTCTACCTGTAGAGAAGATTTCAGATTAATCGGTCAAAGAACGGCCAAGAAAACGAAGGTGGAAATGAATACTACATTGTTTTCGTTTAGGTTTTCCGAAAGACCATGGAACGGACGGAGTCACGGTAGCTTTCAACGAATCCTTCTCGCCTAATACGATCGTGGTGTGTGGTGTATTTTGATCTACATAGAGCTAGAGTTCTCTGAAGTTTGGGTTCCCTGTTATCTGAAAAGCGTGACACACGCCACAATCAATTGCCTTTTATATATAGTTGATTTTAGTGTTACGTTGATGCAAGCTATAATCCTAAAAGTGTGAACGGCATCGATACAGCTGCATGTGCGGGGTTTTTCGGCGAAGAACACCCGTTAAACTTGTGCGTTTCATGTTATTTGACTTGATCACTCTCGTTTAGTTCAATTCTTCTGAACGTTGAAACCAAAAAGAAGCTCAGCAACATGGATAAGGACGCCCGTGCAACCTATTTGGAAATCTTAGCAACAAAGACGGCTCTTGAGAGACTATTCAATTGGAAATACAGGTAAGGACCATTTGATCTGAAGTTAAATAAATTGTGGATTTGACAACTACTGAAAATAGGCTTTAAAACCGGATTGCAGAACTATCGAGCCTTATCCGGATAAATTAAGCTTGTTGCATTTTTAACATTTCCTTCTTCTAGACCCGAAGAAGTGATCATTAGGTCTGATAGCCTGAATATGATCCGAGGATTGAACTTGAAATTGAAAGGAGCACGTTTTGGGCAAATTCGCGAAGAGTTTGGAATATTAATAATCGTCAAATTTGATCTTTTTTCAGAATTCTCCTACTCATGGATGTTGCATCAAAGTTTCAAAGGCCAATACTCTTCCAACACGTGTACGGTCACAATGGCGATCCGGGCAACGAGACAGTTAGGATTTAATGGGTTTAATGTGTAGCTGGATTATGTTTTTAAGGCCGATGCAATGGCGCGCTTTACAATGAAACATGGTGTAGAATTGGAAGGAACGATGATGGAACGCGACGATGAGCGTACGAAGTGAGACTTGGTTTCTTGATTTTAACTTTCTTGAAAAATACAGTTTGATTGGGGTAACGGAGTCCGACTGTTGGGAGGCAAAAAAAACTATAGAAAGGGGAAAATTAGGAAAAACACCCTTTGACTTGTGCTAATTTAGTAATAAAATAATGGCAAAGCTTAAAATAGTTGAACGCCATAAAGAAAGTAATGTAAGAAATGATGAGACAGTTCAATAAGACCTATTTCTCTCATAGTGGATTTCGTTCATTCATTCGCAACTTTTTATTAGATTTATTTGACTTATTATTTACAGATATTGCAAGCACCCAAAAGAGATCAGCCACGACGAGAGAACTATCCCAAGCGATCCAAAGAAGCAAGGAATTTCACGCTGGGCAAAAGTCCCAGACCTCAGGAAATCCATCCACAAAGCAGCGACTAAAAAAAACTAAGTGAGTTAATTTTTAAACTGTATTTCCTAATTTCTTTTAGACCTCTCTACCAATACAACAGTGCGCAACGGCAACCTACAGGAAATTTTTAAAATCCCCACTCAATGTATTCGTTCTCTTGCAATAAATATTGGGCCGTAGTTGTTTTGAATTGTGATTTCAGTTCTCAAAAGCAATTTATGAAGCAAGATCAGGAGAAAAATCAAAAAACCAAACCGATTTTCAAGTCGTTTTGTTTATGTTTGTAGGTGTTTCAAGAGTCTAGGCTGTAAAATACTCGAGTTTATTAAAAACATAATGCTCCTAGAGATCACAGATGACAAAATATAAATACTAGACAGAAAAACACTAATGAGCTTAAATACAAAACCTTTTCACTTTCTCGAAATTTCGTTTTCCATTCAGATACAACATTCCCGCTCCGTAATCGTCTGGGATAACTTTTGGGACCTAGAAATAAAACCGCGTTTGGAAAAAAAGAAACTTTTTGTTTAGGCCCTAACATTCACACCTTCGACGATATCCGTCAAATTCAACGTCCACTCGATGATATTAGCACTTCTCCATTGGCAATGGATCTCTTGTGGGCTGATCCAATGATTGATTTGATCGGGTAAACCACTTTTACTGCATAGCATGGTGTTAGATTAACCGTTTACTTACTTCTTATCGAATATTTCACAGAGTATCTTTAGATTCATGCCGAATCAGGTGCGAGGAGTGTCCGTGTATTTTGGCGAAAGCGAAGTGGTGAAATTGTGCAAATCTCTCAACATCGACCTTATCGTTCGGGCACACCAGGCATACAAATTTGTTGCGTTTTTTAAATAATTCTGATTTAGATGATGCAAAATGGTTATGGGTTCTTTTGTGGAAGGAAATTAATGACGATATTTACTGCGCCTCGATATTTCCCGGAGAGGGTAAAAACATTGTTTTAGTGTCTGGATAAATTATTTTTAGAACAACAAGGCCGCCGTGTTGGTTGTGGATGAAAATGGGAAATGCTCGATTAAAGTCTTGCTGCCCTGCGATGAGATCAACACCGGTTAGTGAATAATGGTTTTGATCCTTACGAAATTTGTTACGTTCTCTATTCTTTTTTGCAGGAGAGAAAGCCTTCCGAAAGGAATTTGACTTGTCTTACATGGACAGTTCGAGTTATCAATTCTACAAGACCAATGGAAAGCTTCCAAAGGGACGACGAAAGGTTGTTTTTGTTTATCCAATAAAGAACTACCGGTTTTCCTTGCATTTTAAGGTGTTCGTTTTTAGGGTTGAATTTGGACAACACTGCACAACGGCAACCTACAGGAAATTTTTTAAATCCCCACTCAATGTGTTCGTTCTCTTGCAATAAATATTGGGCCGTAGTTGTTTTGAATTGTGATTTCAGTTCTCAAAAGCAATTTATGAAGCAAGAACAAGGAGAAAAAACCAAGAAAACCAAACCGATTTTCAAGTCGTTTTGCTTCTGTTTGTAGGTGTTTCAAGAGTCTTGTTTCAAGACTGTAAAATACTCGAGTTTATTAAAAACATAATGCTCCTAGAGATCACAGATGACAAAATATAAATACTAGACAGAAAAACACTAATGAGCTTAAATACAAAACCTTTTCACTTTCTCGAAATTTCGTTTTCCCTTCAGATACAACATTCCCGCTCCGTAATCGTCTGGGATAACTTTTGGGACCTAGAAATAAAACCGCGTTTGGAAAAAAAGATTACGAAGACTCACAATTTCTGCATCGTCAGCCCGGAAAGTGAACGAGAATTCGTTAGTCATCTTGGATGAGGAGAAAAAGAGAGGAGTGAAACGCCATGTATTCGTCTCCAAACGCCCCGAAAGCAGCGACCAAAAAAACTAAAGGTGAGTTAATTGTTCAACTGTTTATTTCCTAATTTCTTTCAGATCTCCATAACTCGCGGGTTGGCAACGAGGACACAGAACTGGACACAGAAATAATTTGCGAAATAAACTCTGTAATGCGTCGTTTAGAAGTTTTATCAAATTCAGTAATCAAATCACAACAATGGCACAGTTTCAAAAAGATTCGTAAGATTTTAGACTTAGGAAATAAACTAAGTTCAAGTTATAAGTTCAAATCCGAATCTCTTAGAGTTTAAATAAATGGTCATTTCTCAGCTCAGCAGCTCTTTAATGGGCCAAGATTTCAAAATTTCTACATCAAGAAACTCGCAAGCCGGCGCATCACGTAACCGTAATCGATCGTCATACTGGTACTTATCGGGATTCCAACTCGGCTCCCAACTGGGGTACAAGTCCTCGTCGTAGTCGTCGTCCATCATCTCAAAACTGAAAGCAGATTAGCTAATCGCTTTTTGGAGAAGGTTGTCGTATTACATTGAACGACAAGAATAATGTTTTCTAACTCAATCTAAAAAAATTACCAAAAGTCCTTCGTCTTCGTGATTTCCTCGATCCATAGCTCGAGCTTCTTGCCCAGGGAATTCGTAATAACTGTATGATAGTCGAAATCATCGCCGTAGTCCGACGTTGGAATTTTGACATTCCAAGACAACATCGCAAAGAACTAAACACGAACATCTCGAAAATTAATTCTTTCACTCACCGCTCTGATGTTCAGATCAGATTGAACCCATAGTCGTATCTTTGTCACTTCTCGGGTTCCGGCTTTCCATTCGTTGAGAAATGAGGCGATTCCGTTAAATGTACAAGCAGTGCGACCAAGCATGTAATTCAGAGAGGCAAAATTCAAGAGCACCTAGAAGCAGAGCAACAATTTGATAAACCATTGCTGTTGTTAGCCAATCTCCAGTGTTAATAAAAGATGAATATCATTTGCTTAGTAGGCATATTTAATTATTTTGACCTGATCATCAAAGCACAAATTTTTCGTCCCAATGCACAGCTCCCGACAATCTCGAATGCATTTATCTTGCCAGAATGAGGATGTCAATGGGGTATTTTCACCACGAAACTAAATTGATTAGTTGAGAAATAAAGATACTAAACCGTGAAAGAAAAGTTCTCTGGTTCAAGCTGAAGTAGCATAGATCGTAGATCCTTCCACTGGAACTTTTGTCCCTCCGTCACCACCAAAAGATTCTTGCATTTCACGTTGAAGTCCTCAAACCTCTTCAGCAATTGATGAAACGTGGTGTCGTCGAAATACTCAAGCTCCTAAAAGTTCTCACTACATTTGTCTGTACTTTGTCGTTAATGTTTTGTGTTGAGCATGGCTTAATGATGGCGCAGTGCGTAAACTTTGAAAGCCGTACCAAATGGAGACTTTCAACCTGCATTCGTGGAAACATGTGATCGAATCTCTTGAGTGCTTTCTTCAATGGAGCAGCTCCATACCTTCGCCAGCATGGCTCGCGGTCTTTGAAGAAAATCGTGATGAAGACAGTTGGCTCAACCTAAAACGCTAGTTAAAAGTCTTCCTCAAAACTACCTCGTTATGATCACTAGCAGGAAGTTCATGGTCGACCTTCTTCTGGTCAATCGTCAGAGAATCAACTTGTACGGTGGGCAGCGATTTCCGATTCATATCAATACGTCCATGAAAAAGCCGCGAAATTCCCCGACATCTAAGCACTATTATTGAAACTTTATAAAACAAAAAAAAGCTACTTTTCAATTTGTAGTCCTGGCAAGTAATCTAGTACCCGAAGAAGGGGAACATCCGGAAGAACAGAAAAATCGAGGTGAGTTTCCTAAGATATAAAAGTTGTGATAAAGAGCAAAAAAAATTGGCATCTCACCGAACTACTAGTTTCTTGGCCTTCCATGCGAACAATCCGCCAGTAACAGCAACGTTGTAGATAGTTGACTATCTGAAAAAAGAAATAAAACGAGAAAAACCATAAGAAACACGAAACTCATGCTTTAGAAAAGTGATTATAAAGTTTTTCTAGGAAATTCTTATTTGGTTTGTAATTGGAACGCTTATAAAGTCAGAAAAAAAAACATCAAAGTAATATAACAACTATAAATATTAAAGGGGGTATTCCGGCATTGAAAAATCACAGCATAATTTTGGAGCTGTCTGTTTCGGTCATTCATTGGTTGAAATAATCTCTCCTCCTTGATTTTCATTCAATCTTCATACAGCCTATTCAAAAATACAAAAACACTGAGGCATAATGGCAAATTTAGCCATGAAAAGGAAGCAAAACTAAAATCCAAGACCAATTAAATCCCAAAATATATTCTGATGGGGCCTTCTATACAGTACCGAGCAAAAGTCTTGCAACATCACTTTTTCAAAAAAATCGATGAAATTTTTTTATAGAAAATGCCACCCGTTCGTAGGGCTTTTTTGTTTTTAATTAGAATAATATATGTACACTTTATTTACAAAAACAAATTTGAAGTTCAGCGTAAAACAAAAAAGTAAATGACAAAACTACTAAAAAATACCCTAAAAACTGGGTGCAAAAGTCTTGCAACATTCTATGTTTCTCATTTTTATTGTTTTCAAATTTATTAATTTACACTAATTTTTGTTTTTTTCAGATGCCAGGTACCTACTTGACGACTCCCGAAAGAGAAAAAATCATGAAAGCAAGAAAAAAGGAATTTCTCGAGCCGTTGTCTCCGATCTCTTCAAATGCGATCCCTCGACCGTTTCTCGCATTGTTTCAAAAGCAAAAACAACTGGACTTATGCACCGAAGAGAGAAGAAAGGACGGCCATGAAGAACAACAGCAAAAGAGGATCGAACTCGTGATGGTTTCCAAGAAGGATCCGAACATGACATCAACTGAGGGAGCTCAGCTGATCAAGAATGTTGCAAACAAGGATATCTCTCGATGGACCGTTTCTCGACGATTGACTCAAGCAGGACTGTATAGCCGGAGAGCTGTACGAAAGCCTTTGATGACCGCTGGCCACAGGAAACAACGGCTTCTATTCGCCAGGACGTACCAAAGTTGGACAAAGCAGGATTAGGCCAACGTGATTTTTGTCGATGAAACAAAAGTGGATATCTTTTCTCCAAAAGACAACCACTTGATCAGATGACCCATTGGAAAGCGAATACTCCTTAAATATGTGCGACCTACAATGCGAGCTGGTGGAGGATCAATCATGTGTTTTGGTAAGCCTTATTTCTAATACATGCATTAATTTGTCTTTTTCTAGGGGCGATGACAAAAAATGTGGCAGGTCCGTTCGTCCTCGTCCAGTCAACCATCAATGCTCTCCAGTCTATAGAAATACTAGAAGGATGTCTACTTCCATTTGCTCAGGATTACATGGCTCCTGGATGGTCTCTCTACCAGGACAATTCGCCGGTTCACAAGAGCAAGCCCGTGATGGGGTCCCATGGTGAGTCTCTCAAATGGAGGAAAAGCTCACTTCCCTGGATGGTTTGCCCTTAATAATGTTTTGTTGGTCAAGGTGCCCCCTATGTCGCCTGATTTAAACGTTATTGAGAATTTATGGGCTTACGTGAAGACAAAGTTACGAGGAAAAGACTTTCACACAAAAGTTGACGTATGGTTCTACATACGAAAAGTTTGGAGCTCAATTCGCCCAGCAATTCTTCACGAATTAGTCGACTCAATGCCTAAACGACTTAATGAAGTGATTTTGGCAAAAGGTGGACCGATTGAATATTAATTTTTGATGTTTCTGTATAATGTTGCAAGACTTTTGCACCCAGTTTTTAGGGTATTTTTTAGTAGTTTTGTCATTTACTTTTTTGTTTTACGCTGAACTTCAAATTTGTTTTTGTAAATAAAGTGTACATATATTATTCTAATTAAAAACAAAAAAGCCCTACGAACGGGTGGCATTTTCTATAAAAAATTTCATCGATTTTTTTGAAAAAGTGATGTTGCAAGACTTTTGCTCGGTACTGTATAGAAGGCCCCATCAGAATATATTTTGGGATTTAATTGGTCTTGGATTTTAGTTTTGCTTCCTTTTCATGGCTAAATTTGCCATTATGCCTCAGTGTTTTTGTATTTTTGAACAAGATAGGCTGTATGTTTAAGATTGAATGAAACCATCAAGGAGGAGAGATTATTTCACACCAATGAATGCCCGAAACAGACAGCTCCAAAATTATGCTGTGATTTTTCAGAAAAATGCCGGAATACCCCCTTTAATATTTATAGTTGTTATATTACTTTGATGTTTTTTTTCTGACTTTATAAGCGTTCCAATTACAAACCAAATAAAATTTCCTAGAAAAACTTTATAATCACTTTTCTAAAGCATGAGTTTCGTGTTTCTTATGGTTTTTCTCGTTTTATTTCTTTTTTCAGATAGTCAACTATCTACAACGTTGCTGTTACTGGCGGATTGTTCGCATGGAAGGCCAAGAAACTAGTAGTTCGGTGAGATGCCAATTTTTTTTGCTCTTTATCACAACTTTTATATCTTAGGAAACTCACCTCGATTTTTCTGTTCTTCCGGATGTTCCCCTTCTTCGGGTACTAGATTACTTGCCAGGACTACAAATTGAAAAGTAGCTTTTTTTTGTTTTATAAAGTTTCAATAATAGTGCTTAGATGTCGGGGAATTTCGCGGCTTTTTCATGGACGTATTGATATGAATCGGAAATCGCTGCCCACCGTACAAGTTGATTCTCTGACGATTGACCAGAAGAAGGTCGACCATGAACTTCCTGCTAGTGATCATAACGAGGTAGTTTTGAGGAAGACTTTTAACTAGCGTTTTAGGTTGAGCCAACTGTCTTCATCACGATTTTCTTCAAAGACCGCAAGCCATGCTGGCGAAGGTATGGAGCTGCTCCATTGAAGAAAGCACTCAAGAGATTCGATCACATGTTTCCACGAATGCAGGTTGAAAGTCTCCATTTGGTACGGCTTTCAAAGTTTACGCACTGCGCCATCATTAAGCCATGCTCAACACAAAACATTAACGACAAAGTACAGACAAATGTAGTGAGAACTTTTAGGAGCTTGAGTATTTCGACGACACCACGTTTCATCAATTGCTGAAGAGGTTTGAGGACTTCAACGTGAAATGCAAGAATCTTTTGGTGGTGACGGAGGGACAAAAGTTCCAGTGGAAGGATCTACGATCTATGCTACTTCAGCTTGAACCAGAGAACTTTTCTTTCATGGTTTAGTATTTTTATTTCTCAACTAATCAATCTCAACTTAGCTTCGTGGTGAAAATACCCCATTGACATCGTCATTCTGGCAAGATAAATGCATTCGAGATCGTCAGGAGCTGTGTATTTCGGCGAAAAATGTGTCCTTTGATGATCAGGTTAAAATAATTAAATATTCCTACTAAGCAAATGAAACTCATCTTTTATTAACACTGGAGATTGGCTAACAACAGCAATGGTTTATCAAATTGTTGCTCTGCTTCTAGGTGCTCTTGAATTTTGCCTCTCTGAATTACATGCTTGGTCGCACTGCTTGTACATTTAACGGAATCGCCTCATTTCTCAACGAATGGAAAGCCGGAACCCGAGAAGTGACAAAGATACGACTATGGGTTCAATCTGATCTGAACATCAGAGCGGTGAGTGAAAGAATTAATTTTCGAGATGTTCGTGTTTAGTTCTTTGCGATGTTGTCTTGGAATGTCAAAATTCCAACGTCGGACTACGGCGATGATTTCGAGTATCATACAGTTATTACGAATTCCCTGGGCAAGAAGCTCGAGCTATGGATCGAGGAAATCACGAAGACGAAGGACTTTTGGTAATTTTTTTAGATTGAGTTAGAAAACATTATTCTTGTCGTTCAATGTAATACGACAACCTTCTCCAAAAAGCGATTAGCTAATCTGCTTTCAGTTTTGAGATGATGGACGACGACTACTACGACGGCTTGTACCCCAGTTGGGACGACCGCTTTTTCTCCGATCACAACCAGTATGACGATCGATTACGGTTACGTGATGCGCCGGCTCGCGAGTTTCTTGATGTAGAAATTTTGAAATCTTGGCCCATTAAAGAGCTGCTGAGCTGAGAAATGACCATTTATTTAAACTCTAAGAGATTCGGATTTGAACTTATAACTTGAACTTAGTTTATTTCCTAAGTCTAAAATCTTACGAATCTTTTTGAATCTGTGCCATTGTTGTGATTTGATTACTGAATTTGATAAAACTTCTAAATGACGCATTACAGAGTTCATTTCGCAAATTATTTCTGTGTCCAGTTCTGTGTCCTCGTTGCCAACAGTTTAACAATTAACTCACCTTTAGTTTTTTTGGTCGCTGCTTTCGGGGCGTTTGGAGACGAATACATGGCGTTTCACTCCTCTCTTTTTCTCTTCATCCAAGATGACTAACGAATTCTCGTTCATTTTCCGGGCTGATGATGCAGAAATTGTGAGTCTTCTTAGCCTTGTTACATTTATCTTTTTTTCCAAGGTCCTAAAAGTTATCCGAGACGACTACGGAGCGGGAATGTCGTATCTGAATGGAAAACGAAATTTCGAGAAAGTGAAAAGGTTTTGTATTTAAGCTCATTAGTGTTTTTCTCTGGTATTTATATTTTGCCATCCGTGATCTCTAGGAGCATTATGTTTTTAATAAACTCGAGTATTTTACATCCTAGACTCTTGAAACACCTACAAACAGAAGCAAAACGACTTGAAAATCGGTTTGGTTTTCTTGGTTTTTCTCCTGATCTTACTTCATAAATTGCTTTTGAAAAAAATCACAATTCAAAACAACTACGGCCCAATATTTATTGCAAGAGAACGAACACATTGAGTGGGGATTTAAAAAATTTCCTGTAGGTTGCCGTTGTGCAGTGTTGTCCAAATTCAACCCTAAAAACGAACACCTTAAAATGCAAGGAAAACCGGTAGTTCTTTATTGGATAAACAAAAACAACCTTTCGTCGTCCCTTTGGAAGCTTTCCATTGGTCTTGTAGAATTGATAACTCGAACTGTCCATGTAAGACAAGTCAAATTCCTTTCGGAAGGCTTTCTCTCCTGCAAAAAAGAATAGAGAACGTAACAAATTTCGTAAGGATCAAAACCATTATTCACTAACCGGTGTTGATCTCATCGCAGGGCAGCAAGACTTTAATCGAGCATTTCCCATTTTCATCCACAACCAACACGGCGGCCTTGTTGTTCTAAAAAATAATTTATCCAGACACTAAAACAATGTTTTTACCCTCTCCGGGAAATATCGAGGCGCAGTAAATATCGTCATTAATTTCCTTCCACAAAAGAACCCATAACCATTTTGCATCATCTAAATCAGAATTATTTAAAAAACGCAACAAATTTGTATGCCTGGTGTGCCCGAACGATAAGGTCGATGTTGAGAGATTTGCACAATTTCACCACTTCGCTTTCGCCAAAATACACGGACACTCCTCGCACCTGATTCGGCATGAATCTAAAGATACTCTGTGAAATATTCGATAAGAAGTAAGTAAACGGTTAATCTAACACCATGCTATGCAGTAAAAGTGGTTTACCCGATCAAATCAATCATTGGATCAGCCCACAAGAGATCCATTGCCAATGGAGAAGTGCTAATATCATCGAGTGGACGTTGAATTTGACGGATATCGTCGAAGGTGTGAATGTTAGGGCCTAAACAAAAAGGTATGTTTAACTCACAACCGATCACTGACCAATTCCCCCGTGCATGCAGAAGATCTTCTTTCCAACTAGTCCCGCCAGTGGCAATAAAGCAAAGGTCTCGTTGAATGTTTGCCACAGCGCCTCAGCTTCTTCATTCTAAAAAATAATTTAACTGATTGTAAGGTATAAAGTTAACAAAGACTATAGGACCAACCCCAAACCTATCTTGGAGCTCATCGAAGAAACCGTAGACTCGATTGATTGGTCGACACTCGTGATTTCCTCGAACTAAGCCATACTAAAAAAAACAATTCTTCATTTTTCATAAAGTTCTTCATAAAAACACAAACCTTTTTCGGGAAAAGGATCTTCAATACAAAGACAAGCATGATACATTCAAGAGAACGCGAGCCACGGTCAACATAGTCGCCCAAGAAAAGATACCTGTAAGTATAAAATTATACAAAAACACAGGAAACGTTACTTCTGTGTGAGTGTTCCACTAACGGGTTCATTACGGTCTTTGTCGTTGAATAAGCTGAACATTCGCAGCAGGTCGTAGTACTACAATTTCAAAAAAACGATAAACGCAATAAAAAAAAATGATAACCTGTCCATGAATGTCACCGACAATCACAATTGGCGGGTTCATTTCGATGAGTGAGTTGTCCTTTTTCAACGCCTCTTTCGCCGCTCCCAATACTTGTGCCACTTCAGACAGTGTGTAGCCAATCTGTAAAAAGAACAAGTAAATGCTAATTTTAGTGATCACATTAAAACTTTTTCTATTTCAAAAGAAGCAAATAACAAGCCCGTTTATCTCCGGTTGAATACTTTGGCGCGAGGTGTTTATGAAGGAACTTCCAGTAGAATTCCGACATCGATCTGTCTAAAACATGAAAGTTCGATTCAGCCAAAAATGGTTAAAACAAAAAGCTCGTTAAAGGATTAAAGGTCTTAAAAAATGAATAAATAGCAAAGCAAACCTGTCCAGTGTTGAATTTATCCGTTCGAGATGAAATAACACGTCACGAGAAGGTAATTGAAGTGAAGAAATAGAAAATATGATTTCTATCGAGTGTGAGGCTTTGCTTTATTTGAGGGATAAGTGCAAATTTAAAAACCTCAGAAATGCAAAGCTAAATTTTGTCGAGAAATGGTTGAAGTTGCGTCTGGTTACCAGACTCTGGTAGGCGCATGGTTTTTCCGTTTCATTTTTCAGTCGAAGTGAAAGCAATTGTCTTGCGCCCAAATTTTAGTATCTCCTTTTTTAACCGCCCCTTTGGCAGTATCTTGTTTATAGCTTAATTCAACCGTAAAACAAAAACAACTTTTGTGCTTGAACCATTTACACGACACATTCTTTTCTTTTGCTTCGTTTTACCGATATTTTGCCTGAGTATAATTTTTCTTTTAGAAAAATGGAGAAACTCAAGTTCGGACGGCGCCGACAAAACAACTGTGATGTGGAAGACGACGAGTTGATGGGAAAACAAGACGATAATGGGGTAAGGCATTTCTTAAGAAAAATTTATGGGTAACTTGACTAAATTGAGATAAGATGTATGGAATTTATAAGCACTATTTTAGTCTGACAGGTCAAAGGGTTCGAAATTTTCGAGGTTGATGCGCAGATCCGGTCTGAAGAAGAAAACGCAACGTGCTAAACGGAAAGAAGCTCAGAAGAAAGCAAAACGGTTAGCTTTTATTTTAGCATTTTAAAAGTTAGAAGTCTTCTTTGAATTGGTTTAAACACACATGTATGAATGCTGAAGCACTATTAGTTATGACATATTTATTAACAGCTAAGGAAAAAGTCCATTGAATATGTTTTTGCTTCAGGGAATCAAACGATGAGGATGTGGACTCCGAAAATGAGACGAGCGACTCCTCCAACGCCAGCAACACTACAAAAGAAGTAGATTTTCAAGACTATTCACGGTGCTCAGACAAATCGATTAAGATCTATCACTAATTTTGATACAAAACCCTTCACAGGCTATTTTCAAATCACTTTCAAATTAGGGTCAATCAACCGAGACTGAAGGGGAAACTAGTGGCAAAGAGTCTGAAGACACAGAAAATGACGACACAGAGCTTGAGGGGCGCCTGGTCGGCCGAAAGTTTGAACACACGGATGTGAAACAAAACGTTTTTGTAAGTTTATAAAGCAGTGTTCACAACATGTTTTTAGATGACCGTTAGAGTCATCGAATCACGAAATCTTCGGGACAGCGGCAATCTACGTGTTCGGGTGGGACTTGATGGGCGAACAAAGGTTATTTTTAATTGTTTAGTTAGTATATCACACCATGTTTAGCCTACACGTGTCACAACCGAACTTCACCCAAAATGGCAACAAAATCTCAACTTTGCCATTGAAGAGTCACTTGAAAAAGCCGCGAACAAAATGTTTTCTATTCAAGTAAACTTTGTGTTTCACCTCCGTGATCTAATGATTCTTAGGCTTACGCCGTTCGTCGAGTGCTCAACGACAAACTTCTTGGCCAATTTGAATGTCCACTCGCAATGGTGAAAATTTGTAGAAAACATTTGATGATTGATTCAGATAATGCATCAGCCGGGCGGTGTTGTACTCAACAAATGGATTTCACTTGCTCCACCGCCAAAAGATGGAAGGCGAGCAGAAAGAGATGAAGATATTGGATTCATAAAGGTAAGTAATAAATACAACATTCTCAAAGTTAACAATGAAGATGTCAATGTCGGAATATCGCTTTTAAACTTCCAATTAGGCCTCAATTGCCGTGTACGGAGCTCGAGATACGCCGCCAATCTTTGAAGATGATGACGAAAGTGAGGAAATTTTCAATGCTCGTCATTTCACTGGACATACTCTAAGAGTAGGAAGCATTTCCAACTTCATCACTTTACAGTTGGTGAGTTCAGATTCGACTTCATCGGCTGCTTCAATTGATTTCTGAAGTGCGTCATGAGATTATTTCAAAAGGCAAGAAACCGAAAACAGCTTCATTCTGCATCAAGGTTCTTTGAACGTTTAATTAAAAACTTTTTTTCCTTTAAGGCGTTTTCTGGCGATTGCACTGAAGTGACATCGTTGAAGTTGTTGAAAGGGTCAGCAGTCAGTTTTGATCAAGAACTCTTGTTACCTTTTCTATGGCCAACTGTGATTAACAAGGTGCATCCAATGATCTATTACCCAATTCATTATGCTAGTTTAGTTCCACTTTCAACTCATTATGCATCGTGGTAAGAAAAATCGAATTATTGCACAGGTTAGCTGCTTTAACTAATTGATGTCATTATTGATACTTGAAGTAGGCTAACATTCTGAAAATATTCCTAAATTTACTGTTTAGACGAGTTTGCCTCTTTCGGACGTTTATTCACCTGGTGAAGACGGATATCTACCCCAATTTGGACCCGCTTTTTTGAACTTTTATGGGAGAGAAAGTTTGCCAAAATTGAAGAAATTTGGAGACAAAAAGCTACTACCTGAAACCGAATTAGTGAAGTGAATATAAATTTAAGAATCTGACATATAGCATTTTAAAGATTTTATGGTCGGATCTCGGTTTCGGTTGATTGTATTGATTGGATTGGAGATTCAACGGAAAGAACCGAACTATCATATAATGGATCACAATACTTTCATCGTTTTGAGGTGAAACATTAAAATTCGATTTGTAAAATGCATTTTTAGCGCCTTCATCACTATACCCTTTTTGCTTCAATGATTGCATGCAATAAAATAAATCGTAGATTTGCTTCGGATAATGTTTCATTCTTGGTAAGCGCATCTTTTTGGATGAAAAAATTACTTAGTTTAGATCTCTATGGGTGACTACGGAACTTCCGAGCACACATCACCACTTCCACGAAGCAGCACTCATCCGGTTAGAAATAAATCTCTAAAGGAAACGATCTTTTCTTTAGGCAATGCCGGACCACGATGACTGTCGAGATTTTTGCATGGGTTGGGGAAACCAGCAACCACTCATTGAATTTGGAGCTCTATGGGAGAATGTACAATATAGAATTGAGAGGAGTAACGCAATTTCTGCTGTGAGTCTATATTGGTAATCTATGAGTATTGGAGATTATCATCAGTTTTTAATTAAGCTTAACAATTTTAGATTGCCAACGTTTTGGACAAGCTACTTGCTGAAGTTGCTGCTCTGGGTGGTCACAATGACTTGCGAGGAGCCGATCTGATGCTCGAGGCGATTGAAATGGCAAATGAAATGTTGAAGAAAATTGAACGTCACCATTGGTTTAACTGCGACCTCTTGTTTGAATTGAGTTTTTTTTAGCCCAGATCGCCTGCAAACACAACACGACTTTTTGCATCAAGAGACTCGGCAAATGATGATTGAAGACGTGAAAATTATGGCAATAAGTTTAAATGGAACACTGGAATTTTAGATCCGGGATGAAATCACAACGCTAAAACACGAGGAACTAAGTCTGGAAAAAGCGGTCGACGAGTTGATTCGAATGACAACTCGAATCTCTCAGACTTTAAGGTGCAGATTAATTGCTATTAAGCCTTATTTCTTGTTTAGGCGTCTTGCTCGCGACGCCGAGAGTTCACTTCCGGACATCTTGGTGAAAATGGTTGCCGGTACACGTGTAGTTGCATACGCTCGAATTGCGCCAAGAGATGTAAGTGTCACCCTTAGTAGAACTGTAATTATATTTTTATTTTAAAGATTATGCATTCAAATATGGGCAAGGTGGTCTCGGGTCGATTTTGTGGCAAAGCTCGAGCTATCCCATTGACCTGGCTAGATGGTGTCATTAAAAAGCGTTCAATAACGGAAGAAGTAATTTTTATGTTACCTCCGAATCCGACCAGACGTCCAGATCTGATCCGGTCCAGATCGAATTGGATATGGACGCCTGGTCGGATTCGGGCGTAACATTTATCCTAGCCATTCTTTAAACTATTTTTCTTTTAGATACCAGCCGTTGTTCATGTCAGAATGTGGTTGGGTCGAAATGTTGAAAAAAATGCCTACCTCTCGACAATAAGACCAGCTGAATCAAGATGCTATTGGGAAGTCTATCATTATCAGGCAAGCTTTTATTCTATTGCTTTGCAAAGTAAAGTTTAGAATCGTTCAACTCCAATCTCTCCATGGACTTCTATTGGGCATTTTGATTATCGAGGACAAGTAGTGGATGTGAGAGAGGGTCCACAAATTCCGGAAGGATGGCAGAATGCGGTTGAAAAAGAGTTAGTTGTAATAAAAAGTTTAATATAGGGTGTATGGGCGATTCGAAATACACATGAGCGTTGGGTGGCTTCGGACCAAGGGCGAGTGGTATATGATGATAAGTTGTACGAATTACAGGAACGATCGACCAAAGGGTAATAAAGATTTGCGATTCGCTAGTTGAATTTATTTAACTTTTCAGATGGAGATTTCGAAATTATACCGATGTTTGGGGAGGCAAAATTTCGGAAAAGGTGATGAACACGCCAACCAAAGGTATTACATCTTGTTTCTTCGTGTTTGGAAAAATTTTAAGGTTGGGCTTATGAAGGAGAATGGACGAGAGATCTGCATACACCAGGTGATAAAGACGGTTGGATATACTCAGTTTGTGGAAATTTCCAAGGTGGCGAAGGACCTGGAGATCGTGCTGAGAGGTGACTACAATTGCCCTTTAGATTTATTGCTGAATTTGTCGGGGGTTTATTTAAGGCTTTGTTTTTAGATTGGTTCACATGTTTCGACGAAGAATCTTGACCCGAACAAGACGACGTGAAGAGGTTCGGCAGAAGAGCAACACTCTAGCGGCAATGCAAGATGCACTTCTGGCTGACGATTATTGGGAGGTATTGTTCCAGTTTCGGCTCATTCTCCAAAATTGTTGTTTAGTATACTTCAGAGAGAGATGGGCCGTATCACGATAAATGCATGACAGGAGATCGACTGCGGCGTCGCAGATTTGTAATTCCAGTCACGAAAACAATGTTTGATAATACGGGATGCTTTAAATTTTTATCTCTTTAGTGCGGCAGCAAAGAACTTTAACATTGTTCGTCAATATGAAGTGCACGAAGTTGTTTCACAATGGCAATTGCGAGTTTACATTTTCTGGGCGAAAGTGAGTGCTTTGTTCTGAAAAAGAGCCTCACCTTATTTAGGACCTCCTACCACTGACGAAAGATTTTTCATCACGAGCCTTCGTACGCGTCTCATATCTTCATTCTACCAAACAAACTGCAGTCGTAGATCGAACGGCTAATCCTGTTTTCAACGAGACGTTAATATTCGATAAAGTAAGTACTTTAAGTGGTACAACCAAAATGGTTTTCTAGCTTTTGATACCGGGAGCACATCATGTAATCACCGATTGTCCCCCATCGGTGTTCGTTGAAGTGAAAGGAGAACGACATGATGATTCGGAGGTCTAAAATATTTTTATTTGATTAAATTATTGTTTGGTTTTAGTGCTTTATGGGATGTTTCACAGCAGCTCCAACCGTTATTTGCTCTGCGACAGATCGGCGAGCTTCAATGCGATGGATGAAGTTGCACTTTGGCTCAGGAAAGACACGGTCCGGACTGCAATTTTAAACTTTGCATTGAATCAAATGAATTATGTATAGGTTTATTTTAGTGGAGCTCTCTTGTGTGCCTTTGAACTGTTTCTTCGTGACCAAAATCATAAAATCGATCTTCCGTTGGTGCCAGCTAAGAAGAAAGCAGGAAGAATCGAGGCTTGACCACGCTTTTGTGACAAACATCTAAATTTTTAAGGTTCCGATGGAATTACGTCCCAAATTCAGCAAGTACAGCATTCAAATGTTGTGTTGGGGTGTAAGAAACTTGCACAGACACAATGTGAGCATGAATTAATTTAACTTTATAACATCGTTTTAGCTACTCACCGTGCGCCGCCCATTCATCAGCATGATTTTTGGTGATGTTGACGCAAAGACGAAAGCGTTGAACGATGTGAAAGAAAATCCAAATTTCACCGAACCTCTATTGTCTTTTCAAGAAATTCTTCTACCAGATGGTAAACTATTTAGAAGCTGTAAGCCAATGAAAGTATTTTTAGAGTTGTCTCTTGCTCCTCCACTAATTTTCAACTTGCACGACCAGCGAGCGTTTCGACGGGCACCCCTTGTAGGCGTATGCCTCATCTCCGATTACAAAAGATTTGTCAAACAGGCCATTCTACAAAAGGTATCCCGCAAAAATACTTAACTTGATCAAAAATTTTAGGTAGACCATCATTCGTTTGAATGGGGTGCATTTGACCAATTTGTCGAAACGGAAGAGGCGAGTGAAGAAGGAAAGTCTGCCTCAAATGACGAATCAATTTTGGGAGAGTACAGAATTGATTGGTGGAGTAAATTCTACACTTCAAATGGAAATCCAGAAAAAGCGCCCGGCTTTGATAAGTTGGTGTAAAAGAAATAAAATTTTTAAAACAAAGACAATATTTCACCTATAGTTCATCCTGCCAGTTGTAAAACAATCTTCATTTAGAACTGGAATCGAACAACTTCGGATCTTCCGATGGGCGCTTGAAGATACGGTGGAATATGGAAGATTTTGTGATTTCCTTGATACGTTTCAGTTCAAAAAATCGGCGAAAGGTAATAATGGTTCCTATCTTGTAAGTTCACTTTATACAGGACACTTTGATGATCACGAGGAAAAAGAGGTCACAGGGGAGTTGAAAGGACGCCTTTTCTTGAAGAAATATGAAGACAATACGCCTCGTATGTTTCATTTGAAGTTGCTAAATTGTCGTAAATTGTACTGTAGCTATTCTTGCACCACCGGCTGGAATCGAATTCATTGGAGTCACCTCGTGTTGTGTGAGACTTTATGTTGTGTCAGGTTTGGTGAAAAAGAAATGTTAAGCTAAACTTTGTATTTAGCGGCTGGTCTTGTCATCAAGAAAACGAATCGAGCTTGTGATTCTTATGTCATTGCAAGGATAGGAAAACAAAAAGTATGTGCATAAACTTTAGAGATGTTTATAATAAATAATTGTTATAGTTGAGTCGCAAAAATGAATATCGGCCTGATGAAGTGAACCCGGAATACGGAGAGGTCTAGTGTCTGTAAAAAGTTGTGTTTACATAATTGTTTTCAGGTTTTTGAATGGGATGTTACTCTACCATTGGAAAAGGACTTAACGATAACTGTGATGAATAGAAAGCGGATAGTTAGAGGTAAATCCATAAAAAGCTACTTGAAGCATGGTTTTTAGATGACGAGATTGGATCAACAACAATAGACTTGGAGAACCGGCTGCTAACAAAACATCGAGCAACTGTTGGTCTAGCACGACAGTATACGATCACTGTAAGTTTTTTAAAGGAGCTGCTTTGAATTTTTTAACTAAAGGGGGAGCTTACGTGGAGAGATCAAATGAGTCCACTGGCTATTCTGAAAAGATATTGTGAACGCATGAAAATTCCTCCGCCACAAGTGCTTTTCAAGAAAGGCTCAAATGAAGAAGTGATCGATGTTGGACTAAAGGTGAGTTTGTTTTGTTTGATTCCGATCTTTTATTATTCAGATTTTGGAAATTGACTTCTGGCTTTTAACATTTGAGAAAGACGCCCCAGAGCGGCCTCGGGTGGGACGACCAGCACAACGAGTGGCTCTTTACATTCTGAACAGAGTACTTTTTGCATAAGATTATCAGTATTTTATTTTCTTTTGAAAGATGGGGTTGGTTCCTGAACACGTGGAGACGAGAGCTCTTTTCGACAGTCATGGAGGAAAACAAAAAGTAGTTTTCTTGCTACCTTTAATCAAATACTTGCTGTTTTAAGGTTGGCGATCTGTTGTGTTGGGTAGACATCTTTCCGCGATGTATTGGTATTGAATAATAAACTTTAAGTTATTTTATTTGTGTTTAGGTCCCATACCTGCGCCTATTGATATCAGTATTCGGAGACCTGAGCCCTATCAATTGCGAATTGCGGTCTTTAATGTGTTCAATGCGGTGGTTTGCAAGAGGAATTTCCAGCAGCCCGTTTGATTATCTTTGTTATAAAAAACTACATCTGCTTTAGTGTGGGGACCTCTACATAAAAGCGTTTATTAATGGAAACAAGAAGGGAGAAAAGACAGACACGCACTTCAGGTATTTGAAGAAAAGAGGGACACATCGTTAAGTAACTTAAAAATATAGAGTCCTTGATGGATACGCTTCTTTCAACTATCGACTTTTACTTGACTTTGACTGGAATCCCTGGGAAAAAAGAATTTATGCCAAAGAAAAGAAGCGATTCATGCGGTATAAATAATTTTGCAATAGTTTTTATTAATGCTCTAGAAAGTCCCGGAGTGAACTTGTAAAATCATTGCTCGTTCTTCAATTATGGGATAAGAGCCGTTTCAGCAAGGACACTTTGCTTGGGGAACTAGTCTTGGACTTGCAAGGATTTCAAGGTTTTGACATTTATTTCAACTAAATAATATCTTTATTCAGAAGGTATGATGGATCCGGATGAGATTGAAGCCGTCTATTATTCACATTTGGTGTACAGAAATCTTGCTAGAAGGTTTATTTTCTCCTTTAGCGCTTTTGGTGGTTAAATGCAACAGTTAAATTTTGCGTTTACTTTCAAAAATATACTGCACCAACTTGACTTCATCAAATTAAGGTGTATCCTTCACTCATGGCGTCATCGGCCCCAGTTTTGCTGTAACCCGAATCGCAAGACGAACTTGAAGAAGAAAAGCGTAATACCACTGCCAAAAGCTCCGGTATTTTTCTTCATTGTTAGTCATTTCATTTTGGTCTTTAGTTGTATAAAGCCCCAAAAGTTGATAGTCCATTTTTCCATCCATTTGAAGGAGAGCCTCTGCATGGCTATTTCCCGATGCTTCGGAAGGGTTGTGAGTTACCGAATGAGCAGGTAAATCGGCTTTTGTTAGATTAACTTCAAACGCCTTAGAAACTTGATTATGACGCACACAAGAAGAAAGACGACGACTTTGATGTAAATGCTGAGAAGGAGTACGTAACTGGTAAGCTTTGAGCATTTGTTTTATTTTTACCCTTTGCATCTAGGTGTGGTTGAGATTGAAATGCAATTATTGTCAAAAGAGGAAGCTGACGCCGAACCAGTTGGCCGGAAGCGAAAGAAGCCGAATCAAGTGAGCTTGCGTTGTTGTTGTTTATCGCAAAGTTTTATCTAGAATCCACGCTTGGGCAAACCGGATCGCTCAGCATGGGACTCAAATTGGTTTCTTTCGCGTATTCGCCCAGCGCTTCGACACTTTTGGAACAAATATGGAAAGGTTCGCTTTTAAAATTACTGATCAGGCCTCAGCTTAATTAAAACAAATAGAAGAACGGCAGTACTTAGGTGATCCTTGTCTGGCTCGCTGTGATCATTTTGTGGTTGATCATTCTCATCGCCATTAGTATCAACATTCCGATTATCCTCAAGTCATCCTTCTCGTCGGGCATGGAAACTGTCGGAGTCTCGGAGTCCGGAGGATCTGAAAAATAATTTACCCCAAATTTCCTCTTTTTTGTTATACTAATGTTAATTTATCGTTGTTTGTGATAATATTTGTAAATGCCTATTTATCATCTACGCGTGTTATTCTTTGCTGTCGCCAATTTTGGTATTTATTATACTCGCTTGTTTGTGCATAATATAAGTTGTTTTTGGAGTATTCTGCGCATGTTGATTGTTGACGTATGTTGACGCTATAAGGTCATCCCATAAGTCGTGGCGGAGCTGAAACAAACCACAAATGCTGTGTGCGCTTTGAAGTGACTGTCCTTTTTTCCTTATCGTAAGAACATTGGACCATTCCCTCATTCAAAAGGGTAGTCGCGTTCAATGAGCAAGAACTTCTCAAGCTTATCGAGAAGGGCACCAAATTAACTGTTGAAGAACTGGCAGAAGAGATATCTCCCTTACATTCTACGATGGTTAGGGATCTTCAACTTGGCTATAAATCAATTTTGGGAATTGTTGCTCAACTCCCTGACCGACCCTGTGAAAAGGTAGCGTCTCTCAATTACAGCTTCTCTCCTTTCAAGACGCGAGAGAAAATTTTTTGTTCCGTATTGTGACAGGGGGCCACAAATGCATTATGTTAGACAACATAAATAGAAAGCGTCAGTGGGTTGGGTCCGGAGAAGCATCAAATGAGCCAAAAACCAGAAGTGCACCAAAAGAAGTTTGTGTTTTGCGTTTGGTGGAATATTAAAGGATTTATTTACTGGGACCCCTTGAATGTAGAGAGGAGAATTGCCACATTAGTATACAGTGATCAATCGAGAAATTGGACAAAATAATTAAGAAAAAAGATCCGATTTGAAAAAGTCGTCCTCCAACGTGTCACTGCTCACCCACATACTGAAAAACTGACACGCTGAACAATCCACAGCCTTGGCTGGGCACTTCTACTTCATCTAGCTTACTCTCCTGATCTTTCCTCTTCCGATTATCATTTATTCCATTCTATGCAAAATGATTCCAAGGGGTGCACTTCAAAGACGAAAATGAGGCCAAATGTTGGTTAGCAACTTTCTTTTTGTTAGAGCCGAAGATTTTCTACGAAAGGGGACGCCAGCATATGTAGTATTTATTTAATTGTTGATCCATCATTCTCCATCCGTTCGATCAAAGTCCGGTCGGATTTGTGTAGAAATCGTCGGCCGGAAAATCTCCCCAGCTTTCTGGATCATCTTGTGTCTCCAAGATGTTTATTTCTTCCCTAAAAATGGCAATCGGTCAAAAAATGTACTATCCTTACGGCTGTACATGGATCTATTTCCATGCTCGTATTCAGTATAATCTTATCAGCAAAACAAAAACTTACTCTCCAACCCCTTTCTCGTCACTTCGTGATTTTGCAGCGGTCACCAAAGTCGGATCGTTTGTCGCCTCGGCGGATGGATTGACCGGTTCGGCTGATTTCAGGCTTGTTTGCGAAGCCTAAAGCTTAAGGATATAGTGATGGTGTTATGTTAAAATGTGTCACCTGTTTGCGTATTCCCTCTCCCGGTGAATGGACGGGCTCGGCGGATTGAGCAGCTTGTGACTTCTTCGACGGAAGCTTCTGTCTCTTCTTGTGTGCGGCGTCCCTTTGTTGAACGTAGTCTTCCCAATCGTACAACTCATCCATCCTAAACTAAAAACTTTATTAACAATAACATTTTAACATACTTTATCTTTTCCTCCTTCATGATCTCCAGAAAAACCTCGTAGATCAGGCCGTAGTCGGGCCGATTGTAGTAGCCAAGCGTACGCAAATGACTCGTGATTCGTGATAACTAAAAGGATATCTAAAGAGAAGAGAAAGAAGAGAATAATTAAGAGAAGCTAATGCTATAGATAAATGATTAATATAGATTGTAGATTAATACACCTTCGAAGGCGAGTTCATGAAGAGCACTGCATCGGTGGTGTTTATCTTGCATCGTTGTACGTCGGCTTTCTCTCTAAAAAAATAGAATTGTCAACGCTACTAGAATTTTCATCTTGTAACTACAACTTCTTCTAAAAAAAATCAACTGAAGCTTTCTCCAAGGTAATGCTCGTCGCATCTCGGCCAGCATGTACATCATTGACCACAAATCGTCGGCCCGGCACTAAAAGAAATATTGATTGATAAACTTCCTTCTTAAAGCCACAAATGTTAAGCTTCTCACCTGATCGCCTTTTTCGTGCACATTCAAGGAGCAATAGCGAGATGTTCCACTAAAAAAAACAGTTTCTTTAATTTAAGTTTAAAACCCTTACCGAAAAAGGCAATCGTTTCGACGTCGCCGAAACTCCCAACGACCATTTGTTTGCAACATGAATCTAAATTTTGGAAATTACTCGAAACCTCGAATCTATTTAGTAAAAGTAAAATCGCTCACTCTCTTGCCAAGCCGAAATCGAGTACGTAGAGCGTGTGCATGGACTCGGGCGAATCAGGATGTCCCATTGCGAGATTTCCCGGTTTGATGTCCCGATGGACGACACCAATCTGAAAACAAACAACATTATAAAGGGTGAACAAATATTATAGGTGACATTCAGTACATATTTTAGCCTAGCAATTTCAAAACACAGAAAGCTTACATCATGTAGTGTTTTCAGAGCGTGCAACAGTTGGACGCCGAGACGGATTTGTGTGGAGATGCTGTTGATCTTTGAACCGTGAAGTCTAAAGAAGAAACTATTTGATAAAAAGAGGATCTTTGAATAAAATACCGGAGCAGATAGGAAAGGGAATCGCCGAGAAGAGTCATTACAACGTACGAGAATTTCTCTCGTTTCCCGGCCCATTTCATCTGCGGGAATTGGGGTTTACCGATGAGTTTCCGTAAGATCTAAACAAGAAACTTTATAATGCGTTGCAGCTTAATAATAATTTTAGAAGATTTAGAGATTACAACCTGATCAAAACTAACCTGTGCCTCGAGTTTCAGCACACTACCGCCTTCGATGCAATTTGCTTCGGCTTTCAGCGCCAACTAAATATAACAAATTGATGTTGGACTAATAATTCTTATAGTTATCTTGCGGCTACAAGTTTTAATTCAAAATGTTCTCACTTTCTTGTTTGTCTTCAGATCAAACACCTTATAAACGGTGCCGCAACCGCCCTCGCCGAGTCTCTAAAAAGTGAAAATTAATATCCCCGAGAAAATCAAACTCACCGACATAACGACGTATCGTTTGCCGACAACATAGCCCGTCTTAAGCGCAACATTGCCAAACTCTGGAAAGAAAAAACGGTACTGTTCAAGATTCAAGATCTAACAAAGTGAAAACCAACCGTTGCACTCGATTCCGTGACTCATGTAGAGAAGTTGAATTTAAAGTTGACAAGAATATAATGGTTCAACTTAACAACACAAAGTTTAAATTCAGCAATTAAATGTAAATTTGGGCTGCCATTGAAAATTTGCATGTTTGGCTCGAAAGACGTGTTACATTTAATCATCATTTAAAAGAAATTTGCAGAGGAAATTTGCAATTTGAAGCATTTTTCAAAAGTCTCTTCGGCGATTGGCTTAAAGGTTTGTGTTTTAGATTTTTTTTGTAAGATTTATTTTTTTGACTGTTTAATTGGTTGTTTTCGTAGATCGACTTCACAAACCGTTTTGATAGTTTAATTTGTTTGTTTAGATGGAGGACTGCAAGACGGCCGAATCGCTCTCGATACACGATATGGAAAGCGTTGACGTGGAGCCAGGAGCGCCGCTCATTATCTTTAACTTTTGGGGATTCAAGGAGAATGATGGTATGTGCTTTTGGAACCCTAATCTATCATCAAATTTTGTTGAAGATTGTTAGGTATCTTTCTTTTTTTCTATTTAGGCTCAGCGGCTATGGATACAAGCAGCTTCGAATCATCCTACAGCACTTCGGCCTCTTCCGCTTAGGCTACCGATGCCTCGAGTGAGCTCTTTTAAAATCATATTCGAAGTGGAAGCTTGTTTCTATTGTTAACCATTTAGAAAACGATCTCTCGTTCATCTCGACGATCAGCGCTAGCAGAGACTGAATGGATTCGTCTTACCATACCAACACCTCACGAGCCGCATCGTCGTGGATCAAAACTGATGATGTGGGTGTTTAAATTTTGTTTGTTTACACATTTTATAAGCTTTATTTATTTTTAGATCATCTTGTTGACGAACGAGCGTGATCTGCCCACCGAACTTGAGTTGACCTCGTCGTTGTGACCTGTCGACTCGACGTCATACACCGGTCTCTCAACTAACATATCCTCGGTAAGGTTTTACAAAGACTTTTTGTGTCAATTTTGACCTGCTCAATTTTCTTTCATGGATAGAGTATTTTTTTATTTTAGTACTGTGACACGTGTGAGACGGAGTTCTCGCAAATGGAGGTACAGTGAGAAGATCGAATGGCTCAATTCGTTTTTGACTATGGGCTCTCCTCGTCTCATCATTTACTTCATCTACTCATTTCTTCTACAATGAACCGTAGCTTAACAGTAACAGTTTTCTCTGCAATAGTTTGCTTATATTTGCTATCGAGTCTCTTGCGAATTAAATTTTTGTGTTCTTGCTCGTTTTGGTTATTTAGTTAGTCAGTTCATTTTGGCAAGAAAATTAGAAGTGATAAGTGGACGAAAGTATACCACTTTTTCACCTTTCCCCTACTTGTACGTGCAATTTTGTGTTGAACTCTGCATTGAAACAAAATTTATAACAAAACCTCAGAAACTAGAGGTTATAAAAAAATAACAATTACAAAATGAAAATACAAAACGAAAGTAACGCTAATCATTTAGCGAATGGAGGAGAACAAAATCTATAGTCAAGCTATAAAATAACAAAAGTGTTTAATTCAAACAAAATGTCGCTGATCGTATTCCATTGCTTCATCGTAGTTAGGAAAATCAACAAAAACTTCTTCCTCATCGCCATCATGAAATGTCTAAAATAAATAAATGTCACACGTATTTGAATGAAAACATTTTTATTTTTAATTCGTAATTACGCTTTAATTAAAACAAAGCACTACGCCTACCTGTTGAGTGCTCTCAGACTCATCATTCTCCCCATCAACCATAGAAGCAGCTTGTTCAGGAAGCGCTTCAAACGAACATAAGAACTCATGGCGAAACCGGGCTTGAGAACTGGCAAAAGTCGATCCACACCCTTTCATGCAATAGAAGCTACTCCTAAAATTAAAATTTACAGTGAGTTTAAGTATAAAAACGAACATTTGCCCAAGATGTTTATCTTTTTGATGATTATTCAAAATCGAGCGAGACACATATCGCTTTCCACAACCATCAATCATGCACACAAACGGCTTCTAAAAACAGCAAATGCACTTGCACAAGTCAAGAAACTACCTGATCCAAATGCCTTCGTACGTGTAATCGCATCGGCGTGCATTGAGAGAAACGCATTTCACAAATTTCACATTTGTACGGTTTCTCACCGGTATGCATTCGACGATGAGCCTGATAATTTATTTATGATCATAATCGAAATCATCCGCATACCGCAATCCGACTTGGATATTTAATGATTTGATCACACTCTTCACATAGCCATGTAGTCGGCTTTCGACGGCAGTGCGGATTCGCTGAATCAATGTCCAGACCGCGAGCCACAGCCTCAATGACCCAATTCAGATTACTAAACAAATACTAACAATTATAAGTACTATTCTAAGATACTATTACCGAGCCGGTTTGATGCTATCCTTAATTTTTGACGGAAGCTTTGGGCTCACCATCTCGAAATATCGTTGATCCATAATTATTTCCTTGCACTAAAGGAGTATTCTATTTGAAAAAAATTCTGAAGGAATTCTTAAGTAGATTAACAAATAAACAAACCTTGCTCACTGCAAGTAATTTTTCACCGGAACGACCGCGAGCTGGAGGCCGAGGATCAACAAATAGACGGAGGTTGGTTGATGACATTGGTGTATCCTTTTTGATGTCTGATACATGTCTAAAAATATGTTTTGTGTAAAATAGAAGACACTGACTCTTGTTCCAACGGCACACTTGGTAACTCGCTTGAACTCGACGCGCTCGCCATCACAACTTCATCTAAAGCAACCAAAATATTATTAAATATTAATTAAGTTAACTAATATTTTTATAAATACTCTTACCGACACTCTCTTCTAAAGGTGTTTCGCTGCCTATTTGCGTCTGATAGTAGATAAATGACTCTTCTAGTTCCAGCGTTTCTTCATTCATAAGCTGTGGATCATCGCTTGTTGTGCTGTCTAAATAGAACCAATATAGAGCATAAAAATAATTATTACATGAATGCTCTTTATCTAATCTTTTAATCTTTAAATCATTAAAAAACTCAAACCCACCATTATTATTGGAAAAGTGCTCATCTTGATTCACATACGTTCGCTCATTGTCAGTGAAGACACTTGGATAGTTATGATTGTACTTCAGATGGGCTTCCACCTAAAAAAATATATCTCAGAAGAGTTTAGATCAAACATACCTGTGACGAATCCAAGCTAATATAACCGCATCGGGGAATTGGACATATGTAAGCCTGCAGAGAATCTTCGGCTTCAGCAATCTAAACAAGAAAATTTTCATAAACCTGAAGCTCTTTGAGAAAGTATTTCAGATGTGCTTCCACCTCTGAAGAGGCTTGAAAGCCATTTTAAAAAAATTTCAAACCTTCTTCGTTTCGTTGACCAGCAAGGATGGGAGCCCACGATGCTCTTCTTCAAGAACCAACAATTTAGCATCTTCGGCAATCTCTTTGTGAATCTAAATTTTCAAATTTTAAGATTTGCTAAAAAATATACCATTTCGTGCGTGTCACAAAGATTCCGTGTAACAAAGCATTTTTCGCAGTAAGCGCATTTGAAAGGCGGCCCGCGTCTATAGGTCGACGCATGGACCTAAATCAAATACTAAATTTCTTCCAAACATGCTTAAGGTGAGTCCTTTAAATCAATTTTAACGTTTTCTATTGATTGTTCTAAATCAATTCTTACTTCACGTTTCTGTTCCCTTTGACAAAATGTTGTTTCCAAAGCTGTATTCATCTCATACTGCCCATCAACCAAATCGGCCGGCTAAAAACAGACGAGTTATGCTTTTGTTACCAAACTTTAATACATGTTTCTACTTAATTACGTAACCATTACATTTATAATATTTAAAAGACTTTAAACAGTCCATTTAACATAAAAAGATAAAGTACCAACCTTATGGCAATATGACATTTCACCAATGTTCATCTCATAATCCTCGTAATCCACTACTGATTCTGACGTCTCCGGAATTTCTTCATAGATTCCGAAGGCGCTGGATTCGTTCGATAGATCCATCCGAAAAAAGAGTAATGCAAATCAAATCAAGAGCAAGAGAGGCAAAAAAAGAATTTCGAGCATGAAGATCTAGCAGTCGCCAACTATTTTGATAAATTTTACAAAGTTTTCAAAGAAACGTGCATAAATGAACGTAAATGAACCGAAAGTCATTCCTCAAAATGGTTACCGTAATACCTGTAATAGTAGCGCCCCCACCCATAATGACGTACAGTCGCGTAGTCGCTAAAGTAAATCATTTTTTGGAACGGGTCCAGATTTTTCTGGAATAAACTGCTAATATCAAAAAATTCCTCGCTTTAAGCGCTATCTCTTGATATCTAAGCGCACATTTTTCTTCGAAGCAGTGCAGAGAATCGAGCGTCACAAAATTTTGTGTTAGACTACGCGACTGTACGGGGGGGGGGCGCTACTATTACAGGTATTACGGTAGGCCATTTTCTCTACTATATACCGTATTCTCTCTAATAGTAGTGCACCCTGAGCGTTGCCTAAATTGCTCGAAATCTCGAGAACCACTTATCAGAACCTATCGACGTGGGGTCGGAAAATGTAGCTGACGATGAGATCTTGTGGGGATTAGAGTGTTGAGCTTCTGCGAAAACTTCGAAACCGTAAAATATTCATCAACTCGGCTCGGCGCGGTGCACTACTATTAGAGAGGATACGGTAGGGGGTGGCTACCTTGCGCCAAAGTTTTTGCGCAACTTGTCATAACTTTCTTCTAAGTGGGCCAATCTTTATGATTTTGGTGTCATTTTGAAGATCTCAATAAGTGCAGCAAAATGAAAAGCAAACCAAAATCATAAAGATTGGTCCACTTAGAAGAAAGTTATGGTGAGTTGCGCAAATAAAATGGCGAAAATTAGCCAACCCCAATACGGTATAAAAAAATAATCTCTGTCTGTCTGTGCGCGCACTACGCGCGTCCCCTTTGAATATTTAAAAAAACCCTGAAACACTGTCGAATAAAATTTGATGTACCGTAAAATTTGTAATAGGAGCGTCGCCTAGTCTAAGTTTATTAACAAATAAACGCTCATATCTCAGCACCAGTACGTTTGTTTCTGCGCGTTTAGGCAACAAATTAAAGTAGAGAGGATGGGTGATTTTTTGAGATACAACACATATTTTTAGCATTAACCACCGCTTAGAAAAAATGATTGAAAAGTGGCAAAAAAGCCGATTTTTCATCAAATCGCGGGTCCAAAGCGTTTCGGTTTGAAATGGGCTTTTAACGGAACGAAGGAGTTCAAGGTTTTTTATTTTTTGATTCGGTATTAAACCTAAAAACTGGACGACAAATTTACGCTATTTGGAAAACGTGGGCTGGAAGCTAGAAGAAACAAGAAACGCAAGAACCTATGATGACGGCTCACAATTTTATGCTTCAATATAAATTTTTGAAGCACTTTACCGAGCTAGCCTTTGTTTTGTCCTAATTATTTTACTCCCCTTGACCATGGATGTCGCTACAAAAGCCGGACTCGTTGCCTGCACCTTCCTTATTGTGAGATAAATAAACTTGGTAAGGTTTTTCAATCTTTTTAGGACTCTATGGCCTTTGAAGAAAAAAAGTGAAAGGATTTCAATCTTGTCGCAACTCGTCTCTTCCCTTCAACACTTCGCCTCGAATTCATCAACGTAAAACATTTAAAATAGATCGTAACTTTTGGTCAAATAAATCTTTTGATAAAAACTATAGGGTGCGTCATAATTATTGCAACAAGAGTTCAAAGACCGTTTTCCAAACAGCTTTCTTATGTTTTTTGCCCCCTTTTTTGTTTTGTTGCGTTCTATCTTCTTTATTCTTGCCTAATTGCCCCCGCCACACGAAGAAGACGGTTCAGGACTGTGTGTGGCCAACTTTCCCTCAGTGATCACCAAGAATGAATGGCCTCCAAACTCACCGGATCTCAATGTGATGGACTTTTCCATTTGGGCAATCTTAGAGGCTAATGTCTGCTCTTTGACCTTGAAGAAGTCTTTGACCTTGAAGAAGTCTTTGACCTTGAAGAAGTCTTTGACCTTGAAGAAGTCTTTGACCAAAGGATGGAAGGCGACTCCTCAAGATGACATTCGGGCCGCAGGGAGGCATATCCGAACCGATAAGAGCGTTATCAAGGAAAGGGGCATATCGAATGACTCATGTTTCCTTATTTGTTACTGTTAAAAAAGCTACTTCTGTTAAAATCTTCTTCCAGTGAAACTTCTTGATGTGTAATGCCTTGAGTATTTTGTTGCAATAATTATGACGCACCCTGTACAACATTTAAACAGTAATTCATGCATTAAAAACACAAAAGTTTTCTGTAAATAATGTTTTTTTCAAATTTTTATCAAAAGATTTTGTTCGTCTTCAATTTTTTTACATTCTTTTCCAATCGAAGAGATCACCAGTTGGAAAATCGATATGAAGAAGATCAAAGAGACGAATCAATTCCAACAAATCACCACGAGATTGTTGAACTCTCTGGAAATGTTTTGAGATCAATTGGGTCTGTTAGCTCATTACAAAAATATCTTTTCTTTCTTTGACTATTGATCAAAAAATAGAAGCTAAAACTAAAAGTTGCAGCTCTCCCAGATTCATGTGAATACTAATTGCAAGATTTATTTTCCTTTTGTTTACCTCATTAGCCTGAACAATATTAATGAGAGTGATCAATCGATACGCATAATTGGTGAGACCCATTGAATGAACATAATAATCATGAAGCTCAGTGGAGATTCGCTCGCGAAAAGACTCGGCAACTCGTTGGGTGGATTCGGAAACACCCCAACCTGAATATCCATTTGATAGGACTTCAAGTACGGTAAAGAAATTTTAAAGCAAAACAAAGCAAAACAAAGCAAAACTAAACCTACAGAAACTTATCTACTTTCAATTTTCTTATTACTTCGTATTGGGTTGGTGAATTGAAAACTGCGGGACTTTGAACTAAAATTTATTGAACATAAAACCATCAATTCATTCCAAATAATTTCCATTATTGTTGACGACTTCCCCATTTACAAGCATGCGGATTCCTCTTTCGTAGTAGGATTTTGGTTTTGAAACGAAAAACCAAAGCCAATTTTGCTGCTTCTCCGAATCGAAGTGTTCTCCCGCAAGCTCATTACTCATGATCCGGAATAAATAGTAATCAAAAGGGGCGAGGTCCGGACTGTATGGGGAATGCGCCAAAAGTTCCCAAACAGGGCTACTTATTTTAGAGCGAGACTTTAAACTAAAATTTATTCAACATAAAACCATAATTTCCATTATTGTTGACGACTTCTGCCCATTTTACAGGCAATTTGCGGATTCCTCTTTCGTAGTAGGATTTTGGTTTGTGTGTGAGACAAGTGTGAGACTCAAAAATCGAGGACTGGAGATCTCCAATGTCCCAGTTTGAGCACTTTCTTCAAAAGAAACCCATTTTTGTGTCAATAGAAAAGTTGTAGAGAATCAAAAATTAGGCTTATAGCCAAATTTCCAAAAAGATACACTTAGTAGTTTCGCTTAAAATGCAAGTTTTGTGAAAATTCGTAAATTTGGCATTTCTTGAAAACCAGTTTTTGAATCGTTCTGAAAATTTGGATATAAGCTTCTTTTTGATTCTCTACAGCTTTTCCATTGACACTAAAATGGGTTTCTTTTGAAGAAAGTGCTCAAACTGTCACATATGACAATAGCCCGCAGTTTTCAATTCACCAACCCAATAGAATGCGAAATTGAGTTAAAACCAAATTTTCGACTCACCCTCAACATTCCACATCGCCAAACACATCATAAAGACAATCTCATAATTCGAGACTCGATGATAAAAGATCGGTTTGGCAACCTCTTCAAACAAAAGATCCATGATTGGACCAACCATTCTGTAATTTTTTTTAAGATCCAATCACTTCCTCCCCTTTCACTCACCGATAGACTTGTTCTGGATCAACTGGGCAAACCTTCGAGGCATCGAATTTTGTGTCCCTTGTCACAACGTAGTCCTTCATTACGTAGCATTTCTGAAAATTTTTTGAAGTAAAATTGATTCTCTCGAAATTCTGACTCTTTTTGTGATCGCTTCCTCACCAAAAGTCATCACCGAATTGGCCACTTTGTCGAATCGCATCAACGAGCACCATGCGGATTTGAAGATTAACAACTAAAGTTGAGGAATTTATGCAAAATTCTCTTGCAAACCTTTTGCTCTAGCGCTAACTGATTAAATTCCTGACAGTGTTGCATCCATTTCGCCATATCCTCCAACAGGGTTTCCCACGCGTTTTCAAGTTGTTCCGGTAAATTGATTTCATCGAGCAGCTGAAATGGGATGAGTGAATTATACATTTTTTTGGATGTATACCTTTGGATTTGGATTGAGTCCATTTCGTAGCTCTTGTGTGGCAAGAGTCATCCTTTGAAGGGCTGTCAAATGGAAGGCACTGTTTAACGAGGGAGCATTCTAAAAAATACGATACGATTGATAAATGATATGATAAATAACGTCAATGTATTATTCTAATAGCTCATGTGCCACAAATCGGTTTTTGTAGTGCTCAGCGTAGCACAATTTCTGATTCTGATGGGAATTCTGAAAGAACCCTGGACTTCTAATGAGACTCCGGTAGACTGTCCCCTTTTCGACTCACCGATGTAAATATATCCTGTATTTTCTTCGTGATCCTCTCGATTTCCTTATTCACTATCAGTTTTTCTTCACTTGGCGCCTAAATGATTCATCAAATTCATCAATAAAGCAAATTTTCTTTTTTCTCACCTCTTTCAAATAAAATGGTCGAACAAATTGTGCTTGCGGCGAGAGTTTACTCTTTTCTTTCAGTGTTGCTTTGATGATATCTAGATGGATTTGTTTTACCGGAGTTGTCTCTTTTTGATTGGCTGGGAAAGCCTCTCGATCGTATTGAACATCTAAAATTGAGGGATTTGTGAATATTGAAAGATTCGAAACTGTCTGGCGTCATTCCTAGCTTGATACATTTCTCCAATCGACAACCACGACATAAGTAACGAGTTTCTGAACAAAATTCAACAAATAACGTATAAAGCTTAAGTTTTAAAAGTAAATTGTTGAAATTTTGAAACCTTTCGAAATATTGCATTCACCACTTTGTTTCCGACATTTGTATTCCTTTCCAAGGACGTAGCTGCTGAAATTTGAGAGCTGTTACCGTATTTTCTCTAATAGTAGTGCACCCTGAGCGTTGCCTAAATTGCTCGAAATCTCGAAAACCACTTATCAGAACCTATCGATGTGGGGTCGGAAAATGTAGCTGACGATGTGATCTTGTGGGGATTAGATTATTGAGCTTCTGCGAAAAATTTGAAAGCCGTAAAATAGTGCTCAACTCGGCTCGCTGGGGGTGCACTACTATTATAGAAAATACGGTATCTCAGTCATTTGGTGAAATTGGATCTACCGTAATACCACAAACATGTAATAATATTACACCTAAATCTCACAGCTATTTTGAAAAGGAAAACTTGTTACAGTTATTTTAAAAAGCAAAACTTTCCCAGACAAAAACTTAAAGGATATTATCGTAAGTTAGAGGAAATTTCTACCCTAATATTGCAAAATGCAATGATTAGAATGGTTACGATATGTCTTACTGTTTATCCTAAAGGTTTTTTTGGATTAACTATAGTGATGTAGTAAGATATAGCCTTTACATTTAAAATGCAATTTTTTGGATGTAAAGGCTATATCTTACTACATCACTATAGTTAATCCAAAAAAAACCTTTAGGATAAACAGTAGCCTTACTATCGTACCCATTCTAATAACAGAATTAAATAATTATTTTCAAAAAGCAAGACATTCAGGTGTAAAATTGCTCTAGGTGTAAAATGCAAAGGGATGCTGTATTTTCTCGAATAGTAGTGCACACTGAGCGTTGTCTAAATTGGTTGAAATCTCGTGAAGCGCTTATCAGAACCTATCGATGTGGGATCGGAAAATGTAGCTGACGATGTGATCTTGTGGGGGATTAGAGTATTCTGCGAAAACTGCGAAGCTTCTGCAAAAGCTTGGAAACCGTAAAATAGTTACCAACTCGGCTCGCTGGGGGTGCACTACTATTAGAGAAAATACGGTACTGTAATTTTTGTAAGTTTATAGATTAAAGCTCATTGCCCACTTACCGTCTAAAGAAAGCGGCACAAGCTCGACAAGCGGGGACACCAAAGTGCACACCGTGCGCCGGACCCTCGCAAATAACACAATCGGCTGAAGTGGATGAGGAACTTGGCTGAAGTGGTGTTTGGTAAAAAGTTTTGTTTCGATTTGAACTGGTCTAGCTTTGAAGTTTTGGTACTGGACTTAGTTTCTATCAAACCTGTAAAGCCTCATTTAGATCCAGATTGAGTAATTTCTTCGTATCGTCGTCCATCTCGAAAAACGGATCCACAAAACGGCTAAAGTGAAGTGAAACGATTCGCTTATAGAAAAATAGGAAATTTGAGGGAAATGATTGAATACTCATTGAAATGGATTGAATAAAATGAAAGGGAAGAATAAAAGAAAGAGAAGAAAGTTAATGAAAGAATGAAAGAAACGGAAGAAACTTGTGACTTGTGGCTAAACTGATCATCGTTTGCAGTGAATCAAGAAAAAAAAAAGAAAGGTCAAAAACAAAATTCCTCTTCTAAAGTGTAGTTTTCTGTGTTTAAGAGGAAGCTTTTCGGTGAGTGGAAAAAAAAATTGAGCGGTTATTTGTAGGCTGAGTGTGACACACAAACACTGAACCAAAAAAAAGGAAAAAGGACACAAAATTCTCGATTTCTGTGCGAAAAGGGAGTTGGCAACGAGCAAAAACGAGTCGATAAGATAAATAAAAGAGAGAAAAGAGTAAAGAAATCATCACAAGTCACAATTTGACCACATTTATCCACAATTTCTTTCTTTTTTTTTGCTTTTTCTTTTGCTTTTTCTTTCACTTGCTCCTTTGATTTTTGGGTATTTTGTGATTTTTGGATTTTTATTGCGAGAAGAACTTTGCCTTTAGTTTTCTGATTGGAAACGACGGTTCAATAAGATCAATTCTTGATTTCTTTTAAGAAATTGGGAAAGTGAATTGCTTTAAATAACTGGCGTTATCGGGAAAAGATTTCTGATGAAATTTTATGATTAAAAAAATCGATGAGTGAAGAAAGCAGAACAAAAAACGATTGTAGTTTTGGAGGTAATCCAAGAAAATTTGAGGGAAAGACGAAATGCGAAAGAACGAAAGAAAGACAATTCAAAGTGAACCTTTTAAGCATTTTCTTAAACGATTTTAATCACCATTTGGTGGGAAATTCCCGCCCAATGTAAAAAATGATTTTTTGTTTTTGAAAAACCTGGGGGTGGGACAAATGCGACCTTTTTTTGAGCACCTGGACATTTGCGCACCTTTTTTTTGCTGGAAAAGGCCTTAGGAAAGGTCGTAGAGCTTCGAAAATATTTCCATATAAGGGAATCGTATGCGTAGATTCCGAATTTCGACAAATCAGACCTCGCTGACACGTCAAATTTGGGCTAAAAGGCAAAAGCTGCGGAAAAGCGTTAAGTTGCGTAGTTTTTGCCTTTTAGCCCAAATTTGACGTGTCAGCGAGGTCTGATTTGTCAAAATTCTGAATCTACGCATACGATTCTCTTCTATGAAAACATTTTTGAAGCTCTACGACTTTTCCTAAGGCCTTTTCCAGCAAAAAAAAAGTGCGCAAATGTCCAGGTGCGCAAAAAAAAGGTCGCATTTGTCCCACCCCCGTAATTTCTCAAAAATCCCATCATCAATTTTTCCAGCAAGATATTATTTTGAATTTATTTTTAAAAAATTTTAAAAAATTTTTTTCTTTTTTTTTTTTTTTTAATTTTTTTTTTTTTTTTAAAATTTTTTTTTAAATTTTTTTTTTTTTTTTTTAAAAAAAAATTGGGGGGGGGAGGGGGAAAAAAAAATTATTTTAATTTGGGGGGGTGGAAAAAAAAAAAAGAAAAGAAAAAAAAAAGAGGGGATTTTTTGGGAGAAGAGAAAAAGAGGGGAAAAAAAAAAAAAGTGAAAAATAGAAAGAAGAAAAGGGAAGGAAAAAGGGAAGAGGGGTTAAAAGAAAAAAAGAAAAAAAATTTTTTTTTTTTTTTTTTTTTTTTTTTATTTAAATTGAAAAAAGATTTGAATTTTAATTTAAATGAAGGACCGAAAAAAAAAAAAAAAGAAAGGGAAAGAAATTAAAAAGTTTTTTTTTTTTTTTGGGGGTTTTTTGGGTTTTTTTTTTTTTTTTTTTAAGATTTTTTTTAAAATTAAAAATTATTTTTTTTTTTTTTTCTTTTAAGTATAAAATAATGATAAAAAAGAAATTTTTTTTTTTTTTTTTTTTTTTTAAGGGTTTGGTGGGTTTTTGGGGGGTTTTTGTGGGATTATTTTTAAATATTTAATTATAAATTAAAAAATATTATAAAAAAAAATAAAAAAAAAAGAGTTGATTTTTAAAAGGAGGTTTAATTTAATTTGAATAAAATATATATTAATTTTAGGAGATAGGACGGGGCTTTTATAAAAAAAAAATTTTTTTTTTTTAAATGAATTATTTATTTTGAAGAGGGATGGTTTTAATTTTTTTTTTTTTTTTTTTTTTTTTTTTTTATTTTTTTATTTAAAGGAAAAAAAAAAGAAAATTATTAAAATTAAATTATTTAATTATATTATTTTATTAAATATATAAATTTTTATAAAAATTGTTTTTTATAAAATTTTTTTTTGTAAAGGAAAGATTAAAAAAGGAGATGGGGGGGGGGGGTAATATTAATTGGGTGTTTTATTAAATTTTTTTTTTTTTTTATTATTATATTTTTTTTTAAATTTTTTTTTTAAAAAAAAATAATTTATTTTTTTTTAAATTACCTATTATTGAAAAGTTTGTTTGTTTGTCTTTTTGTTTTGTTTTGCCTTTTTGTTTTTGTTTTTTTGCCAAAATATGCGACTGCCAAAATATGCGTATGGCTAATTTCGAAGATTTCATTAGTTGTGTTCGATTTCTGGCGACTTTTAAGGGAGTTTTCTTCAATCGAACTTTTATTGTCCAGTTTTTAGATAAAAAAAAGGTAAACCCAAAAAGAAAATAAAGTGAAAAAAAACTAGAAATTTTTATGGTGAAACCGTTTTGTAACTTTAAAATTGTAACTTTCTACTCGCATCGTGGTGTCATATCACACTTAACATATAAACTACCGTAAATACTGTAATAGCACCCCACCCCCTCGTACAGTCGCGTAGTCGCAAAAAGTTTTTTAGTATTTAATTTTTTCCAAAGCGCCCGTACTTTCAAAACATGCGTCTTTGGTATCAAAAAATAGCTGAAATTCAGGGCTATTTTTTGATACCTACGCGCACATTATAGCTTAAACGAGTGTCGAGAAAAACGCGTTCAAAGCTAGACTACGCAACACTCCGCACCGTTATTATGGGGGTGGGGTACTATTACAGTATTTACGGTAAGTTTTATAATCAAACACTTTATCGGTTTAGAACATTCAGTAATCGCTTGCTTATAGATAATTCTTTTAGCTCGCAATTTTCAAAGAAGCAACCAATTTCTGCTCATGAGCTACTAATCGATAAGGTGTTTTGGTTGAAAATCTTAGTTTGCATGTTAGCTCTGATATGACATGCATATGACACCATGATGCGAGTAGAAAGTTACAATTTAATTGCAAAAATCTCATGGTGATGGTGAACATGGTGGGGCAGAAATTCATGAAAAGTTCATGAAATAAAACTTCGTTTATAGCTAACAGAGCTAACATATCAGCTAACATATCAGAGCTAACATAGCTCTGATATGACACCATGATGCGAGTAGAAAGTTACAATTTTATGACAAAAATCAAAAACAAAATGGTGGTAGCAGACATAGTGACTCAGAAATTTCATGTATAAGATTCAGGAAAATCTTAGTTTGCATTTTAGCTCTGATATGACACCATGATGCGTTTAGAAAGTTTCAATTTTATGAAAAAAATCTCATGGTAGTGGCAGTCATAGTGTCTCAGAACTTTTATGTATAGGAAAGTTATGAAATCGAAAAAAAAAAGTGAAAAACTATCAAAAATTTGCCCGCTTAAAAAATTAACTTTGGCACCGCAACAACCACCAGAAACCACTAGAAATTCTGAGAAAAATCGCTCTGAACTGACTTTTTCTTGGAAAACCCTGTACACTTTCAGAGTTGATAAAAATTCGAACTTATTCGACCAGCCTAACAGTAAGTTTTTAGTGTATCCAATGAAAAGCGAAAGAAGTCAACTATCAAAAACTATTGTAATCTTGCTTTTTCAAAGCTACGGTAATTCAAGCAATCAAGTAACTTTTATAAAAGATGAAAACTTTCGGAAACTAACATAATCTAGCTATTATCTAATCTCTACACATTTCTGATCGATGAGATTTCCAAATCGATGAGAGTTCCAAATCGATGGGATTTCCAAATCGATGAGATTTCCAAAGCTTAAGGAAAAGAGCCATTTGCTTTCTGTTATTGTCATTGATACTCAATGATTAATAACATATAAAGAATAGTTTATTTACACATAAAAAAAACTCAAAAACAAAAAGCTAATGTCTTTTCGGATCACCACCACAAGGGAAATCAAAATGAAAAACGTCGAAGAGGCGAAACATCAAAAAGAGCTCACTGCGCTCGAGTTCGTGACGCTGAAAATGTGGGATTACAGCATTCCCAGGGAACTAAGAACAACGAATAGATGAAGCTCATTGCAACTTCTACTCCTACAACTCCCCATTCTCTATCTCTTTGCAACTTCTACTCCTACAACTCCCCATTCTCTATCTCCAACCCTTATCTCACCTCATTGTTATTTCGAATTCGATGTAGTTGAATCAAACGATGCGCATAATTCTCTTGTCCTTTTGAGTGAATGTAATAATCATGAAGTTCAGCAGAGATTCGCTCACGATAGGTATCGGCTACACGGATTGTTTCTGGAGAGACGCCACGACCTGAGAATTGAGAATTGAGAATCATTAGACAATTAGACTCAAGAATATAGGATATTGTTTTGAAGATCTTTTGTTTTATCTCGTGAATGATTTTTTAAACCAACCATCAACATTCCACATTGTTGTACACAAAAGATAGATATATTCAAGGGGAGCTGGTGAAAGTGCGTGAAGAGGACGACCGAGATCCTCGAAAAGATTCTCCATTGATGGCCACATGAATCTAGAGATAGCTAGATAAAGGAAAGCTAGATAAAGGAAAGCTACACTACTGGACAATGAAATATCATATTTGAAAAAACACTTTCGCACTTTCGCGCGTCTGTAACTCCCTTGTCTTTACCGTATTTCTAAATATTAATATTACCATTGTGTAGCCCTTGAAAAGAGCTTTCAGAAAATGTATAACACTAATAGTTTAAACTCAAAGACAAGGGAGTTACAGACGCGCGAAAGTGCGAAAGTGTTTTTTCAAATATGATATTTCATTGTCCAGTACTGTAGATAAAGCAAAGCTAAATAAAGCAAAGCTAGATAAAGGAAAGCTAGATAAAAAGGATTCATTTTGAAATGTTTCTTTCAAATTCTCACCTTCTGATTTCTTCATCGCTGTAATTGCTCATCCCGCAAACATCGAATTCAGTCAATGGACTCATGATATGGCCTTCCATCAAAAATAACTAAAAGTTTCTTTATTCTTATAGTATACAATTATAGTTAAAATTAGTATTACCATTATTACATTACAATTATACAATTATACAATTATACAATACTTATAGTATAAAAATAGCACAGTTTGAATCAATTTTCTTACCTTTTTCTTGAGCGCTTCTTCTCCGACCACCGCCAACGCCACCGCCACTTTCTCCAAACGTGCCAAATTTCCGCAAACCTTTTGATAGATTAACAACTAAATATTTCAATTTCTTTTTCTATTTTCATTTTCAAAACCTTTTCTTCTAATGGAAGTCGTGCAAATTCCTCGCAATGCATCATCCATTTTGCTCCATTTTCTCTATTTTTAATGAGATGTGACAAGAGAAGTTCGAAGCTCAATTTAGGTAACATCTAAAAAATGGTTTTAAATTTGGATATGAAGGAACTATAAAGGAACTATGAAGGAACTATGAAGGAACTATGAAAAGGAACTATAAAGGAACCATAAAAGAACTTTAAAGGAACTAAAAAGAAACTATAAAGGAGCTATAAAAGAACTTTAGATTATTAGATTATTAAAATATATTTTACCGGTGGATTTGATGGAAGAAAACCGCGAAGTCTTTCGGTGGCGACAGCCATTCTTTGAAGAGCGGTTAGGGGGAAAGCTGAGACGATCTCCATTGGGGTTGACTGTAATTTGTGAATGGGTATAAGTAAGGTATAAGGTTGAGAAATTGTAAGTAAAAGGTTTCTAATTATAAGATTTATGTTGTTTAGCTAAGATAAGAAAATATAATAAGGCTGGATTCTTTAAAGATTTTAGAGTTAACTTATAGTTTATAGTGCCATTTTGTCTTGTTCTGTGTTTTCAAAAAGATTTGTCTCAGGCTTTGAAGCAAATTACCGTAAATACTGTAATAATACCCGACCCCCATAATGACGGCGCGGAGTGTTACGTAGTCGAGCTTTGAACGAGTTTTTCTCAACACTGGTTTATGCTACAATGCGCGCTTAGGTATCAAAAAATAGCCCTGAATTTCAGCTATTTTTTGATACTAAAGACGCATTTTCTGAAAGTACGGGCGCTTTGGAAAAAATGAAATACTAAAAACTTTTGCGACTACGCGACTGTACTAGGGGTGATACTATTACAGTATTTACGGTATCTAAATCTAAACCAGCTCATCTTTAAAGCTTACATAAAACTCAACGATTTTCAATTAAACTCTGTTCTAACTTCTTTCTAAAGAATATACTTTCTATCGTATACTATTTTGAGCTACCATATGTGATCTGGCTTGCCTGTATGACTAACTGTTTGCTACTGAAAACCACTTACCATAAATACTGTAATAGTATCCCCCCTCGTACAGTCGCGTAGTCGCAAAAGTTTTTTAGTATTTCATTTTTTTCAAAGCAGCCGTACTTTCAAAAAATGCGTCTTTAGTATCAAAAAATAGCCCTAAATTTCAGCTGTTTTTTGATACCTAAGGGCGCATTGTAGCATAAACCAGTGTCGAGAAAAACTCGTTCAAAGCTCGACTACGTAACACTCCGCGCCGTCATTATGGGGGTCGGGTACTATTACAGTATTTACGGTAAGTTGAAAAGTGCTAATTCTTGTCGGTCTCTCTGCAGTTAAAAGGCATTAAAACTTACAGTATTTAAAAGAAATACTATTTAAGTAGAGTAGAGTTTGATTAGAGCTTTTTGATTAAGGTGTTTTTTTTTCGTTTTCCGTAAAAACGTCAGGGATTGACTGACTTAAATTTCAAATCCACCCAGAATACGGTAGCTTTTAGAACTTTTAGAAATTTCTTAATTACCTGCATGAAAATCCTCTCAACTCTCTTCGTGACATTTCCCAAATCGGAGATCAATTGCGCGATGTGTGGCGGTGGGGGTGGCTAACGTATTTGTAAAGCTAACAAGAGTCATTCTAAAAGTCTTACCTTAATCTTAATCACTGTTGTCCCTTGTTGATTGCTTCTTATTTCTTCTATCGGCATTTCCGGCGACGATTTACTCGCCATTTCCATCGTCTGCTCTTTTCCATTCAACCCTTTTTGTTCGTCTTTCTCCATTTTCTCGAAATCCTCCAATTTCATGGCGTTGCACAAACGATCGCGATTCCATTGGACATCTAGAATATGGAAAAGATACTACAGTAATCCCTAACAAGGGAACCTTCCCAAGTTACCCGCTAGTTACAATAGGAGGTACAGTACTGGACAATGAAATATCATATTTGAAAAATGATCGTCACGTTCGCGCGTCTGTAACTCCCTTTGTCTTTACCGTATTTCTAAATATCAATATTACCATTGTATAGCCCTTGAAAAGAGCTTTTAGAAAATGTATAACACTAATAGTTTAAACTCAAAGACAAGGGAGTTACAGACGCGCGAAAGTGCGAAAGTGTTTTTTCAAATATGATATTTCATTGTCCAGTACTGTAGGTGCCAAAAGAAAGGCCTGAAAAGGTACGTTCAGAAACTGTTTTCAAAAATCGACAAAACGCACAAAATACAAATTTCTAATAATCAAAAAAAAGGATTTTTAATGTTTTTCAAAAAAGCAAAAAGTTTGAGTGCTGGCGAATCCAAAACAATATCAAAGAGTTCGGAGCGAAGGCACACTAACCACTAGAGCTACGAGCTGGCTTTTGGGATGGCGAAAGCAAAACCTTTCCGCCGACAAAAATCAGTGTGTCAGAAATTCGAGAAAAGCCTTCATTTTTTCGAAATTCAAATAGCTATAACTTTGTGTGTTTTGTCGATTAGCGGTCTTTGAAAACAGTTTCTGAAAGTACATTTTAAGGTCTTTCTTTTGGCACCTACCTCATATTGTAACTTGTGGGTAACTTGGGAAGGTTTCGTTGCAAGTAATCTGTGAAAACATTTTCTTATTCCAAGGATACTGTACCTAAAATAATCCTATAATAGAGCTTGTTTCATATGCTTACCGTAAATACTGTAATAGTATCACCCCTCGTACAATCGCGTAGTCGCAAAAGCTTTTTAGTATTTCATTTTTTTCAAAGCACCCGTACTTTCAGAAAATGCGTCTTTAGTATCAAAAAATAGCTGAAATTCAGGGCTATTTTTTGATACCTACGCGCACATTATAGCTTAAACCAGTGTCGAGAAAAACGCGTTCAAAGCTAGACTACGCAATGCTCCGCACCGTCATTATGGGGTCGGGTACTATTACAGTATTTACGGTCGCTTCTTTTGTAAACCAGCCGAAAAAGCTAACAGCGGCTTTTTCTGATTAAGCCCTTCCTGTCGCCGTAGTGCAGTCGGGAGCGCGCTTGTCTACAACTCACACAACCCGGGTTCGACCCACTGTAGCGCCACTCAATTCCGACTTTCCAATATTTTTATTTTAAATGGCACAACTATATTATATTTTGAGACTTTTTAAGAATTTCAGTTTTTTTTTTGGCTTAAAGACGGTTGAGAAAAAGTTCGTGAAGATGGACAAAAAAAGAAAATCCTTTTCTACACTCACTATCGGGTGTCATTCCGACTTGAAGACATTTCTCGTATCGACAATGCCGACAAAGACTTCGGACCTCTAAAAACGAAGAATAATTTCATTTACATGGATTTTATGACGGAAAATTGTTTACAAATCCACTTACCCGGTCCTAAATCACATTTCCCATCCGATTGCTTACATGAATATTTCTTGTTCAGCACAACGGTTCTAAATGAGCAATTTTAAGGATTACTTACTACTTTTTAAGGATTATTTATTACTTTTTAAGGATTATTTATTACTTTTTAAGGATTAATTACTACTTTTTAAGGATTAATTACTACTTTGATGGGTTATTTTGATGCATTTTGATTAAGATAATCTTAAATCGGTTTCATAATATTAGGTTGATGCATAAGTGTTTTTGTTCCTTTTCGTCTGCCGTTTCAAGCCAACAAATGCACCAATTAAACTACGGTTGATTTCATTAGAAAAACCAATTATTTTTCTGCAAAATAACATTAAAACGGGTTTAAAAATATTTAATGCCTGGATTTTCTTGAGAGTATGAAGTCGGGTAGTCAAAAAGGGCTAACTCGATGATGCGGTTTAGACACCTTAGCTAAAGAAAACCTATCTTCGTGTCAATAGATAAAAGATAGAGAAAAAAAAATTTGATATTTCGCCAAAATTTCAGGGAAATTCATTCAGCCAATTTTTCCGTAGAGTTTTTTATAGATTTTTACGAAAAAGGCGTTTTTCACTCTCGAATTTGCTTCAAAGTGAACCGAAATTCATTTAAAAAGATGCAAATTGAACAAAAAAACACTTTTTTTATAGAGCAAACTATAGATTAATTCGTGAATTTATTACTTTTTAACAGAAGTACGAAAAAAACGAAAAGACTTATGCATCAACCTATTATTAAAGGACAAACAATGCTCTTTTATATCTAGTATTAGGTTGATGCAAAAGTCTTTTTCATTTTTTTCGTACTTCCGTTAAAAAGTAACAAATGCACCAATTGAACAACGGTTTATTGCATTCGAAAGGCCAATTATTTTTCTGCAAAATGACATTAAAACGAGTTTAAAATGTCTTATGTCTAGATTTTTTTGAGAGCCTGAAGTCGGGTAGTCAAAAAAGGCGACGACTCGATGATGCATTTTAGACGCTTTAGCTAAGGAAACCAATCTTGATGTTAATAAATAAAAGATAGAGCACAAAAAGTTAGATATTTTTCTCAGATTTTCAGAGAAATTGATTCAGCCAATTTCTTTATAGAGGTTTTTATAGATTTTTATGAAAAACCCGTTTTCACTCTCGAATTTGCTTGAAAGTAAACCCAAATTGACTTAAAAAGATGGGAAATTGAACAATAAACACTTTTCATTTAGAGCAAACCATAGGTTAATTGATGACTTTGTTATTTTTCAAAAGAAGTACGAAAAAAATGAAAAAGACTTTTGCATCAACCTAATAGATCACTCACTATCACTCACTGTAGCTGGATTCTGAGCACTGTACTAAACGTAAGCTCAAGTATTGAAGGAAGATTACTTTATGAGTGATACATTAGTTGATGTAAGCAAGTTAATCTTTGAACTACTTACTATAGTTCAAAATCTATCCTTTAGTATAAAATGTTGGGGATTACTGTATGGATCTACACTAATCTACAGATCTACAGTAATCTTCAACCAACTAATTAATAGTCAACAAATTGTAACTATTTAAATGCAGATAACGAATACTAGAATGACTGAGATTTAAAGATGACTGAGATTAATTTGAAAGAAAACTCAAACCTGCGAAAGAAAGCCGCACAAGCACGACACGTTGTCACTCCAAAATGAATGCCGTGTGATGGCTGAGAACAAATGACACATTCAGAGAGAAGGGAACTTGTAGGCAAACAGCTCGTTGACTGAATATTCATATTTATAGAGAAATATTCTAGATTAACACCAGCATTTACATTTCCCAAGATTACGATGATTTTTGAGGGAGTTAAAGCAAAGTCCAAATCTTGTTATTTTTAAAGCTAAAGCTTCACAAAGGCAATTAAAAGCAAATGGACTTAATCTAGATATTCGGAAAAAGAATACAGCAGTTTTACAGTAGTTTTTAAACCAATTTACCAAACCAAGTGCCTCTTTTAGCGCTTACCGTAATCCTTTCCGAGATCTCGCTCGATTCTAACAAATTATACAAAGTTTCCTCATCAAAATCATCATCAATCATTCTTTTTGAATAGTCAATTATCCCCAAAAAACAAAACAAATAAGAAAACTTTCAAATGGAGAAGACGAGAAAATGAATTCGTGATGACATTGCGAAATCAATCGGGGCAGGGAAAGGGGAAAAGAACCAAGATCGGGAATAGCCCATTCTCTCTTGTAAAACGTTTTTTGCTCACACGCTCACACGAAAAATAGTTTTTCTGCTCCTGTTAACAGGAAATTGCATCACTGAAAGAGAGATTTTCGAAAGTTATTTCGAAGTGATCACTGCATTCAAAGCACCGAGGACTTGAGAACAACCCTGCTAGACATTCATTGACCTAGACATTCATTGACCTCTAAACAATTGGGAACAAAAAGTTCTGACAATGAGCAAGTACAAGTGATCAACAAGTCATTTACTGATTAACGAATGAGGAAAGATCATTGTTTAATTTTCTCAACGATCTTCTAGAGTCAATGAATAAGGAAAGATCGCTGTTAATTTTCTCAACGATCTTCTAGAGTCAATCCAATGGCATTGCATAGGGTTGAGCGAAGTTTATGCCTTTTGAATAGTTTATAGTTTATACCAATATTGAAATACTTGAGAACAAAAGAACGATAACTGGGCGATTTTTTTGTTTATAAATTGTGAGATATTTGAATGAAATGAAATGAAATGTATTGCTACCGCTTTTTTCTTTAATAGTTTTTGTTTTTGATCTATTTTGTGGCCTTTCTTTGCCGTCTATAGTTCAGTAAACCAAGCCTAAACAAGAAACATCCTGAATTGAGCAGATTTTGAAGGTCATTTGTCATATGAAATGAGTGATAATGATAATGTTTATTTGATTTTTCATTGTTGAATGAATTTTTCTTTTACTTAAAGTCAACGATTTTGATCTTCACTCAATTTTTGAGCTTTTTCATTCTTGACCTAAGATTGATTCAGTGCTGATGACTGCACACAAATTCAATAACTGAAAAAAGCTGTAAAGTTCTAATAGAACGCTGTAAAGCTCTAATAGAACGCTGGAAAGCTCTAATAGAAAGCTTTAAAGTTCTAATAAAAAGCTGTAAAGTTCTAATAAAAAGCTGTAAAGTTCTAGTAAAAAGCTGTAAAGCCCTAATAAAAAGCTGTAAAATTCTAATAGAAAGCTTTAAAGTTCTAATAAAAAGCTGTAAAGTTCTAGTAAAAAGCTGTAAAGCCCTAATAGAACGCTGTAAACTTCTCAAACTTATCTAAAGCTCCAATCTTATCTCAAACTTATCTTATCTTATTTAAAGAAAAGATCAAACATTGATTGATAAAATGTCTAACGTAAAACAAAGCTCTTAATCAACATGATCCTTTAGAAGCTTTACTTTTTAAGAGTACAGAGAATTACATAAAGCTTTTTAAGTTGATAAAGAAAAAAAGCAAAAAAAAGAAAAGCTGTTAAAACTTGTGCCACGTTGTTTTTAACAATCTAGTTAGTTTACTCACCAAATCCATCTCATCAACGGTGACTTCAATGTACTCGAGATCTGTCTCTCCACGTGGATCCATTACTCTCAACGACATTCAAGTAATTGCTTAAAACAATAATAAGTGCCAAAAAAGTGTAAATCGATAGTTCTTTTTTAGCTTTTTTTTTGTGTGAAGGTGTAGTCTATGTGGAGAGATTGAAAAGAGAAAAAAAAGAAAAAGAAAAGAAAACGGGGAAAGTGTGCCTGTTTGCCATTGGAGGGAAAGAGAGAAAAGGGGGAAACTCGACCCATTTCCCGATAAAATTTCCACCTTTCCACCTTTTTTTCTTCATGAAATTCAGAATGGATAGGTATTTGGATAATTTTAAGCAAATATTGGGAAAACCTTTTTGAGATATCCTTGTAACAAAAATAAACATCTTTATTGCATTGTTCTGGTAAATTGGCTATTGACTTTGCGTCTTTGATTTCTCTATGTTAATGAGTAAATCACAAAAACACAAACACAAACATTTTAGAACATTTTAGAGTCAATTTTTAGAGTCAATTTTTTTTTCTTTATGAAATTCAGAATGTCTATGTATTTGGATAATTTTAAGCAAATAGCAAATGGCAAATGGCAAATGACATTTTCCAATCCCTCAAAATCGATCATTCCAAAATGGCATGGGAAAACCTTTTTTAAGATATCTTTGTAATAAAAATAATTATTTTTTTGTTGCATTGTTTCCATGGGAAATTCTCCATGGGAAATTCTTCATGGGAAATTCTTCATGGTTCTCCATGGTCATCGACTTTGCAGCTTAGAAAAATTCAATTGAAAGCTAGCAATCAACTTCAACAGAGTTAAAGGCAAAGTTGTTCCCAGAACTCAAGAAATCAAGTAAATTGAGCTTTTTGTAAAACAATTTTACACGAGTTATAGCAAATTTGTGTACCTAGTGTCTTTGTTTTTGTTTGTTTGATCGTTTATTTCTTCTGCCCCTTCCCATTCAGCACAGATACAACGGAAACGGTGGTTGCATTGTGATTCTATATCCATTTGTAGTCATAATGTTTCTGTTTCTAAATCACAAATCTAAATCTGTGATTTTATGTTGCCTAGCAGCTTTTGCATCGAATCAAACAAACATTTTCTGTAGTTATTATAGATAAAGAGAAGAAAAACGGTGGATAGCGTCCCGTGAGAGCACCCCGATTGCTGTTGACCAAATAATGTCAACTGAAAGTTTTTAACCAACATTTCTTTTAGTTTTGAATGTTTCGAAGAGGCTGGAGAGCCGAATTTTTTCAACAATAGAAAGTTGAATATTTTTCGTTTATTACCAAAGAGACAAAGCGCTTAAAGAGGCCGACTCAGGCCATCCCAACAAAATAACCAAAACAATCTTCCACAAAAATGGCACAAAGACAACGCCGATGAATATGATTACCTCAAAATCACCAATCATCATAAAACTTAAAATGAAAAGTAACGTAGCACTTTTTTTTGTATTTAGCAGTAATAAAACAAATGAAAGTGCTTGTAAAGAGACTGAATAGTGAGATTTCGAAGTTATATTAGTAATAGTTTTTGGAAATGCAATGTCTTTTCGCTCATTAAATGTCGCTGTTAGCCGAGGCTGTAGAAAGCTGGAAGAATCAGCTGGAAGAATAAAATAAGCATGTACACGAAACACAACAAGTAAAAAAAGAGAAAGATTCACCAAGTTCGGTGCATTCAATAAGAATAAAATAAGCGAGAGTAGTAAATCCAAAAATTCCACTCATCGATGAGCCGAGGCCGCAAAAACCGTTATGGTTGATGAAGTTGATCATGAAGTTGATCATCGTCGGGTTATACTAGAAATTCGACAACGATAAGGGTTTACTGTGACGTTAACAGGGCTTGCCAATAACCAAAGCAGGTAGGATTGTTAATTTTTATTGTTAAGCCTAACAACTGAAGACATCAAACTCCAACAAATTCCAAATTCCAAAATTTGTGTGCAACTTTTGCTTGCTCTCGAATCGCCTGTTCAAGATCAAGATTTTGGAATGATCGATTTTGAGGGATTGGAAAATGAAATGAAATGAATGAAATGCTCATTCTAATACAGCATTTACGGTAATTTATATTATATGTTCATGACTGTTTTCTTAAACGTTTTCTTAAACGTGTTCACTTTCTCTTTCTGCCTTAATCTTGTCTTTACTCTTGTTCAATCTATTCACTTTCTGAACTCAATAGAGAACAATATGCTTTAAATTTAAACAAGCTGTACCGGAGTGTTGAAATGCCAAACAAACTGGCAAGCCCAAGAAAATAGACACCCAAAATGGGCACCGTAGAGATGGGAAAAGTAAATGTGGTGACACAAAAGTCGAACATTGCACCAACCAGCTACAAGTGATTGGATTGTATTTATGCGAATGAGCTCAGATCAAAGATTAGGGAATCTTTCCTACCAAACCTGCATTGAAAGCAGATAATACTTGTAGTTGCCGAGTCTTTTCGGTGAAAATTTAGACGATGATGCCACATAAATGATGTAGACGCCGAGTAAGTTGAGAAATAAAACGGACACTGAAATGATGAGCTTTTTGCTTCGATTCGATTTCAAAAACACCACCGCTAAGAGTCGATACATATTGTTGAATGATTGGAAATTCGATCGAGATTTTTTTCCGTCCACCAATTCGATCGAGATTTTTTTAACTTTGCGAATTTTTACTAAACTGGTAAAAGCGCTAACTGGTCTAAATGATTGCTTTCTACCTGGTTCTATACTTTTTATGCTTAAGAAGATCTGGAATCAGATCAGTAATTTCTGAATGGGCAAAACAATGGACCAAGTACACATGTCATCTGTCAAAGCAGGCTAGAGATTCGTTTAAGAAATCTTCCATAGTTTACTACTGTGACTTGACAAAGACAGACATCAAAAACGCCAATGTTTACAACGGATACACCATTCTCAGCGTTGATAAGCGGATTTGGAACGATGAAGGCGCTGAGCGACGCATGATGTGCTGTGCATGATGTGCAGCTGACTCTCGCGTCGATCGTCTAACGTTTGCTTACATTGACTAATCATATTTCTATTGTAAAAGTTCTTTTTTTCATTTCTATACCGAATGTGAAAGCAGTATCGTGAAGCAGAAGACGAGAAAGGTCAACATTTGATCACGAGTTGTCGAACGTTCGGATGGTCACGGAACGGCTATTTAAAGAACACTTTTCCTTCCATTTCTATTCATCGGATTTCAGATTTTGGTTGAACAGTGCAACGTGAACAAAAGAAGAGGCGGCGCGGTCAGAAAACTGTTCAGTTTTTACTAAAGTGACATCCAATAAAGGCAATCGATTGTAAATGAAGATTTCAACGCGATTCGACTCATCAGTCACGAATAAAATGTAGCTCTCTTGAAATATGTATGCACGTTGCTTTTTATCAGTTATATTCACGTAAAGAAATAAATCTAAATCAATCCAACTACGTCTCCGCAAAATTTACGTATTATAAATACTGTAATAGTGCTCCACTTTCATAATGACGGAGTGGAGTGTTGCGTAGTCTAAACTTGAACGCGTTTTTCTCGACATTGATTTATGCTACAATGCGCGCTTAGGCATCAAAAATAGCTGAAATTTGGGGCTATTTTTTGCTCCTTAAGCGCACATTGTAGCATAAACCAGTGTCGAGAAAAACTCGTTCAAAGCTAGACTACGCAACACTCCGCACCGTCATTATGGGGGTGGGGTACTATTACAGTATTTACGGTAGCTAGATAAAATCAAGTCTAGCTTTGGACGCGTTTTTCTCGACATTGATTTATGCTACAATGCGCGCTTAGGCATCAAAAAATAGCTGAAATTTGGGCGCGCCCGACTGCACTACGGCGACAGGAAGGGCTCAATCAGAAAAAGCCGCTGTTAGCTTTTTCGGCTGGTTTACAAAAGAAGCGACCGTAAATGCTGTAATAGTACCCGACCCCATAATGACGGTGCGGAGCATTGCGTAGTCTAGCTTTGAACGCGTTTTTCTCGACACTGGTTTAAGCTATAATGTGCGCGTAGGTATCAAAAAATAGCCCTGAATTTCAGCTATTTTTTGATACTAAAGACGCATGTTTTGAAAGTACGGGTGCTTTGAAAAAAATGAAATACTAAAAAACTTTTGCCACTACGCGACTGTACGAGGGGTGATACTATTACAGTATTTACGGTAAGTAGTTTTCAGTAGCAAACAGTTAGTCATACAGGCAAGCCAGATATGGTAGCTCAAAATAAAAGCTGGTCCTTGATTTGAGAAGCTTGAGACCAATTGCTGGTCAAGATAACAATCAAGGCGCAGCAAGGTTCACATTTTTGTCGCAAAACCTATTGTTCTTTGTTTTTTTTTGTATATCTGATGCCTTTTTCAATAGATGTTGATCGTTTTGGCGAAGAAAGTTATAGCCTTTCAAAGTTGATAGTCAACGAGTTCAAAAAAAAGAACAAAACAAGCACCAGCAACGAGTTGCCAGCTAACGAATGCATTCCTTTTTCGATCACCAACCTAATACTTATAATTTTATGGAATTTATTCTTTACTCGAGCACAAAGGCCACCATTTAGATCATTCCACGTTTTCCATTTCCGTTTTCAGATCATCCATATTCCTTTCAATATTTTAACCATATTTCCAAAACGCAGCAGGTAACTTCAACTTTTTGAATAGGTGCACAAGAATTGAAAACCAACGGCCAATCAAACCACAAATACACTCGGCACAAAGTCAGGGTAATTCTTTATGCAGTCTTAAGCAGAGGAGCAGCTCTGACTTTCGACAAAGTCATCAAAGACAGAAAATTTGAGGGGCAAAAAGGTTGGTGTTATATATGAATTGGAAACTCTTTAAAGATTTCCGTTAAGTCTCAAAGTCTTCCATCTTGTTCGCCCTCATCGTCCCAAATTCTCTTATCAACGCTGAGAATGGTGTATCCGTTGTAAACATTGGCGTTTTTGATGCATTCACGTCACAGTAGTAAACAAAAAAATGCTGATTTTCAAGGGGATGTGGCGCGACTAATCAACAAATTCGTTGCACACACACCAGAACTTTTCATCTTCAGATTTGACCTTACCATTATGTGGTGCTTGAGTAGGACTCTGTCCAGACATGGACTCAGTCTTTTAGAGCCAAAAATTACTAATCCAATGTACAGTAGTAAAACTTGTCGCGATTTTCTTATGCTTTGGTGGCGTTAAGGCATCTCAATTGACACAAATAATAAGTGTAAATCAATAGTTTTTTAGTTTTTTTAGTTTTTTTAGTTTTTTTAGTTTTTTTTTTGTTTGAGAAGGTGTAGAGATTGGAAAAAGGGAAAAGAAAAGAAAAAAGTGTGCCTATTTGCCATTGGAAACAAAGAAAGAAAAAGAGGAAACTCGACCCATTTCCCGATAAAATTTCCACCTTTTTTCTTCATGAAATCATTCAGAATTTGGGTAATTTTAAGCAAATATTGGGAAAACCTTTTTGAGATATCCTTGTGACAAAAATAGTCACCTTTATTGCATTGTTCTGGTAAATTCTCAATGGCTATCGACTTTGCGTCTTTGATTTCTCTATGTTAATGAGTAAATCACAAAAACACAAACACAAACATTTTAGAACATTTTAGAGTCAATTTTTAGAATCAATTTTAGAACACAAACATTTTAGGGTCAATTTTTCTACAATTTTACGAAAATCAAACCATTTTTATCGTAGTTTCGTAACCTTTGAATCACTATAAACAGCTTAGAGTCTTTTTTTCTATCATTAAAAAAGATTAGCACATCCGGATGGTGTTTTTCTTGTTTTAAATAGACTTGTACAATGGTAAATGATTATAAAAGAGAGAAATGATGTGCCAAATGATGAAAGTCGCATGAGAATTTGCACATTACGAGGCACATAAAGCTGAAAGCTTGAATGAAATTGAAATTGAAAGCTTGAAAGTTGATTTGAAATTTTATTTTCTTCTATTAATTTTCAATGTTTAAGCTGATGATTGCTGAAATTTTATTTGGCACATAAGATCAATCATTGATGATCATACAGACAATTGAGAGAGAGAGAGAGTGTGATCTCCACATTTCATAAAAACCTTTCTTCTTTACATCCTCTCTGGATCTAAGACTCCACAATTTGGAAGTTCAAAGTTAAACACATCAAACACGCGAACCATTGTCCACATTTCGTTGCGTTCTTGTTGAATTCGCTGAAAGTGCTTTCTTTAGTGATTTAAGTTTGAAACAAGCTGTACTTAGGCTTGTTTTGACTACTTTTGATTAATCAATCAAAAGCTATTGGAATCAATCAAGAATATTGTAAAAGCTCATTGTCAGTTAAAGTCTGGATAAAAGTATTCAGTCAACAAGATGGAAATCTTTAAAGATATTCAGCTATTAAGCTGTTGACTTTCATCTGAATAACTGAATATTAGTGAGGCTATTAAGCCGTTGACTGTTGATTCAGCTATTAAGCTGTTGACTTTCCATTTACAGCCTCAGCATCCAAAAACTCTCTCCAATTATCTATAATTCTCTACCTCATTATTCTGAATGAGTGAATGCAACTGAATCATTCGATGCGCATAATTGGTGAGACCCTTTGAATGAACATAGAAATCATGGAGTTCAGCCGAGATCCTCTCTCGATAAAGATCGGCTGCATGAACTGTATCCACGGATAGACCTCGTCCTAAAGAAATTTGCATTAAAGAAAGAAACTCAATCAAAACCCTCAATATTCCACACAGTGAGACACAGAAGATAGATGTACTCGAGTGGTTCTGGACCCATCATCAACATTGGACGCGCTAGGTCCTCAAACATTACCTCCATTTTTGGTGCCATGAATCTAGAATGAGATTTTTGTTTTAGAAAGCCGGCAACTCCGTGGATTTCTTGACTACCATTGAGGCTAAAGTCAACGAATTTCACTTTCTAAAGCTTTTTAGCTCTTTTATTGAACAAACTTCGAGAAATCCTCGGATGAAAGATTGCTGAGATCTCCCATGTGCACTTTTGTGGTGAGACTTGTCGCGAAATCACAGCAAAGACACACCTAAAGATCATAATAAGTGACTGTAATCACTGTAATCATAATAGGTAACTATTTTAAAGTTTTCTTGAAAATTCTGTGTTCATACCCTAGTTAAGTACCGAAATTCTGTGTTCATACTCTAGTTAAAGTACCGAAGGACCGAAATTCTGTGTTATTCTGTGTTAAAGTACCAAAATTTCATTTTCAAATGATTATTTTAGTGTTTATTCCCTGCTCACCTTTCGCCGCACCGCTTCCTCTCCAAACACCAAAAGGGTGGATGCGATTTTTTCCATTCGAAGAAAACCTGACCACGTGTTTCGAAAGATTAACATCTAAAGGATAAAGTTTAATAGCTATTTAATATAGCTTTCAATAGCTTTTAATAGCTAGCTTTCAATAGCTTTTAATAGCTAGCTTTCAATAGCTTTTAATAGCTAGCTTTCAATAGCTTTTAATAGCTAGCTTTCAATAGCTTTCAATAGCTAGCTTTCAATAGCAAGCTTTCAATAGCTAGCTTTCAATAGCTTTCAATAGCTTTCAATAGCTAGCTTTCAATAGCTTTCAATAGCTTTCCCTCACCTTTTGCTCTAAAGGCAATCTCGCATACTCCTCGCAATGCATCAACCAATATGCCGTCTTCTCGAGATGTTGAAACCAATCGATGCTGATCACCTCAAAATCGACCTCTTCTAACACAACCTGGAAAGGCTTTTTAATCATTTTTACAACAATTTCCACTCACAGGTGGCTCTTTTGGCAATTCCCCGCGTAGTCTTTCCGTCGCAATCGACATTCGTTGTAAAGCGGTTAACGGGAATGGAGAGACGACTTCGATCGCTCGATTCTGGAAGGAAATCAAGTTTGGAATCTTTTTAGAAGTTTGGATCGCATAAATCCATAGTCAAATAGCTCTTGTAACTTAAAAGCGGCTTTTGAATGAGTGAAACTTTGTCAAAGTCAAACTTTGCATAACTTTCTATAGAGATATTAACAATGTTTTAGAGTAAAATGACTATTTCAATAGCTTTCTGAGTCGAATGACGATTCCCTGTCGAATAAAACCAAAACTATTTATCTAAGATATACTTTAAAACAATTTTCTACGACTCACCGGTGTCAAAACGAGCTCAATCTTCCTGGAAATGTCAAGAATGTGACCGATAAGACGAGCGATTTGCTGGGGTGGATTTGGCTAAACAAATGAGTATTGATCATCTTATTAAATCAGAAAATTTCTATGATAAAGCTATTATAGAAGCTATTATAGAAGCTATTATAGCTATTATAGATTTCTATGATAAAGCTTTCTCTTTACCAAACCTTTGGTCGAATGATGGAGGATTGTGGATTCAGTGGATTCAGTGGCTTCTCTCTGATCTCCATTCCCTCCATTCCCATGATTCTCGACCTTTCCCCATCCTCTTCGTCCTCTTTTATCGCCATTCTTTCAATTCTCTCCTCTACATCCATTTTTTGCGCATTTTTCTTTCCTTTCGATAGTTTTTCTTTATTTTGAATTGAACTTGACATTCGATCACGATTCCATTGAACATCTGAAATTGAGGAGATTGAGGAGATGTTGAAATCGATGGGACTGGGACAAATGCGACCTTTTTTTTGCGCACCCGGACATTTCTGCACCTTTGTGCACTTAGCCCATTAGGGCACCTTTTTTCGCGTTTTAGAAAAGCTCTAAAAGCAAATATTAACCAATTTCTATTCCAAAAGTTGTTTTTCTAGGTAATTTGAGGGTGTCGAATTCAAATTTTGATATAACAGGCTAAGTGCGGAAAAAAAAGGTGCGCAAATGTCCGGGTGCGCAAAAAAAAGGTCGCATTTGTCCCACTCCCAAATCAATGACTAACTATCCGGTGTCATTCCAACTTGAAGACATCGTTGATAGCGACAAAAACGACATAAATATCGAACTTCTGAAAAAGAGCGCATAGATGTCTTTGCTTTTAAGTGAATTAAATGAATTTTGATCTAAAAACTTGCCCAAACTAATGTTACAATCGGCATTTAGACGACGACATGTGTATTTTCGGTCCAAGACCACCGTTCTGAAAAGGGGAAATTTGTTGAAAGTTGTATATCGTAGTTGTATATTTCTCAATGATCTCATACCGTCTGAAGAAAGCAGCGCATGCCCGACAAGTGGCAACGCCGAAATGGATTCCATGAGCAGCTTGCGCGCACACCACACATGGACCACCAACAAATAATGATGAGGAAGAGGGTGAGGAAGAAGATCGCTCAAATGGAAATCCATTGTATTTATTGAAGTTATTGTTATTGTTATTGTTATTGTAATTGATTTTACGACCAATTAAATAGCAGTTCTTGACCAAAGTTTCCGAACAGACCAGGCCTGGCAAGGCCTACAGCTCGGCTCTCAATATTTTTGATTTCATTCCACTAATTCGTCACTAACAAAATGCTATAGAAATTTACTTTAAAGTTCTATGACATTTGCTTAGAGACAAATTATAGAAAATCGACATTAAATACTATTTTATAGTTATTTTCTAGTTTCCTAAACGAAACTTTATCTATCAAGAATTTGCTAGCTTTCGGTGATAAAACGGATTCATCACTGGATGATAAAATCAAAAAAAATATCACTCGAAATCAATTCAACAAAGAAATACAAATTTTTATCCATCATTTTCAGTAATCTCATGTGCATTCCAATTCCTATTCCCATCCCCCTTCCATTCCCATTCCCATTCCCATTCCCTTCCCATTCCCTTCCCATCCCCTTCCCATTCCCCTTCCCATTCCCTTCCCATTCCCTTCCCATTCCCATTCCCTTCCCATTCCCATTCCCATTCCCATTCCCATTCCCATTCCCATTCCCATTCCCATTCCCATTCCCATTCCCATTCCCATTCCCATTCCCATTCCCATTCCCATTCCCATTCCTATTCCCATTCCCATTCCCTTCCCATTCCCATCCCCATTCCCCAATCCACAAACCTGCTCTTCTCGATCCGTTTTCACCTCAATGTACTCCATAAAACAAAGAAAAATACGGGCAGTTGAATGGCTGATTCGAAATTTGTACAAATTTGTACAAATTTTTGATAAGCAACGCCTAATTTTGTTTATGACGTAAAAAAAACGGCGAAAAGAAATCACAAAAATCGAGACAGTTCAGCCGAAAAAGGTCCGCCAATTTTAGGGGTGTAATCGATTTGCGAGTGAAAAAAAGGTGAAAGAATGGAAAAAAAGGGGAAAAGAAAAGGTTTTCTCTGGTGATGTTTCAGAACTCGGAAAACAGAAAGCACAAAAATTGGAGAAAAGAAAAAAATGGGGAAGAGAGGCGCTTGTGTTTGTCCGAGATCTGAAGAGGGGAAGGGGGGAGGGGAAGACGCTCGTCTAATCGTCTAATGCCTTTTAAAAGGCATCATTTTTTAGAAAACCTATCGTAATCATACAGCTTGAACCTGATTTATCGGTCTAATTGTTGGTACAAAAAAAAACGAGCTTTAATCACCTCAACGGCTACGTTATTCTGGATTTTTTCTATAAAAAATTAGAATTTTTAAAGCTCTATCTGGTCTAAACAAAGTAGCCATTAAATTGGTCAATAATCCAAACGAATAACAAATAAAAGCTTTATGTTGAACTAGTGTAGTCTTTCGGAATCTTAAAGGACTATGGTATAGTCCGATCGCGATTCCATTGGACATCTAGAATATGGAAAAGATACTACAGTAATCCCTAATAAGGGAACCTTCCCAAGCTACCCGCTAGTTACAATAGGAGGTACAGTACTGGACAATGAAATATCATATTTGAAAAACGATCGTCACTTTCGCGTGTCTGTAACTCTCTTGTCTTTGCGTTTAAACAATTAGTGTTATGCATTTTCTGAAAGCTCTTTTCAAGGGCTACACAATGGTAATATTAATATTTAGAAATACGGTAAAGACAAGGGAGTTACAGACGCGCGAAAGTGACGATCTTTTTTCAAATATGATATTTCATTGTCCAGTAGTGTAGCTTAAAAGAATATTGTAAAAAAGGCAAAAGTGCTGTAGTTTGGCTATACCCAATGTCCAATACCTTAACGGGGGTAGGCTAGTTTCCGCAACTTTTTTTGCGCAATAGGGTCATTTACGCAACTGGGTCGTTTGCGCAACTCGCCATAACTTTCTTCTAAGTGGACCAATCTTTATGATTTTGGTCTCATTTTGTAGATCTCAATAAGTGCAACAAAATGAAACCAAAATCATAAAGACTGGTCCACTTAGAAGAAAGTTATGGCGAGTTGCGCAAATAAAATGGCGAAAATTAGCCAACCCCAATACGGCATAAAAAATAATCTCTGTCTGTCTGTGCGCGCACTACGCCCGTCCCCTTTGAATATTTAAAAAAACCCTGAAACACGTGTCTAATGAAATTTCATGTACCGTAAAACCTGTAATAGGAGCGTGGCGTATTTGCGCAACTCGCCATAACTTTCTTCTAAGTGGACCAGTCTTTATGATTTTGGTTTCATTTTGTTGCACTTATTGAGATCTACAAAATGAGACCAAAATCATAAAGATTGGTCCACTTAGAAGAAAGTTATGGCGAGTTGCGCAAACGACCCAGTTGCGTAAATGACCCTATTGCGCAAAAAAAGTTGCGGAAACTAGCCTACCCCCCTTAACATACAAAGAAAAACGCACAAATTACAATCAAAAGAACATAGTTGACATAAAAGTTTTCTCAAAATCATTTTGAAGTCGAAAATTTGATGACCCGTTTTTTCTATTGATAAGAAATTTTCGCGCTTTAGGCAATAAATGAACTGGGGAACAGTGAAAATTCGAAATAAGGAAAACTGGGGAAAGATTGACGTTTGAGAAGTGTTAGATTCAAATAATATTGCTAAAGCTGCGTCTTTTAAATAAAAATTCATGATTTTACACGTTATTGAAAAACTATCTGATCTTTTAGCCATTTAAGAAGACGCAAATAAATCTTAATCGTGAAAAATTTGGAATTCTTTAAATTGACTTCAACTATTAACAATTATTCTGGTATTTAGCGCTTAACAAATTCGAAAACTTTCATCAAAATTTCATAAGAAATACTTGAAAATCGATTTTTATCTGATACTTTCGCTAAAATGAAGTCTTTTTTTTCTTTTCTTTCTTTTCTTTCTTTTTTTTCTTTTCTTTCTTTTCTTTCTTTTCTTTCTTTCTTTCTTTTTTTTTTCTTTTCTTCATTTTCCTCCGGATCAATTTCATGTTTTGTTTATTTTGTGTTGATAGAGAGTCCAATGAAAAAGAGGCAAAAAGAGTCCTGCCAAAACAATTCTTCAGATATTTTTCCGCTTGCTTACTTTTATTTTTTGTACAATCTATTCTACTTCTATTACTTTTTACCTTAGTTCATTTTGCTTCATTATCGATTTTGCACATCTTCAACTTAACCCAATAGTTCATGCAATGCTTTATCAGTATTAAGCATTCAAATGAATATCTTTCAACGAAATTCTGTGAAACAAAAGATATTCAGTTCAGGGGTTGAATTGTCTTTCTTTTGCTTAAGAAGTATCCAATTTTAGTCAGCTTTTGAAAAGAATTAAAGCTTTTTTTAAAATCAAATATTAACTAAACAACCAAATACAACAAAATATTAACTAAACAATTAAGAAACTTGTAATCAAACATATCAAATTGATTAGATTCGCTCAAATTGGTTTTAACTAGCTTTTAGACCGGTCCAGCTCTAACTAGCCTTTAGACCGGTCCAGCTCTAACTAGCCTTTAGACCGGTCCAGCTCTAACTAGCTTTTAGACCGGTCCAGCTCTAACTAGCCTTTAGACCGGTCCAGCTCTAACTAGCCTTTAGACCGGTCAGCTCTAACAGCCTTTAGACCGGTCCAGCTCTAACTGGCTTTTAGACCGGTCCAGCTCTACAGCCTTTAGACCGGTCCAGCTCTAACTAGCCTTAGACCGGTCAGCCAACGCCTTTAACCGGTCCAGCTCAACTCCTTAGACGGTCAGCTCTAACTAGCCTTTAGACCGGTCCAGCTCTAACTAGCCTTTAGATCGGTCCAGCTCTAACTAGCCTTTAGATCGGTCCAGCTCTAACTAGCTTTTAGACCGGTCCAGCTTGTTAATATGTTTAAATCAAGCTATTAGATAACAACAACAAAAATCAAACCACTCAATACCCATTAAGTCCCCAATTCTTGAATTACTTTGTTTTGTTTAAATCTAACTCTAACTAGCTTTATCAATGTGTATCAATGGATTTGTGTGAAATCATTCATTTCTTCATTGACTTCTCCACCCCCATATTGACGTACTCTACACATAAACAAGTGATGGAAAGAGGGAAGTTTGTTATTCTATAGTCTTTCAAAAAGGGGCGTCGGTCAAAAGTCCCTGAAATGTTCTCTGAGATGGGGAAAGAGGTTCAGATCCAACCCCCAACCCCCATCCCGTCCTTCACTCCGGTGTGTAATGTGAAGGGACCCTCCCTCAGCCTTATCCCAATCTTTCCCTTTTCTTCAATATCCCATTCTTTCATCTCGCAGAGAAACAAAATGACGAAGAAATTCTATGGCATTTGAGATGAGAAGAGAGTCAGAGATTAGGTGAAGCTAGAGGTTGTAAAGAGAAAAGAAATCTTCTATAGTAAAGGTGATTTGGCGATCACGGATCAAAATATCCTCAGGCTTTTATTTTGAAGAGAGAGAACCACACCAAACACCTTTCACATTTTAGTGTACTCACAGGATTGTGGGTTTTATCTGTTTAGACATTTCTTGAACTCTTTTCTTATCTACTTTTGGCATCCGTTTTCCTCCACAATTTTCTATTGCCTATTTTTGTATCGTTTAAGCTTTTGAAGAGTTAATATAGCTAACTACTAGAGCTAACTACTAGAGCTAACTACTAGAGCTAACTACTAGAGCTAACTACTAGAGCTAACTACTAGAGCTAACTACTAGAGCTAGCTACGAGAGCTGACCAGGTTACAGTCATCGAAATTGATTTCATTTCTAAACCTATTCAGCTTTTATCTTTTATCAGTCAAAAGCTGTTTCTATTGATGTTTTAAGCCGATATAGGATATCAATTTGAAAACTTGAGTCAACTGCACAAGGTTTAGGATATTTTTTGAGTTATTGTTGATATTATAAGTTGATATACAGTCATGCACAAAAGTCTTTTAACGTTGATTTTCCGAGGTTTGTTTTGGAACTATTGGACCCCAACTTCTACGTGATCTGGTTGACATCATGCCAAGGAGAATTCAAGCAGTAATTGCGGCTACTAAGTATTGATTTTCATAATGTTTTTCTCACATGTTAAAAGACTTTTGTCCATCAATTTTTGACTCAATTTTTGTTTGATAGCTGTTTGGTTTTCAATGTTTGGCTTAATTAAAAAGTTCATGACACCTGATAAATTGTTAAATCCATCTTTTTGTAATGTTAAAATTAGAGATTTCTCTTTAAATCTTTTCTCTTTAAATCTTTAAACCTTTTCTCTTTAAAACTTTTCTCTTTAAATCTTTTTCTTTAAATCTTTTAACCGTTTGCAAATTGGTCGGATTTGAATCAAGATATACAAAGAACAAACTTCTAAAAACCAACGTTAAAAGACTTTTGTCCATGACTGTATCGAAAACTTATCGAAACTCAAGAGCTGGGTTTTGTTTTCCCTTTCTCATCGTTCAAATCAACTCTATATTTGTGTCAAAGTGACTCTAACTGGGTGTGATCATATTGGAGAATGGTTGGAGTGACTCTTTTTGATCATCCCCAAAAACCCGAAAAAGGGGAGATCCGGTTCTTGGAGGGGAAAGGGGTCCGAGATGGACGGGCGGATGCCGATGAGACCTGTCTCCCCTTCCATCTCTTTTTCCAATCACACAGAAGTGGAAGAAGCACTCGATTTGATTTCTCTCTCCTTCTTTTTCTTCTTCTCTTCCTCTCTTCCTCTCTTCCCCCATTTCCATCAATATGCATCACTTGGATATCGACTTTTTTCAGATTTCAGATTCAA